GTGTATGGCTGTGTGTACCATATTGTATGGATGTATGTACCATATTGTATGGATGTATGTACTATATTGTATGGATGTATGTACTATATTGTATGGATGTATGTACTATATTGTATGGATGTATGTACTATATTGTATGGATGTATGTACTATATTGTATGGATGTATGTACTATATTGTATGGATGTATGTACTATATTGTATGGATGTATGTACTATATTGTATGGATGTATGTACTATATTGTATGGATGTATGTACTATATTGTATGGATGTATGGGCCATAGTGTATGGCTGTGTGTACCATATTGTATGGATGTATGTACTATATTGTATGGATGTATGTACTATATTGTATGGATGTATGTACCATATTGTATGGATGTATGTACCATATTGTATGGATGTATGTACTATATTGTATGGATGTATGTACTATAGTGTATGGCTGTGTGTACCATATTGTATGGATGTATGGGCCATAGTGTATGGCTGTGTGTACCATATTGTATGGATGTATGTACTATATTGTATGGATGTATGTACTATATTGTATGGATGTATGTACCATATTGTATGGATGTATGGGCCATAGTGTATGGCTGTGTGTACCATATTGTATGGATGTATGTACTATATTGTATGGATGTATGTACCATATTGTATGGATGTATGTACTATATTGTATGGATGTATGTACCATATTGTATGGATGTATGTACTATATTGTATGGCTGTAAGTACCATTTTGTGTTCATGTATGTAGTATCTTGTACCGTTTTATGTATCATATTGTATGGCTGTATGTGCCATCTTGTGTCCATGTATGTAGTATTTTGTATGGCTGTATGTACCATATTGTATGGCTGTATGTACCATCTTGTGTCCATGTATGTAGTATCTTGTACGGTTGTATGCACCATATTGTATGGCTCTTTGAAAGGTCTTGTGTTTACGTATGTATCATATTGTGTCTATGTATGTAGCATCTTGTATGGCTGAGTGTACCATATTGTATGGTTGTATGTACCACCTTGTTTTTACGTATGTACCATCTTGTGTTCATGTATGTAGTATCTTGTACGGTTGTGTGTACCATATTGCATGGCTGTATGTACCATCTTGTGTTCATGTATGCTGCACCTTGTGTTCATGTATGTAGTATCTTGTACGGCTGAGTGTACCATATTGTATGTACCATATTGTGTTTACGTGTGTATCATCTTGTGTTCATGTATGTAAGATCTTGTACGGTTGTATACACCATATTGTGTTCATGTAAGCTGTACCTTGTGTTAAAGTGCGTAGTATATTGTATGGCTGTTTGATGTATCATATTATGTACCTTTATGTATCATCGTGTATGGCTGCATGTACCATATTATGTGCGTGCATGTTATACCTGGTGTGAGTGGATTCCTCAATACTCCTCTGAACAATGTGGAGAAACTACACCAAGATTGCCCGCTCGTCAACAGACGAAGGGAGGCAACTCTTGTTATCGAAGTCACCGGCACCGAGTGAAACTGTTGCTTACGACTTTACATTACTGATCTGGTCAGAGAAGAACCCACATATACAACCTGTGGTATAGCTTTCTCAACGCAAAGTATCCGCTGAAACTCACACCTATTGAAGTGATCTTCCACTATAGTTGTGAATCGAAGATGTGCCCAAGCTTTTTGCAAAGGTCTGAATACTCGTGGTCTGAGCCAAAACATTCACAGAAAGTTTAACACAAAATTATTACAACATTTTTAATTTTATAAATTGCTTTCATTTTAGCATAAAACACTTAAAATGTCCATGCCCTGAACAACTGTCAAGTCCATGCGCTGCTGGATATTCCCAGTGTCCAAAAGCCGAAGCCATTACAAGAGGTGGTCAACACGCTAAGTCCGAAAACTGGTTTTACAAAAACACCCCAGTTAGTCTTGCAGATGAATATAAATACCTGGGTATTTTATTTGCTAATATTTTGAATTTAGGAAAATCTGTCCACAATTTAGCTGTAAGGGCCAAGAAAGCAATGATCATGTTACTTACCACTGTATCTAAATTAGAACCTGTTCCACCTCGAGTTTATTTTGAGTTATTGGATGCTCATATAGTCTATCCTTTTATACGGCTCCGAACTTTGGGGTTTTAAAACTTATGAACCAATAGAAAAAATACATTTGTAAGCATGCAAAAGGTTTTTGAAGACAGGAATAAACACTCCAAACTGTATGGTTTATGGCGAATGTGGAGAATATCCGATGTACATAATGCATATATTCGTTGTCTAAAATACTGGTTTAATATTTTAGAAATGCACGAAGACCGCCTGCCTAGAAAAGCATACAAAATGTAACTTAATCTGGACAATCATGGGTACACAACATGGGCATCAAATATTCGTTACATGCTATTTTATCACGGTTTCGGTTATGTGTCGTTGTATCAAGTTGTCGGTAATAAAAATGATTTTTTTAGATTAATTCAGAGAAAGTCACTAGATATGTTTCAGCAGGATTGGAGATCGACACTTGAAAACAGTTCAAGATATGTCATGTATAGATCTTTTAAATCGTTGATTGAACCTGAATTGTATTTAAATGTTATAACATGCCAATCTCTGCGCATAACATATTCAAGATTTCGTCTCGGATTGTCTGAAATAATGGTTAACATTGAACGACATCTTTCTATATCGAAACCAATGAGATTGTGTCCTTACTGTTAAACTTGTATAGAGGATGAACTTCATATACTGCTTGTTTGTACTGTTTATACTGATTTAAGGGAAGCATATATTCCACAGAAATACCCGCGTTTATCAAATTTGTATTCATGTAAATCTCTGTTGAATTCTAATGATGGAAAAACAATTGAGGTTAGCACTTTTTGTTCATCGTGCACTTTCTCGGCGCAAGAATCTTATAGTATCGTGAAGATACTTCGTAAAATAATTGTGTACACCGACATTGTAACATTGTCTCCACATATGTATTGTATGCAGCACATCCCTTTAGCTGTGTTGTACTCACGGATATTATCTCTTTGTACTCTTGTTTTGTATATGGGCGCCGGAGGCCTTAAGTACAATGAAACCTCTTAAACTTGAAGTGATGTGTTTTGTAAGTCCGCCTTGTGGCCTAGTGGTTGAGCGTCTGCCAGGAGAGCGGAAGGTCCGGGCTTGATCCAAGACCGCGTCATACCAAAAGACGTTAAAAGATGGTACTTGTTGTTACCCTGTCTGGCGATTGGCATTTAGGGGCTAAATCAAGGACTGGTCGGCTCGGAGTCAGTATACCGTGTCTTAGTTGGGTATTCACGTTAAACTACTGCATGGTATCTCAGTGGGCTAGCACTATAAAATCGACATCAGTCCGGACTAGTACAAGCAGCCACACACGTGCATGCACGTCGCTACATAAGTGCAATAATCTTGGACGCGACGTTAAATCCCATTTCACCTCACCTGTGTTGTATGGTAGTTTCACATGTTTACATAAGAAGACACGCACGCAAATTGATAATGACATTTTATTTAATCACAAAGGGTTAAACTGCATACACACATCAACAACCATTACCTACATCCAGTCTTGCCCTTGTACACAACAACATAACCCATGGACATGATGGAGGATGAGATCATACAGTATTTTAAATATAAACATAATCAGTAGTATCGGCAAATATGTAATAAACATTCACCTACTTTCTTCACAGATACCAAACATTGTCATCTGGGTTCACCACTACACAAACACTTTCTGATTACATAAGGTTTAAAGCAAATATATGCAACCAACTGTTGATTGGCATTGTAGACGTTTGTGAGTTCTTACAAAATGAACATCTTTATGGATAACAACTTCTGGTTTATTGCATATAGCGGCGTTTGATGAAGATTCTTGCACCGTTATCCAGCTGTCGTTATCACTGCTATATGTTTTGGGGTAGATTCATTCACCGTTTTCAAGCTGGTGTTATCACTCCAACTTGATAACGGTGTAATCTACATCGAATCATTGCTATATGCAATAGACCAGAAGTTGTTATCCATAAAGTTGTGTTTCCTTACAAAAATGTAACCGTTTCTCTAATCATGCTGATTTCATTAATCATAACACTCATATTTTTGGTTATGTCTTGAAGCATCTGCCTACACAACTATACCGGCAGAGCTACAGATAAGCATCGTATTTGCGTAAAATACCCCCCAAACTATTCAAAACCCAATTACTTTTAACTATCTTGCATACAGAAACGCATGCATTAAATGGAAAACACAATTGTTTGAAAACAGCACGCGTAAATACCCAATGAAGGTTTTTCAGCATGCGTACAACGGAGCTAATTTCCGAAAAACAATTACGAGCTAATTCACTTTCCGAGTCAAGCCTATATTTAGGACCGTTATATACATCTAAAACATTATTTTTTATTTTTTTTTTAAAAACTCAAAATGTTTACTCATCTTGGGAAAAACCCAAATAGAGTGATGAACAGATGAGTGAAAAAATATTGGTTACCCAATGAAAAATATAATAAACCAATTAAAATAGAAACCTTCGTGTAAAAGCTTAATTGCTCAAAAAGTTATCTGGAGCTCTGTGTACCCTTATACTAATTCACATTACCCTCAACATCCAGGGGCGGTCGGGTAGCCTAGTGGTTAAATCGTTCGCTCGTCACGCCGAAGACCCGGTTCGATTACCGACATGGGTACAATGTGTGAAGCCCATTTCTGGTGTCCCCCGCCGTGATATTGCTGGAATATTGCTAAAAGTGGCGTAAAATAATACTCACTCACTCACTCACTCACTCACTCAACATCCACCCCTACACAGGTACCCCTGCTATCTGCTGCTACACCATGTGATAAGTGGCCTTGACCTCGGACATTGACCTTGAGTCCTGCATATTTTGTCTACCTAATCAAAATATTAATCAAGATGCGTTTACGTATGGCTGAATATGCCATTAAAAAGTGACATATTTTTACAGCAATAACTGATAACACATTACAAAAGGGATACAATGTGTTATCAATTATTTCTCTTTTTATTTGTAAAATCAACATGTGAATTCCTCTAGGGTATCGTGTTGTATCATCACTAGGAGTCCTACTTCACCTTGCCCTCCGATGGCTTGTAGAGAAATTTCTCATTACCAGGAGTCTCTATTATCAGTGTCAGACAGAAACAGAACTCCGAGACAGCTCATGTAACATCTTGGAGTGAGTCCTACCTGGGCTTTATCTGTCCACAGTGAGACAAGGGACAGCATGGTACTATCTTGTTTTTTACATTTTACTGTATACATCCTTCAAATCAATGTCCATACATAATTCTGATTCAATATACATTATTCTGAATCAAAATGGAATCAATATTCACAAATCAGAGAAATACAGCAATCGCAATCAGTGAGCATCATTTTGAATTTATGTGAAATGTTGTGAAGTACTTTCCTCAAGTGCTTTCAAACATCAGTGCTTATACATCTGTATAATACTGATCAAGCAACACTCTGTCACCTGTGAATAAACTAGTAATGCCCTGCAACATCTCCGTGTATGCCTAACTGTATCAGAAAGATATATCTTGTATGTATCAGTATGTATCATGTTGTACCAGTATGTATGTACCATCTTGTATGTATCATCTTGTATGCCTGCATGTATCATCTTGTATGTATCTGTATGTATCATATTGTACCAGTATGTATGTACCATCTTGTATGTACCATCTTGTATGCCCGCATGTATCATCTTGTATGCCGGCATGTATCATCTTGCATGTGTCAGTATGTATCATTTTGTACCAGTATGTATGTACCATCTTGTATGTATCATCTTGTATGCCGACATGTACCATCTTGCGTGTATCAACATGTTTCAGCTTGCGTGTATCAGTATGTATCATGTTGTACCAGTATGTATGTACCATCTTGCATGTATCATCTTTAATGTATCAGTATGTATCATCTGGTATGCCCGCATGTATCATCTTGCATGTATCAGTACGTATCATCTGGTTCCTCGGTGCACTTGTTGATGAGCTCCCTCAGGTTGGGGTTCTCCATGGCGGCAGCGATCCTCTCCTTGTCATTGATCTGCTTGTTGACTGCAACATCAACACAACATCCTCACAACATCAACACAACATCTTCTCACACCTGTGGCCGGGGAGAAACCCATAACGGGCATCAAACATATGTGTCAGATCAAATTCTAAATCTGTGATTGGCTACTCCATGGTGATGACCTAAGGTCAGATTAAGACGGACCGCTTTCCTGATTGTAATTCATTGACAAGTTTCTCATGCTTCAGTCAAACTCACCTATGCCTGTACCCTAACTGTTTTAGAGAGTTTAATAAATGTTCTTTGATCTCATCTAGTTTGTATTATCATCTTCACCTTGAAAATCCACACATATGGCTGAAACTATTTTGTGGCTGATCACACTAGGTATGAGTAGTAAGAAGTTGACCGGATGACGTTACTCATGATCGCTGTTTTATGTATTAATGTGCCACGGCACCTGGGAACTGACAAAATATGCATGGATTTGATGCTAGATGGTTGCGATTTTAGGGTGTGTAACTGTAAGAAACAGATTACTGCACTCGTGCCTGTCATATACTATGTATCTCACAACTCATTGTTAAAAACATGTCTTCATGAAATGATCTCATGTATATTATTTGACTTACTTTCATCAGCTGTTGAGTGGGTTCCTTCTTTGATGAAGATGTCAAGCTATAAACAAATCAATTTTACCTGTAACCATGGTAATACTCAATTAAATCATATTGGTCAAATAAAACATTGTGAACGAAATATTTTCTGACAAGAGTTGCTTCCCCTGGCATACTTCTCAAATCAAATGGAAAGCAGTCACAGCATGAAAAAGCTGGAGTGAGTTGGGTTTAACACCGCAGTTCTAAAACTTACATCACTGCATTTAGCTATTTGGGAAGGAAGGCCCAAAGTGGTGAAGCTTACACAAAAGCAAAGGAATAGGTACTGGGCTGACAAACAAAGGAACATAATCTGGACAATTCAAGGATTAAAACCCATTTCTTCGGATCCTGGCATTGCCAAGGATGCAAAAACATAAGCTTGTTGAGTGGGGAGGAACATATTAATCATGACACATTGTTGCCACAACTATTGCTGCGAGAGCATTAACAGCGATCAGTACTGGCGCATGATAACTATTGCACATTGTTGCCACAACTATTGCTGCGAGAGCATTAACAGCGATCAGTACTGGCGCATGATAACTATTGCACATTGTTGCCACAACTATTGCTGCGAGAGCATAAACAGCGATCAGTACTGGCGCATGATAACTATTGCACATTGTTGCTACAACTGTTGCTGCGAGAGCATAAACAGCGATCAGTACTGGCACATGATAACTATTGCACATTGTTGCTACAACTATTGCTGCGAGAGCATAAACAGCGATCAGTAATGGTGCATGATAACTATTGCACATTGTTGCTACAACTGTTGCTGCGAGAGCATAAACAGCGATCAGTACTGGCGCATGATAACTATTGCACATTGTTGCTACAACTGTTGCTGCGAGAGCATTAACAGCGATCAGTACTGGCGCATGATAACTATTGCACATTGTTGCTACAACTGTTGCTGTGAGAGCATAAACAGCGATCAGTACTGGTGCATGATAACTATTGCACATTGTTGCTACAACTGTTGCTGCGATAGCATAAACAGCGATCAGTACTGGCGCATGATAACTATTGCACATTGTTGCTACAACTATTGCTGCGAGAGCATAAACAGCGATCAGTACTGGTGCATGATAACTATTGCACACTGTTGCTACTACGGTTGCTGCGAGAGCATAAACAGCTATCAGTACTGGTGCATGATAACTATTGCACATTGTTGCTACAACTATTGCTGCGAGAGCATAAACAGCGATCAGTACTGGCGCATGATAACTATTGCACATTGTTGCTACAACTATTGCTGCGAGAGCATAAACAGCAATCAGTACTGGTGCATGATTACTATTGCACATTGTTGCTACAACTGTTGCTGCGAGAGCATTAACAGCGATCAGTACTGGCGCATGATAACTATTGCACATTGTTGCTACAACTGTTGCTGCGAGAGCATTAACAGCGATCAGTACTGGCGCATGATAACTATTGCACATTGTTGCTACAACTGTTGCTGCGAGAGCATAAACAGCGATCAGTACTGGTGCATGATAACTATTGCACATTGTTGCTACTACTGTTGCTGCGAGAGCATAAACAGCGATCAGTACTGGCGCATGATAACTATTGCACATTGTTGCTACAACTATTGCTGCGAGAGCATAAACAGCGATCAGTACTGGTGCATGATAACTATTGCACACTGTTGCTACTACTGTTGCTGCGAGAGCATAAACAGCTATCAGTACTGGCGCATGATAACTATTGCACATTGTTGCTACAACTATTGCTGCGAGAGCATAAACAGCGATCAGTACTGGCACATGATAACTATTGCACATTGTTGCTACAACTATTGCTGCGAGAGCATAAACAGCAATCAGTACTGGTGCATGATTACTATTGCACATTGTTGCTACAACTGTTGCTGCGAGAGCATTAACAGCGATCAGTACTGGCGCATGATAACTATTGCACATTGTTGCTACAACTGTTGCTGCGAGAGCATTAACAGCGATCAGTACTGGCGCATGATAACTATTGCACATTGTTGCTACAACTGTTGCTGCGAGAGCATAAACAGCGATCAGTACTGGTGCATGATAACTATTGCACATTGTTGCTACTACTGTTGCTGCGAGAGCATAAACAGCGATCAGTACTGGCGCATGATAACTATTGCACATTGTTGCTACAACTATTGCTGCGAAAGCATTAACAGCAATCAGTACTGGTGCATGATTACCATTGCACATTGTTGCTACAACTGTTGCTGCGAGAGCATTAACAGCGATCAGTACTGGCGCATGATAACTATTGCACATTGTTGCTACAACTGTTGCTGCGAGAGCATTAACAGCGATCAGTACTGGTGCATGATAACTATTGCACATTGTTGCTACTACTGTTGCTGCGAGAGCATTAACAGCGATCAGTACTGGCGCATGATAACTATTGCACATTGTTGCTACTACTGTTGCTGCGAGAGCATTAACAGCGATCAGTACTTGCGCATGATAACTATTGCACATTGTTGCTACTACTGTTGCTGGTACAGTCAGACGAGCATCTATAGATTCCCTGGTATTATTCCACACTATAGATTCCCTGGTATTATTCCACACTATAGATTCCCTGGTATTATTCCACACTATAGATTCCCTGGTATTATTCCACACTATAGATTCCCTGGTATTATTCCACACTATAGATTCCCTGGTATTATTCCACACTATAGATTCCCTGGTATTATTCCACACTATAGATTCCCTGGTATTATTCCACACTATAGATTCCCTGGTATTATTCCACATGATGTACCGGGAGGAAAGTAAGTCCACCATGTTATGGGATCAGTAATCTTGGTAATTCCCAGTCACATCAGCTGACTGGTGTTAAAAGATGCTCACATGACTACAAGGAGTAACCACATACCTTGTGCTGCTCAGGCAAACATTTTTCCAACTTTGTTCGCAGACTTAGACCTGGAATAAAACATTGACCAATATCGTATCTGGGGATGTCACTGGAAATCTAAATAAAATAAATCTAAACAAATGTGAGTAATAATACTCTGGATGATTTGACCAGGTCAAGGACAAACATGTAACAAGTGCTGAGACTTTTCATTATAACTGTTATAACATGTTGAAGGGTATGAAATTAACATGAACATTTGAAATCTTCAGTCATGTTAACACAACTTTCACAGGCCTAGGTTGTAGCATGTTTTGAGCAATCATTGTTATTAAGTAAATGAGTAGGTACCCCACAGCCCCTCACTCTTATTGATACTTTCTGAAATTATCTTACATCTACAAGGAGTGATCTTTCATGCACCTCAGAGGATTGATTGATTGACTGATTGTTTGATGCCACACTCAGCAATATCCCAGCTGTCATGGCTATATGATGGTGCTTTGGAAATAATCGAGTCCGGACCAGACAATCCAGTCCTCAGAAGACAATTAAAGGGGCAGAGGAATCTATAAATTGCATAGATCTACAGAGGTTCCAGAATACAGATGGGCTGAATATTGTTTCATCATTTTTCTCAGAGGTTGTTAATGTCAAGAGTTGGATTCTTCTTTATTGGGCTTACTTACTTCCTAATCCAATTGACATTTCATGCAACTGAAGCTTCGGACTAGAATATACTCATTAGGGTTTCAGATTAATTCATTTTCTGGGACTTTCACGCAAAATGTCCTAAATGTGCGAAAGCTATGTCTGATCAAAATTTGCCAATATCATGAAAATGACTTAATGACATTTGTCTTCACCACATATGCAACCTATGTACTTCGATATCACTTTCTAATGAGCCAATTAGCATGATTAGGCTGGATGACAGAGCGAAACATTCAGCAAATGTTTCCAGCATATCATATTTATGAATGTCGAACATTATGGTAAACAGTTTCAAATGTAAAATGATATGTTGCAGATAATCTATACACCCTGTCATTTGTTGGGTATCATGGCATCTACACATTAAGAATGAACTGTAGAGGGGAATATTGTGTTCTATGTGGCAAGATCAGACAGGGAAGGTATGAAATCAGAGCAACAGCAAGAAGGCGTACCTATGAGTGATGCTAAAGAACAGTGAGGAACAGTGGGGACGAAGGTCAGTTTGACCAACAGCTGACCGCCCTGGAGTCGTGAGACATGGACTCCTTCCTCGGATATAACACTCAGCTCCTCCAAAGTCTCCGGCTTCTCCGGGTCTCGCACATCACGGATAATATCTGAAACATCAACACTTTCCTTTGACTGAGGTTTCAAACTTTCCAGTTATATGACTACAATATACCCATCTCTGCTACACACATATACTAGTGCACACTTTATGTAAATATTGAGGATGGTGCGATTTCAAACTGCGTCTGTACACTGCTGCATCTTAAAACGTAATCGTCAACAGCTCCTCCTTAACTTTGTCACAAATCAATTCAAAGGACACGACACCAGATGTAGGTCTTCAGTAACCTTTTGTCTTTACTATGTTTAGGTGACATTATATCATAATTATTTACAATGTTGTGAAGATCACCACCTAGATCACAACATACTGTATTACAAAGTCGCAATACACTAATTGTGAGCGAATACCGAGGGACAAAACATATCGGCTAGTCGTCACACCATAAATAGTTTCTGCGAGTATTTTCAGCTCCCCATCTCGCTCCGGATCCGTTACTGTAGTTGTTTCATCGTTACATTCTGTTTCCGGTGGAGAATTAGTTTCATTCATCCTCGCCGGAACTGCATCTTTGAAGAATTTTACAATGCTTTGCATCGAGGCCGTGATGTCAACAAATTAGAGTTATCTCCCCTTCACCAAGCTCCTCACAGCGATATCCCGTTCGCGAAGCTCTCTACACTATCGCTGCTACCAGTTAAAACTGCTTTGAATTGAACTCGCAACTGACGAACCGTTATGTTTACAAACAAGTGATGACAGTCGTGACGCCGAATACTCTTATCCCTGCGAAATTATTTTCTTTGTTTGTCAATTTGAACTTACAACTATCATGTAATTGATATGGTAAGAATGTAAGGGCATGAACATCTTCCCATATCTCCCCATATCTTCGTCGTGTCCCACAAAGTGAGTGAGTGAGTTTGGTTTGACGCCGCTTTTAGCAATATTCCAGCAATATCACGGCGGGGGACACAAGAAATGAGCTTCACGCATTGTACCCATGTCGGGATTCGAACCCAGGTCTTCGGCGTGACGAGCGAACGCTTTAACCACTAGGCTACCCGACCGCCCCTGACCCACAAAGTCCTGATGCTGATAACAATGAAAACTAAAACTAAATCTTTTGGGTAAAAGTACTAATGTTTAGATGCATTTATTAATTGTCAATGCATGAGAATAACCAGTCTAGATTATCCACCGAAACAGATCAATTTGTTGGAAAGAGCAAAATAGCTGTGAAAATTATAGGAATGGGCCACTGAAAATCAGTGATGACACCAGGTGTTCGCGAAATGGGCAAGCAAAGGGTATAAAATACATTAATTTATTACCGTGATGTATTATGAACTACGTGAACTATGGACCAGCGATACACTGTTAGTGTTAGTGTTGGTTAACAATACATATACAGACTGATATTGTCATAAAAGGTCACTGTGAACGATGACTGGTAAATAACAACAGATGTTTCACTTACTTATTATGAAGTTGTGAACATGTCATCAATATTATATAATAACTTTATTCGCTCGACATGTACCTCAAGACATTACCTGTATCATTATCGTATTCACTACCGATCTGTTACCTGGTTGAATGACGTAAAATAATAATGCATTGTAATAATCATGTGAACAGCTGTAACAGTGAGTAGGGAGGTGGTGTTCGGTGGGGGGACTGCTGTCCGACATTCCAAGATGTAAGAGGTACGTCTCTCCCCTGAGATGAGACATACTGATGGACTGAACGTTAACCTGCTGAACTATTGCTGTATTGTAGATGAGGACACGAAGAATAGAGGTAATAATAACCCACTGGACATTGTACTGTGTAAATGGTTATAGAGAAGCCGAAATGTAATGCGTATAATATATTACGACAAATAATGTATACTACGTTAAAGCTTTAATATGAACGGGTCTGTGGACATGGTAGCAAGTTTCTTTTTGTAAGAATCAGATTCTAAGATTAAGATGGAAGGATATATAGGGTATAAAATGACACACATGCTAGTTTCAGAATGTTGTGTTTCCCGATTCCAGTTCCTTGTGCTTACCGATCAACAGCTGATACCAGGAGATGGCATTGTTGTGTCTGTGTCTTGTGATGTGTCTTTTCCATCAGACACAAAGTCAGCCCTGTGAGTACACATGCAACTCTTCCCTTTGCACCAGGGCGACATTTCCCACGATATTTACATTGCATAACATTGATTTTTGTTTTGTTTGTTTGTTAACGCCGCACTCAGCAATAGGCCAGCTACATGACTCCGGTCTGTAAATAATCGAGTCTGGACCAAACAATCCAGTAATTGACATGATGAGGATCGATCCACGCAATTGGAATACGATGATATGCATCAACCAAGTCAGCGAATCTGACCACCCGATCCTGTTAGTCGTCTCTTACGACAAGCATACTCGCCTTTTACGGCAAGCATGGGTTGCTGAAGACCTATTCTACCCAAGATCTTTACAGGTCACATAACATTGAAGTCTGTGGATACCATCATGGAAAATGTCCATATATATCCTCACCAACACGCTACATTATCTTTCATGTGGCTTCATTGTCTGTACAGGGGTCACGGGTGGCCTAAGGCGCCGCGATTCGCTGTGCAAAGTTGCGTCCCTTGGGCACGCCAGAAACCAATGATTGTGGGTTCGAAAACCGGTTCGCCCCGATTATGTTTCAAGGTTTGTCAGCACCATACCCGTGCTCGTGGGTTTCCCCGAAGTGGTAAACGTCGGAGACTTGCATCAATTCGGGCTTTCCTCCCACATTAAGCTGGCACGCAGCGATATAACTGGAATACTATTAAAAGCGGCGTTAAACCCAATTCACTCACTTACTCATTGGCTGTACAAGAAATGTACCTCTGGTACTTCACTGGGCCCCCCTTCGTCAGTGTGTTTGTTTTAAATGCACTCGTTTCCTGTTTTTTAATACAACCTTTGATGAATCAGCCATGACATCTGAACATAAATGTTGACATGGCGAACTTCCACGTTAGCGGTACACGTTGTGTACACTGCTTCTGTGTTGCTACCGTAGTGTACATATTATTAAGTAAATATAATTACCGAAACTCACTTAATACAAATTATTTCACAAAAACCTGATATAAGAGGACCTTATGGAATTTGATCATGATGTTTATATTGGTTTAGTATTAGTTCATTGGCTGATAATCTTGCACATGCATTGACATATCGTTCCAAGGTAATGCTCCACCGTGCGACCTTATAGAAACAGTGCTTGGATCCTACAAGAAGGAGATGCGGCCCCGATGTAAGAACGCCTCGAATGTGGAGGTGCACATGGATATGGCTCTCAGACAGGTCGTCACTCTGGTAGGCGCTGACTCAGCCTGCTGTTGTGATACTTATGACAAAGAAGTGTGTTTATGTCAAACTATTGTCAACTATTCAGACTTATATCAGTTACCGAATCTGAACAGAAAAATGTATTTGCTGAATGTAGGAACAACGACCAATTGGGTTCCAAGATGGTTCTTAGACGCAATCAAAATTATTTGTTTGTTTAACGCCGCATTCAGCAGATTTCCAGGGATATGTCTGTAAGTAATCGAGTCTTATCGATCCAGTGATTGATATTGTGAACATCGACTCACGTAGTCGGGGTAACGATGACACATAATAAAACTGTATTTGAATATTGTCCCTGATCCGACGCTGGACATTCAGCTACAACCAGAGCATGCTGTCATCTCTCGCCAGTCGCCAATAATGACAGAATGATACATTTCTTACCATTGAGACGCCTTGGAAATGTATCGTATCGCACCATTGCCATTCAATCCATTGTTTACACTTGTTCTGTGATCCGTAAAGATCCGGGGTAGAATAGGTCTTCAGCAACCCGTGAAGATCCGGGTAAGAATAGGTCTTCAGCAACCCGTGAAGATCCGGGTAAGAATAGGTCTTCAGCAACCCATGCTTGCTGTAAATGGCGACTATGTTTGTCGTAAGAGGCGACTAACGGGATCGGGTGGTCAGGCTCGCTGACTTGGTTGATGCATGTCATCCTATTCCAATTGCGTGGATCGATGCTCATGATGTCAATCACTTGATTGTCTGGTTCGGCCTGTGGGTCCAGATTATTTACAGACCGCCGTTATATAGCTGGAATATTGCTGAGTGCAGCGTTAAACAACAAACAAACACCTGTTCTGTAATATTGAATATTGTAATCGCACTAATGTGATCGTATGAATGGTTGTCCCTTACAGTCGGAGACGAAACAGATATTGACAAGCAACGCGTGGATACGTCTGGTGAGATACATTTTATTTAGATAGCACGTTACTCCAACCAAATGTGATTAATCTTTCCATTGCTGACTCTGTCACTGATAGACAAAATGAGTCGGAAAACACTCTCAGACATGTGAATCCATATCTTCATTCAGAAGTGGACCGACTGCCGACTTCGGTGGAACCCCGCCCACTTCAATGGAACTGACGCCATCCACGTTTCCTATGACCGTATTTGGACCCCTGACGTCACTCTCTATGATGAGTATGTCTGTTTAGAATATTGCAAAGCGTGTGTGTTATCCTAAGTTTGAAAATTAAGAAAATTTTAATATCGTCAGTCTTTCAGTGACAAAAGCTTCTCAACGACTTTCCTTCTTGTCGCTCGGTCTTACGTCAATCTGCACAATAACAATTCAAGTGCACAATAATAATAATAATTATTATGTACAGATTAAAATAAAAACGCAACAAGAAGGTTTGGGTGATCCTGGCACAGTTGGGCTGGTTAGGCTCATCATCAGCTCAGGACCCTTGCCCCCTCTACACGCAGCCCAGACAGCGAATGGGACTTCTCACAGGAAGCGCTGCCTAGTCAAACCCACCCAGAACTTTTCGGAGAATGTGAAGACTCCCCAACACTGCAGCCTTCTGCATTACCCCGATTGTCAGAAGGGCTGTATTCCTGGTAGCAAACCCGGGTACTCTCCCAATGTCAGTCAACAGATTGGGAGGTACCAAACCTAAGGCACCAAGAACAATAGGGAGTCGGACAACTCGGACAGCTTGGGATGCAAGCGTGACATTTCGAAAGTAAAGTCTGCATATTTGCCATGTTTTTCCTGAATCTTGTCAATCACATCAGTGTCAAAAGGGACAGAAAAGTCAATTATATAAATGATTTCATTGGATTTATTGGTCTGGGTACGTCTGAGATTGTAAACGGGCCTATTCCAAAGAAGTTTGTATTTGTCATTTTCGATGACGCCCTCTACATATTCTGGGTCGTACCATGGATGGACCCCTGTGTCAAAAACACAAGTATTGCGAAGACGGTAATAAATGATCGAGCCACTCTATCATGTCGCTTAAGATACTGTGTTTTTGCCAAAGCTTGGCATCAACCGACAATGTCTTGGACAGTCTCATTAAATTCATTACATAATCTACATTCATATTTACATTTTGACACAAAATCACACATTGAAGGTTTTGAGTGGGAAGTGACTGGTCCTGAGCAACAAACAGAAACCCTTCTGTTTCACCTTTCAGCCTGCTCCATGTACATAATGTCATTGGAAGCGCAGTATGATGACACAAGATCTGTCAGACACCCTGTGAATATTTTGTAAGGTGTATTCAGACACGTAAAAGGGCGGATGTTTTTAGGGTCAGTCAAATCACCATTCTTTGGGAGAAGTATTGTTCGACCTTTGCACAACCAAGGCGTAACATCCCCTGTATCCATAAGAGAATTTAAACAGTGAAGTAATGGTGTTTGGACACAAGGGAACCGTTTCTCAAACCGGTTTAGAATACCATCAGGCCCTGGCGCCGTATTAGATTCGGATTTTTTAATTGCCTTTGTTTCAGGCAATCATGTGTAATGAAACACAACCATGGTTACTTTATTTTGTCATGTACACTATTATTGTACTCCTCTACCCATGGATCCTCGAGGTTACAGTTGCCGAGTATTGACCAAAGTTTCCAAAACCTTTCACTGGAATCCATGGAGGGCCTTTTCTCATCATTGCCATTAGTTGCATTTAATTGCCGGCAAAACTGTTTTTCAGTAAAATTAAAAAGTTTAGTTTGTTTCATGAAATTATTTGTCTTATCTCACTCTCTTTTTCTTTCTGTCCAAAGCTTTAATTTTGCCTTATGAGAATCAAGATATAGAATTTTCCCTTTTGTTGTCTCTTTTGACATTGGTTGCCCTTAGGAATGTCAAGCAAAGTTCTATCCAGGATATAGCTTTCCTTGTTTCATTTATTTTTATTTGGAACCCGTTTTTCTTTTGATTATTTATTTATTACCGTATTTTGGTTCATTGTCTTTAGGAAACTGTATGGAGTTCCTCCAGTGTTCGAGCAGCAGCATACACGCAACAGCTAATGTCATGCATAGAACATATAGAACACTGAAATAATGTCATTTAATTTATCAAGATGATTCTGTGGAAATTATTGGTTAAATTGTTTAAGTGACCTCCGTTTCTCAATCGGTAAATCATACATTTGATTACAGAATGACAAACGATAATCAGAAAGATTTATCAGAGTTAAAAGCGTTTCTTCTTGGCTTTCTGTAACCCAGTTTTGAGAGGCGTACTTCACCAGGCCCTTAATGTTAGTAGTAGTAGTAGTAGTAGTAGTAGTAGTAGTAGTAGTAGTAGTAGTAGTAGTATATACTATGTAAATGTGCTAGTTTCTACAAGATGGTACATGTCATACGCTTGATGTGTCACATGTTTCAGCACTGCTTCCGGCAATAATGTAGCTCTGTCGGAGAGGAAATTCTACAACCTGGCAGTAACGAGTGAGGGCAACGTCTCCCAATTCTTCCCCACCATCCTCCGCAGCATCTGCTCGGTGGACACCACCTACTTCCCGTTTGACCTGCAGCAGTGCCCCCTGGAGTTCGGACTGTGGGTGTATGACGACTCCATGGTGACCCTGTCAAGCACAGAGCAAGGAGACGTCGCGTCGTACCAAGAGAACGCTGAGTGGTTCCTCACCGGCGTCAGTGCAGTGACGAAGCCAAACATATACACCAACAGCGTCTACACCACCATCATCTACACTGTGAACATACGTAGACGGCCACTGTTCTTCCTTCTGACGTTGTTCTTCCCGTGTTGCCTGATCTGTAGTATATCCGCAGTCGGGTTCTTCCTGCCCCCTGCGTCTGGGGAGAAGATTGGGCTCGAAGTCACCGTCTTCCTGTCTGTTACATTGTTCCAGTTTATTACTCTGGAAAGGCTTCCTCCAAACTCGAAACCATTGCCAATAATATGTAAGTCCATTTATCATAGTGAGTACAGAGATAATGACGACCATACAAATACAAATATTCCGGTTTCGTTATTAACGATAACAGTGATCTGTTATTAACTAACTGATAGCATTCATTGTGTAAGATAACGTTGTTCCGGCTTCGTCTGTTGATTGAGTGGGTGGCAGAATTTGACACGGCGCTTTAGTCGATATACCGCCTGTATGGCGACAGTGTACATATACATGGGCGATCACAATTGTTTGTGTGGGAAATCGAACCTAGGTTTTCCGGTGTGACAAGCCTACCCCTTTAACCAATAGACTACCTCACCCAAATATGTTAATGTCTTTTACATATTTCAGGCGTGTATTTTATGCTGGTGATGATTTGGGCCAGCACATCGTGTTTCTTGGCTGTCGTCGTCCTCAGGGTGCATCTGAAGGGTCAACAAGGCTGGAAGGTTCCTCCTATGGTTCGCACCATCTTCATTGACAGGCTTGGTCGTATACTGTGCGTGAAAAGACCACACAAGTTCAGAGAATATGTGGATGTAAGTGAGACTTATTACACGCCGCCTTGCACAGTGTGTCAGGTATATCACGGGTCAGCCGTTAGAGGGGCGGAAGCCTGACATTATGCAACTAGGCGATTACCACATTGGTGACTCCCTTAAGGACGAGTATGGTGCTGACCTAACATCGTAATGCCCGAGAGAATCGGCTTTTTTAACCTTTGGTTATAGCTTTTTGGAACGCCTAAGGGATGCAACTCTTCTTCATCTTGTCCGTGTCCCCTTGGATATGTAGAATCTTTCATATATACATATTGTAAAGCAGCAACAATCAACTTCGATCTTAGACTTACTTTAATTAAAATTCTGTAAAACCACTGAGATAATGTTCTTGCCAGGTCCATTTATGAACCATGTCCTTTGTTTCCAGAAGCACCTCAACAAGATGAACCCTAAAGCAAACGGCACTAATGCTGTGATTCCTTTTGTATCTGAGGAAGCGCCAGCATCGCCTACAGAGTTTGGTGCCATCTTAAAGTCCTACCAAAAGATATCAGAGAGTTTAGACTATCTGGTGAAACATACCAAAGACAAGAAACCTGACCCTGATAGTGTAGATCTGGAATACGATGACTGGCTGACAGTAGCCATCATCCTTGACCGACTGTTCTTCCTCCTCCACGTGGCGCTGTTCCTAGTGGTGCTCATAGTCTTCCTCGTCGAACTGTCCAACTGATGTCGATACTGATAGTCACCGAGGACGTTGGAACTGCTACTATTCCCTTCTGTCTATTAGATTATTCGAGGATCTGAAGCTGACATACATTCTGTGCTAAGTCTTTTATTCTAGTTGAACTAGATATGTTTGTGGTCATGAGAAGTCAAGATAATTCTCAAAGCAATTAGTAACAAGATTAGGTCAACTGCAGCTTAATACAATTCCGTGGATAATAAAAGATCCCTCAAAAGATTATTGAAATTTGTGCTGTTTTGAATGTAATCCTCAACATTCTTAGGTACACTAGCTGAGATTTACGAATTGAACTCACAAATCTCAGTTCTTCTGACATTCCTGAATATCCATAATGCCAAAAGAATCATGGTTGTATTCAAAATAGAAAAATTACTATCATCAGAGGAAAGAGTTTCAAACTAAAACTTCAAATTCTGTATGTCGTGGATATGCCCTTTAAGAAACATATTTAAGTAAACAGGAAATGGGAAATTTTTCTCTGTCGCAAGAAATCAACCCAATCGACTAAACTCAACCGTGTAAGAAGTGGATTTGATTCTTATCATCAAGGAACTCGTCCTGTGGAAGTAAAACCCAGTAGAGATTTGATTCCTGGTGCATTGAACAATGAATGAGGATCTCATCAGGTGCAGCTATCACCCAAATACATTGTTATGGGACGTGGTACACGTTCCTGTAACAGCAAGCCTACACTACGTGGTGGCGGTGACACGATATTCGTAATAGATTTATGTTAACACGGCTCTATATTGTAGGGATCTTGCCATCTGGCATATCACGCAGTTCAATGACGCTTTAATATTCCTCTTTATCTGTACTTTGTACAGGAAATATTAACTGTTCGAACAGACCTAGTCATAAACAATGTTTTTTATGGAGGGAGAAAACAAATTCAATGTAAATAACAATGTATGGAAGATAATACCTAAATGGCTCTCAAAGGGGACGCGTACTGTTGTTACAGGTGTGAGTGGCGGGTTCTACCGGTCGGGCAGGACTTACCCTATTCGCGGACAATTGGTGTCATTACTGATTTTAAGTGCTTCATTCATAAACTTTTCACTCCTGTTTTACATTTTAGGCCAAATAGTATGTTTTCGGCAGGAAATCGAGACTGGTTATTCTCTGGCATTGACGTTTTGTGTTGTGTATTGGCGTGACTGCATCCACTTCGCTATAGGCTCAGGCTACCCATTATCGTCTTGCCACCCTCATGTCATAGTGGGGTTCATGTAACCCATCATGTTCCACTTTGGGGGATATTGTTAGAGCTAGCCTTCATAAGACATTTACTTATCTCTGCGTTAAAGTGCTCCATGACATCAGGTTGAACGTGGTCAGATGCCATACACACGGAGGAGAGAAGTGTCATGACAATGTTAATTGACTTGTTGAACACTGCTTTTAGGGCGTATCGACTCCTGATACCAGGTTTTGTTAAAGGGTTTGTTTGGATAAAACATTGATCAGACGAATGACCAAATATTACGTTGTTATTTTTAATAACGTGTACCCAACTTTATTGTAAGCGCAGTTACTTTATTTCATTAGTATATTAATATTATGCATGCACAGACCTGTACATGAAGATTAAAATCGAACGACACATGCACATAATCTAAGATTACCATGCATTCGAAAGAAGAATCGGTCCTACTTTTATCGATCAGGTCAACAATCTGTTGAGAAATCAAGCACGTGTTTAATATTGATAATGTCGCGGCGCTACGAGCACCAGGAATGTTGCTGTAGTCAAGTTTTCCTGCATTGTCGATCAGTTGGTCATATGGCGAACCGCGTAACGATACAGCCCCCTCTTCCTAGTATTGTAGCGGCATTCACAGGTATATTTCATGTGATCACCCAGGTGTTGAAGGAGCATGTCTCAGGTATACTACATATGGTTAGCTGTGTATATCTTCAAGCCGGTCCTCTGTGGACATTGTGAGTATAACTCGAACTGCTTTACTCGAAGTACTTTACTCGACATATCGTCAACGACGTTACTTTTAGGCCCTGGCACAAATCATATCGGTATTTTTGTTTCATATCAAAACTCCGCTAGTCTCGAGCTACCGACAGTTCGAAGTTGTTCGATTTTCCCCGACTTCGAGTTATGATTTTAATATAACTGTTTTCGTATTATCACATGAAAGTTAAAACGATATATTGATATTTTCGTACACATACGTAAATGAGTACAATTGTGTATGTGTGACTCACCAGGAGAAAGGGGACCAAATGGTGCTAAGATACAATTGTGCCATGCCGTCATAAAGACGTTTGACGTCCACTTCTTCTGTAAAGATAGCCATGTGTGACGTCATGTATCTCCGTAATAAATATCAAATATGGCTTGTATTTTTGCGTTCGTAAGATGCTGGTTTTTTTTAAATACAATGAAAAGTGCAAATGTGATTTTTCACGTAAAGGTCCCTTATCTCAGGGTTGGTCACATACTTTTCTTAATGTAGAAAGTCAATGATGTGTGCTCCTATGTGGAATTGTGTAGTGGTGATGTTGGTGCAGTTGTCTCCGATGTCACGAGTTGCGGGAATCCTGTGATTGTCGGAGGTTCCAATCCGAGATACGCTGTGAATATACTTCAGAACCACTCATTTTGCTCGTAGGCTTCACCCTGGTTTGATTTTGTTTGATGTTTAAAGCCACACTAATAATTCAAGCTATATGACCCCGGTCTGTAAATAATCGAGTCTGGACCAGACAATCCAGTAATTAATATCATGAGAATCGATCCACGACATTGGTATCGATGACATGCATCATCCAAGTCAGCGAGCTTGACCACCCGATCCCGTTGGTCGCCTCTTACGACAAGCATGGTCGCCTTTTACGCAAGGTTGGGTTGCTGAAGACCTATTCTACCCCGGATCGGCACGGGTCTCACCAAGGAAGTAAACTTGATACAGGTGTTATAGTTCAACAAGGTGGTAAACGTATAACTTCGGGCTGGCCAAGTAACGGCCCAATCATTTCGCAGTTATGTTTCCTTCTACGCCCAATGGAGTCTGTTTCGGCGGAAAGTCGACACTGGTTATTGTTTTCGTTGGCGTTTTATATTTCCTACCACTGTTCAAAGAATTAAACCAACTTCCTTCACTCTCCCATAATGAAGGTTATCACATGTGTGCTCATGACGATAATGTCAACATCGCTATGTAATTCAGGTAGTAATCAAACATGTGACGTTCTGGACACCTTGTTGGGATCTTACCAGAAGAATATGCACCCTCGCTGTGACACACCTGTGGAGATAGACCTAGGCCTGGCACTCAGACAAGTTGTCAGTCTGGTAGGTTTCGACTTCAAGTAACAATGTGTACCCAATATCTAAGTTACGTTTGTTTAACGCCAAGACTCAGCAATATTCCAGCTATATGACGGCGGTCTGTAAATAATCGAGGCTGGACCAGACACTCAAGTTAAGAGCTTCGACCCACGCAATTAAGATACGATGACATGCGTGAGCCAGGCGACCCGATCCCGTAAGTAACCTCTTGGGACAAGCATAGTCGCCTGTTACGGCAAGCATGGGTTTATGAAGACCTAATCTGATCCAGATCGTCACGGGTAAACGGTTACGGCTGTTATCTTGTTACGGCATTGATCTTGAGGTTATGTGGTGTGATGTCCTGTTTTTATGTTTAATGGTCACTGTTTCCGGTTCCCTCTTGCAACATATTGAACATGGAATTAATCACAGTTAATCGGTCATATGTAATTATATTAGCGATATCCATTTTCAGAATGTCAGTTTGGCCTGTCAGTGTTTGTTTGTTTGTTTGTTTGTTGTTTAACGCCGCACTCAGCAATATTCCAGCTATATAACGGCGGTCTGTAAATAATCGAGTCTGGACCAGACAATCCAGTGATAGACATCATAAGCATCGATCCACGCATTTGGGATCGATGACATGCCTGACCACCCGATCCATTTAGTCGCCTCTTATGATAAGCCTGTCAGTTAACATTACAATGAGGATACCGCATATATATCTCTTACAGGCTGAAACCAGGCAGATTTTGACAAGCAACGTTTGGATACGTCTAGTAAGTAGTATCTGTTTATTACAATCAACGTTATGATACGGGTAGTAATTTGTATCTGTTTATTACGAGCAACGTTTGGATAGGTAAGTGATTAGCAGCTGATTCTAACAAGCAACGTTTGGATACGTCTTGTGATATCTGTTCATTTCAGTCAAGCAACGTTTGGATAAACGATTAGAATCTGATTATTACAAGCAACGTTTGAATACATTTTGTGTATAGTGTCTGTTTATAACAAGCAACGTTTGGATACGGCTAGAAATTTGTATCCGTTTATTGCAAGCAACGTTTGTATACGGCTTGTGAGTAGTATCTGTTTATTACAAGCTACGTTTGGGTACGGCTAGAGTGTAGTATCTGTTTATTACAAGCTACGTTTGGGTACGGCTAGAGTGTAGTATCTGTTTATTACAAGCTACGTTTGGGTACGGCTAGTGAGTAGTATCTGTTTATTACAAGCTACGTTTGGGTACGGCTAGAGTGTAGTATCTGTTTATTACAAGCTACGTTTGGGTACCGCTAGTGAGTAGTATCTGTTTATTACAAGCTACGTTTGGGTACGGCTAGTGAGTAGTATCTGTTTATTACAAGCAACGTTTGGGTGTGGACAGTGAGTCGTATCTGTTTATTACAAGCAACAATTGGGTACGGCTAGTGAGTAGTCTCATTACATTACAAGCAACGTTTGGGTGTGGATAGTGTGTAGTCTCTTTTCATTACAAGCAACGTTTGAGTACGGCTAGTGATTAATATCTGTTTATTTCAAGCAACGTTTGGGTACGGCTAGTGATTCATATCTGTTTATTACAAGCAACGTTTGTACACAGTACACAAAAAGTATATTATTTTCAAACCATGTTTAAAATTATGAAAAGAGGTTTAGATTTTACCAAAATCACTTTGAAATGCAGACACTTATTACAGATTCTCACAGAGGGTTTACCATTTTTACGTGGTAGCAGGTGGTCTTGTCTACATCGCACAGGCCACAAATCAGGTGACGTTAGCAACGTTGTTCACGAAGAGTAGTTGGATAGGTGACCGTTTTCGTCAAATTCACTCCTAAAAGGGCCTCAGGCTAAGGTCCTGCCCTACACTGAAGCACATTTAGCACATTTAGCACACGTAGCACATGTTGTACATGTATCTTTAGGTAAGTGGTACATGTATCTTCAGGTAGGTGACTTTGATCGAACGATGCCTCTGTTGCACCAGACCGCCTCCGTGGTCTAGTGGTAGAGCGTCTGCCAGGAGAGCGGAAGGTCCGGGTGTCGATCCCCGACCGCGTCATACCAAAAGACGTTAAAAGATGGTACTTGTTGTTACCCTGTCTGGCGCTCGGCATTAAGGGGCTAAAACAAGGACTGGTCGGCTCGGAGTCAGTATACTGTGTCTGAGTGGGATATTCATGTTAAACTGCGGCATGGTATCTCAGTGAGCTAGCACTATAAATCGTCATCAGTCCGGACTAGTACAAGCAGCCACACAAACACACACACGTGCATGAACGTCGCTATATAAGTGCAATAATCTTGAACGCGACGTTAAACCCCATTTCACCTCACCTCACCTCACCTCACCTCACCTCTGTTGCACCAGCAGAATGTGGGTAACCGGTTGGTTAAGATGTTAATGTGTCTGTTAATGCTTCTTGCTCCTCAAAGACAGCTTGGGGTTTAATACTCCCCATGGAGTTGAGAATGCAAATTTTGTACACACTAATCCATTGACCTGGGTGATGATAATGTAAAGCGCCTGGATGCTGCCTGGTTGGAACTCGGCGCCATGTAAATGTATTATTATTATTATTATTATTATTATTATTATTATTATTATTATTATTTTCATAAGCTTTTGAAATTGGCAAAATAATTTGTGCCATATTCATATCTTTCTTTGTGGTAACTGGTAGTGTAGTGATATATGAGAGAGAGAGAGAGAGAGAGAGAGAGAGAGAGAGAGAGAGAGAGAGAGAGAGAGAGAGAGAGAGAGAGAGAGAGAGAGAGAGTAAGAGAGAGAGAATAATGTTTATTGTAGTGTCACATGTTATATACACTTCATACTAAAACACGTACACAAATAATACAATATAACATCCGACTAGGTATGGCCTACGAGACACTTAGACATAAAAACAAATTATAACGTCATGATCTGGATAAGGTAAATTAAGACATATACTAACATAATGTTTAAAGTTAAGATTGGGTTATGAACACGCACGCACACGCACACGCACACGCACACGCACACGCACACGCACACGCACACACACACGCCAAATTACTTTTAGAGTCACGCACATATGTACTTGATCAAAGTATTACCATTGAAATATTTTCTTAGTTTTATTTAAAATTTGCATTGATAAAGAGGCAAGTTTTGATAGAAAAATATATTCCACGCTGATGTTTACGTAATAACGAGATATGTGTGACATTGATCTGTTGATTATTCCGATTAGTTACTAAATACATACGTATTATCCCTGGGATGAAAGTCCTTTCGATGTACAAGTTTATCTCACATGCAATACCATACGTGTATAGTACACGTTTCTTAACATGGTAAGTGAAATGTAACATAGTCTCTCCTGGTCAGGGGGCACGGGTGGCCTAGTCGTCTAAGGCGCCGCGAACACGCCAGAAACCAATGATTGTGGGTTCGAATCCCGGTTCACCCCGATTATGTTTCTAGGTTTGTCAGCACCACACCCGTGCTCGTGGGTTTCACCGAAGTGGTAAACGTCCGAGACCTGCATCACTTCGGGCTTTCCTCCCACATTAAGCTGGCACGCAGCGATATAACTGGAATAATGTTAAAAGCGGCGTTAAACCCAACTCACTCACTCTCCTGGTCACGTGTTCTGTGCAACCGAAACCACCATATCCCGGGAATTCTAGTTTTCAATGTTTTAAAAATTCGATATCTGAAAGACGATAAGCGTGATTTCACATATCAACCTTAAGGACGTTTTGTGAGATTAAAGTGTTTACTTCGCTTTATCAGTTGGCAGAGGCGGTCACTCGGCATTTATGAAAACAAACACTTCTTAGAAACAGGATAAACACACCAGGTTGTAGTTCACTTCATCAGTTCTTTTGTATTTAGATAAAACTATCCATTAAAATATGGCAGAGGAAACTTCCGCTTTGGCTACACGCTATCCCATAAGGAAAGTGCACAATGTACATATTCGGACATATACTGAACCTAATTAAAAACTTCACACTCCTAAAATTTTAACATTTTGACCAGTTATCATTGTGGGCCCTTATTGTGTATTTAAACAGTAATGGCCACGTATTGTCTTCAGATAACACCCGTTTTTGTGCAGGTGAATCGATCAAAATCATGTGCACAGACCTATAGTGGCAAAAGTGTTTTTTCACGTGCAACTGGTCACGTGGCCATAATACCGCACGTGTTTTCAGCCATTCTTGTTAGCAGTCATTAACAAAAAAAGAAAAACACAAGAAAACAAAAGTCTTTACGGCCATTTGTCATGCCACGCCTTTCAAATGTGAACGTGAATGTGAACGCGAACGTGCCATCGGCACATACAGCAAACGGGTACCACCGCTGATCGCCCTCGGCCAGGTCGACCACGTGTGACGTCACATGCAGAGGATCGTCAGATTGTCTTACGTTACCTCCGTAACCGATTTTTGACGGCTACATCAACCAGAAATGAACTGTTTAGGGGTAGACTGAGTGCGCAAACTGTTCGAAACCGTCTGAGAACTGCTCACCTTCAAGCACGACGGCCATATTGCGGGCCGATTCTGACTCAATTACACAGACGTCAACGTCAATTGTGGGCACAGCGACACTTACGACGGACTCGGAGAAATTGGAATCAAGTCGTCTTCAGTGATCAATCCCGACTTAATCTTCGATTTGCTGATGGTAGGGCGAGGGTGTGAGGCGCCGTCATGAACGTTGCGCAGAGTTGTGTACAGGAAGTTGACAGATTTCGAGGCGGAAGTGTCATGGTGTGGGGTGCTTTCTGTGGCAATGCACGTTCGAGGCTTCTTGTCATCCGTGGCAACCTCAACGCTGCTGCTTACCGCGACCAGGTACTGGCACCAGAACTTCTGCCTTTTATGGCAGCACATGGACCCGGTTTGATCTTCCAACACGACAATGCCAGACCCCACACAGCAATTTTGACAAGGAATTTCCTTCAGAATGCCGGAGTCAACGTCATGGACTGGCCGTCAAGGGCTCCCGACCTCAATCCCATCGAACACGTCTGGGATGCTTTTGGCAGAAGTCTGCGCACTCTCCAGAACCAACCACAGAATTTGCAAGCTCTTGGCACCATTTTGCAGCAACAGTGGCGTCGTCTTCCCAATCATGTGTTCACAAGCATCACAAGGTCCATGCGGAGGCGTTGTGTGGCAGTTGTCAACGCACATGGTGGCCATACACGCTACTGAACTTGTGTGCCATCAGATTCTCGTGCTTGGGACTTATGATTTATACTGTTGATGTTATTACCGAATATCGTAGGTGCTTGGAACAAATTATGGTTACCACCTTTAATTAAAATCCTTCTTTGGACATTAATAATTAAAAATTACCTTCTCTGATACATTTGTCCGTTGTATGTCATATATAGGATTACTTTTAAAAATGTGAAGTTTTTAATTTGACTTAGTATATTTACTTTCATACATGTATTGTTGTACATTTAAAATATAAAATGAGCTCAGAGAATGTAGATTTATTCTCTTACTGACAGTCGATGTATGGCTGAAATAATGCCGATATGATGTTAAAGTTTAACTCACTCTTGCTGATAACGATTATATTGCACGTTGAAAATATATACTCAAAAAAGAAAGGCAAAACGGATATTTTTGGCCATAAAAGCAAAATTAGCGGACAAAGAGGTGCAAAATGAAGAGGTTTTATGTGTTATAATATCAGTGAGCAATTTCCCGGATCAAAATGATCACAACAAGGACATGCAAACCATTAGTCGGGAAACACGTACGATTCCGAAAAACCCACCCAGAGCATTAACAAAATGACGTGGAGCTGCACGTAATGCACGTACAGCAGCACTATGAACGGTCGCAGTTTAACAACATGCCAAGATTAACAGAAGTGCAAAGAAACAACGTCATAGGCCGCTTGCAGGCACTGGAATCTCGATCAGCTGTAGCCAGGGTTTTTAATGTAGCGCCCAAGATCCATCACAAGGCCATGGGATCGGTTTCAACAGCATGGGTCAACACGTGATCGGCCAAGGTCGGGACGACCAAGAGTAACCAACCCCGCCCAAGATCGCTACATCCTACTGCACCACCTACGTGAAAGGACGACCACAGCCACCTCAACTGCATCCCAAATACCCGGACTGCGCAGAATCTCCGACCACACCGTACGAAACTGTTTTAGAGCAGCAGGTCTCCGAGCAAGACGTCCTTGTGGGCGGCTATCTCTCAGCATGGCAGGACAGGTTTGGTCCATATCCAGGGCAGTCTTACGGCTCAACGATACATCAACAAATTTCTCCTACCACACGTCCTCCAAATTGCAGCCAACGGCAACGGCGTATTCCAGCAGGACAACGCTCGACCGCATAGAGCTCGGATCACAAGAGCCTGTCTACACAACAACAACGTTGATGTTCTCCTCTGGCCCTCCAGATCCCCGCATTTGAACCCGATAGAGCACCTGTGAGATGAATTGGATAGAGGGCTACGCCGACGTCAACCACAACCCCAGACATTGCAACAGTTGGCTTTTGCGTTGCAGGCCGAGTGGGCTACCATTCCCCAGGATGTGATTCGCATACTCATCTCTTCCATGGGCAGATGTCAGGCCGCTATCGATTCCAACAGGGGACATATGCGTTATTGATGGTAGCTGACCTTCACCTTGGACTTTTCCTATGTACCGATAACTGAGATGACTACAATCACCAAGTGTTCTCTCCACAACAATTTGGCTCAATACCTTGTACGGTTCCTCGTAAAAATGTTCCTACCCCACACAGATTTGGCTTTGCGTTCCTTTTTTTGAAGAGTATACATGAAAAACTCTCTCACTGTCATAACGGTCTTTAGAAAGGGGGCATTGAAGATTACCGCTAGTGAAGAATGTTTGACATTAACATTGATTCATCTGAACCTCTGACCATTATATCAACTTTTTATTCTCTGGCCTCAGAATTGGACAGACTGTCGACTGGCGTGGAATGTGACCGACATGAAGGGGACGGCGATTGTTTACGTTCCGTTCGACCGTATTTGGACCCCAGACATGACTCTGTATGACGAGTAAGTTGCATGTCATGTGGTTGTAGTCATTCGGTGATGTCCCTGATGTCTCGTCATCATCATTCTCTACAAACTCTCACGTCACATTCAGGTGTAACAAGTAGTCCGCTTTTAGATGTACATACCTTTTTTTTCCCTGAATAATGTCTATATATGTCAAATGTTAATGATTAATGTTATTCACGAAAATTCCCATGTCATTCTTTCAGTGGCTACGTATCTAATATAAGCGACAAAATCCTTTCCATAACACATCTCAACATGTGATTGTACAATTCAGGCTGTATCATGAGCATGTGTTCCTGGATAAAAATCAAATAGTGATGATACTAAGGGGTAAAAAACATGTTTTCATAGCGGATTTAAAAAGATGTAATTTCTGTATATTCACGTGAGAGTATTTTGTTTTAGTATTAATTGTACGTGTACTTTAGACCATGTGGCCCATAATACTGAATAAACCTTCTGTCTGACTCGTCATGTCCTCACCATGATCTACAGATGTGTTTTCTCATTACTCCAGCACTGCCTTTGGAAGCAACATAGCCATGTCTGAGAGGAAGTTCCATAAGCTAGCCGTGACCAGTGATGGTATGGTGTCACAGAAGTTCCCCACCGTCCTCAGCAGCATCTGCCAGGTCGACGCCACCTACTTCCCCTTTGACAAGCAGGACTGCCCCCTGCAGTTTGGCTTGTGGGTATATGATGACTCCGTGGTTGTTCTGAACAGCGACATGGATGGTGACACAACCTCTTACCAAGAGAATGCTGAATGGGATCTGACTGGGATTGGAGCAATGAAGTGGCCTTATTCATTCAATGGTTTAAACTACAGCACCGTCACATACACTGTGTCCATTCAAAGACGACCAGCGTTTTTCATGGTCACATTTTTCTTCCCCTGTTTCCTGATCTGTAGTATGTCGATCCTTGGGTTCCTCCTTCCACCAGCCTCAGGAGAGAAGGTCGGACTGCAGGTCACCCTGCTGCTGTCTCTCACAGTGTTCCAGTTCCTCACACTCGACACGCTGCCACCAAACTCCAAACCATTGCCACTCATGTGTAAGTCTATTGGATTTTAATGTGGAATGACTCTTCTTTACTCTGCTGCTAAATTGTGTCGTACATAAATCAAAGTACAGTAAACTACGGTTATAACGAACTCAAAGGACCACTAATTTGAGTTCGTAATAACCGTAGTTCGTTATAAGCATATATGCAACAAATGGTCAGGAAAAAAAAGTTCGTTATATCGATCAGTTCGTATTAAATTACTGTATTAACACATGATACCTCTATTGGGTACTGTTTTGACCTTATTAGGCACATCAGCATGAAAAGGTAAAGCACACCTTTAACTTCGGTTTAACCTTAGTGGATGTTACAAGACTTAACGGAGGAGATGCGTCACCGACGGGATTCGAACAACGATCTCATTTGCGATATTTTGTGAAATCATCTTTCGCCTTTGAGACGATACATATATGTCAATTTATCATCACGTGTGTGTGTGACATTTCGTAACTTCTTGTTCTGTATATTTACTTCAACATGTTTAATTAAAGTGTTGAGTCGCTCAGGCTCTCAAACAAGATCGAGGCGATTAAAAAGCTCGGCAAACACGTTTAAAATCCTTCGTGAAAACCTTATGCCTTGAACAGCGAAGAGTTGATATTGTTGGTATATTGATAACTGCGGCAAAAAACACTCACTAACTCACAGGGCAAGGGGTGAAAAAAGACGAATAACTCATATATTAACCTTTTTAATGAGCGCTTTGAAGTTTAATATTTCAATATTTCAGGCATTTATCTGGTGCTCATCATGCTTCTGGCGAGTGCATCATGCGTGCTGGCTGTTGTGGTTCTCAGGGTTCATATGAAGGGCGAGCAGGGCTGGAAGGTTCCGTCTCTAGCACGGTCTCTTCTCATCAACAAGCTTGGCCGCCTACTACGGGTGAAACGGCCACACATTCTCAGAGAACATGCAAATGTATGTAGCTCATGATATGAATCATGGAATCTGTGTCTATAGCAATTGTTTGATTACCTTTCAAAGTGCCTGATTTAAGTATCTCTTAAACATAACAACATTCAGTAAAACTTTCAAAACGTTCTATGTTACACATGTGGATACATTTCCAAATTTGACGCATCAGTGATCAAAATAATGCCTGGTGTAAATCATTGGTGGGGCAGGTTCGCCTCACGTTTTGGCAAACACCTGGTAGCATCACTATTTGATAACGACGATTTCTTATGAGTATGGAAAGGGTTTTGTAGCTTTTATTTAAAGCTTCACTCATATGGTAACATGATCGTGGAATGTATCTGCGGAGTTGTGTATCTTATAACAGGGCTACTGCTAGTTGTTTTACAGTAAGTATAGTAGCACTTCGTAATACATACATTCTCTATCAGTAGGGTATAGACGAGATGTGTTTTTCCGTTTGAACGATGAGGGTTGCAGACTGATATTTGTGTTCCTGCTATATTATTGACCAAATATTATAAATTATTTTTTCAGAGTACATATCGTTAAATGATTTAGAATATTTAACCGTTGACAGAATATGGCTGATATAGTTTTGTTTTACCAGGGTATCCTAAATAAAGATAACCAAACAGCAAGTGTCAGAGAGTCATCCCTGCCGCACACCTCTGAAGCAGCATCTTCAACAGCATCATCTACAGAGTTGGGGGTCGTCTTGACTTCATTTGAAAAGATCTCAAAGAATCTGAATCATCTGCTCAAACATCTCAATGATGAGAAGGAAGCACATGATTCGATGGAATACCAGGACTGGCTTACCATCGCATTCACCCTGGACCGAATGTTCCTCATCCTGTATGCGGCCCTGTCTGTCATCACCTTCATCATCTTCCTGATTCAACTCTCAACATGATTCCATTGGAGTCGGACGGACAGTTTATAGCTCCATGGCCAATAACACAGTTTGTTGTGTTTTTCATGGCCTTATGGTCAATAGTACCGTTTGTTGTTATTTTCATGGCCGTACGGTCAATAACACATTTTGTTGTGTTTTTCAAGGCCGCATGGTCAATAGTTCCATTTATTGTGATTTTCATGGCCTTGTGGTCAATAGTACAGATTATTGTGTTTTTCATGGCCTTATGGTCAATAGTACAGTTCATTGTGTTTTTCATGGCCTTATGGTCAATGGTACCATTTATTGTGATTTTCATGGCCTCGTGGTCAATAGAGCAGTTTAATGTGTTTTTCATGGCCTTATGGTCAATAGTACAGTTCATTGTTTTTTTCATGGCCTTATGGTCGATAGTACAGTTCATTGTGTTTTTCATTGCCTTATGGTCAATAGTACCATTTATTGTGATTTTCATGGCCTCGTGGTCAATAGAGCAGTTTAATGTGTTTTTCATGGCCTTATGGTCAATAGTACAGTTCATTGTGTTTTTCATGGCCTTATGGTCAATAGTACAGTTCATTGTGTTTTTCATGGCCTTATGGTCAATAGTACCATTTATTGTGATTTTCATGGCCTCGTGGTCAATAGAGCAGTTTAATGTGTTTTTCATGGCCTTATGGTCAATAGTACAGTTCATTGTGTTTTTCATGGCCTTATGGTCAATAGTACAGTTCATTGTGTTTTTCATTGCCTTATGGTCAATAGTACCATTTATTGTGATTTTCATGGCCTTGTGGTCAATAGAGCAGTTTAATGTGTTTTTCATGGCCTTATCGTCAATGGAATAGTTTATTGTGTTTTTCTTGGCCTCGCGGTCAATAAGACATGACACATTTTTACGGATAACAACTTCTTTTATTCTTTATAACGACATTTCATGACTGCTTCTTGCCCCTTCATCGGGTGCATACTGAGTAAGTGTAATGAGTATATATACGTGATGATATCTTTACACATAGCTAAATACCTTTCAAAGATTTTATGGTCAATAGCACAGCTTATTGTGCTTTACATGGCCTTATGGTCAGTTGTACATTGTGTATGTCGTGGTCGTATTGTTGACAGTACAGTTTGTGTTTGGTTTCAATGTTATACACATGTCGCATTAGACTGTCACTATCGCGCGATGTCACAGTGAAAGTGCATAGATCATTGACTACAATTACAGGTAAATGTTAAATGTATAATGTCATGCCATTATCAATTCACTATAAGTTATGGATAAAAAGTTCATTTTATGTTATGGTATTTTATGGTATGTTTCACAACCCAAATTTGCATTTGAATAAAGGGAATTATTGGTATTTGTTCTCAGGTACAATTTACCAATATCATAGACCTTTCATTTTAGTGAAATAAAACACTGATATTGCCCTAGCTATTCATATAAAATGGACTGGAGACGCAAACTGTCACACAAAAGTGGATTGTTATGGGTTCCTAAAATTTTCATTGGATGGATATGGTTATTATTTTTACGACCGGTTCCGTGGGGCCGAGAAGCAGAAGGTCAGGGGTTCGATCCCCGAACGCGCCCCGACCAAATATGTCACAAGATGGTGGTCCCTGGTCGGCACACACACACACACACACACACACACACACACACACACACACACACACAATCTTGGTTTAGGAAGACCCAACTAGATGTACGAACACCAATCTTGCAAATAACTCCAATCATGACGATTAGCAAGGTGGCAACGCATTCTATGCAACAAAACACGTTTCGCAAATTGTTACACATGCAAATGTTGTTGTGAACTGCGTGGATTGGATGTCATTCACGTTCCATATGAAGAGATCAGGACTCCAGACATTACACTGTATGGCGTGTACGTGTAAAGATGAAACACAACGAATAAATCAATGTATCCAACTGTGTGCTATACACATTAGTCAAACGCTTCCAGGAAGTGTAACGTGGGTATGTGATCGATGACAGGATGAATTGTGACATAACCATACACAAAAAAGATCCGAAGATCCGAATGTACTTCTATGATGTAGGTATCTACTGCGTCTTTGTGATGCTTATGACCAGCATTCCCTCATAGTCCTCATAGGCTAAGAGAACATGCATGCAAAGTGGTACGTCAAGCAAACTGTCCAGTTGATTATATATATTTCTTATAAATTAAATATAAGATTGTTTTTTGTATTATGGTTAACTTTCTCAGCTGAAATCATCTCTGATAATTTATATAGTTAAAGTAAATATTAACAAAATCCTTCTCTACTGTTACAATGTAAAGTGGAATAAAGTTATTTTTCATCTGGAAGATTTCTGCAATCGGGAGAAAAGTTGTCAATGACTTTTAAATGTTTGTACAAGATTGTACCTTTTATAACTATGTGCACCAAGTCAGTTTCCAATCTGAATCAGTCAACTGTGTTCTTGATTCACTCAATCATAACAATTTATAAAAAAAATAGCAGTCAACCCTGTTACTATGACGATATTTACAAGGTGGTGGCCGTTCCGGTTCCGATTTTGGTGCAGTCAAAACAAGTCCCCATCCTCTTCCTTGGGTTGGTGTCGGTGCTTCCTTGGGATGGTGGTCTTGGTCTTGACACACTTCTGATATGTTGTCCTTTGGCTTTCATCATCCACGACACCGGTACCTCTATTTATGGTAATAAAGCTGGATGGATGCTCCCGGTGGGTTTTTTCGGACCCCGGGTCCACATCGTGTTGCTGCTGCCTTCCGTCGTGGTGCTGTTGCAGGTAGGACTGCCAGTTCAGAAAAATGGGTGCCAACCGCCAACTAGACGTGGATTAGCAATCTCACTCAACAGCCACGGCAATGACAAGCCATTGCAACAAGCGATTGTACCATTTGATGGCAAAACTATCAGCAGATCGAATTTCTTTTGCTCTATGTTGTGAATGCGTTGGGTGTTGGTTGGAAGACGACAACTACACGTGGGTCAGACCAAAGGCTACCTGTGCATATGAGTTCGTAAATACCGCTATCCCAATGGACCTTTTCAGAGTCATTCCAGTCGCCCACAAAGAATGCTTGAACATACCCTTGTTTGTCTGTTTGCATATTTAGTACGCCTACCAACTTGTTTCAAGCCTCACGCCCCGCCCACATCTCCCCGCCAGTCCATCTCCCCGTCTCAAAAGCCGCACCCTGTCCGGCCAATGTATCCAAGCATGCGCAGAAGATGGAAGTGCAGCCATCTTGGAAATCCCTCCATGACGTCGGTGTTGACTTCCAACGACAGCCAAATCAAACGTTTCATTTTCTCGACATACTCTTTGACAGCGATCTCATCTGAATTAATTTGCACTCTTCGTCTCGATAGTTGCTTTACATGGAAAGCAAATATATCTATAGAATATTTCATGCTTAAATATTTTTCAGAGAACTACTTTCCCGGGCCCGCTTGCACAGACGATCTTAGCGCTAAGATGATCTTAATCACCATACTTTAACATAGGCTTACGATAGTCTTAGCGCTCCATATCGACAGCAGACCAACACACGCGAGTTTTACAAAAATAGCTGAGACAACAACCACCCCCTCTGCCGATGAAGCAAAAGCATCAATACCCCCAGGGTACGGAGACATCGTAGAACCTTCAAGAAGATCGCTGACAAATTGGACCAACTCCACACAGGAAGAGAATCCTTTTCTTGAATCAGCTGAGTACAAGGACTAGTTGACAACCGCTTTTACCCTGGACTAGACAATACCTCATCCTGTATATTACGTTGTCAGTTATAGTCGTTCTTGGCACTGTGATTGGCCTGCACGGAGAATTTAGGTTAAAAACAAAGCCAAACAGCTCATTGAACTGTCATTATAAACACTTATTTTCTTTATTTCAGAAATCGTTTTTTAGAAATAACAAACACCGTGTTGTCTTTATATCCTATTTTATATTTCAAATATGGAGCCTACGTTTTTTTAAATCTGTAAACCTAGTTAATAATAACAGAAAATGTTGGCATTACCAGTGAAGAAGAGCATATTACCTGTCCCAAGAGCGAGTCTGTGGGCGTGGCAACCGCTATATAGCTATGCAGCAAATAATACGTTTTATAAAGCTTTCAAGGCCGACAAATTGGTACAGTAAATATTACAAAATAAACCATTTAAGACGTAAGATATTCGGACAGGGCTGTCTTTATGCAGTTGCATCATAGATGCATCAATTAGACTCAACGAGTCAACGTTATTTCTGAGATAAAGGTTGGATCCTGACAAAGGAGTGCAGCATGGAGTAGGAATAATCAGATCACATTGATATGTACACGTGCGAAACAGAGGCCGAGATACAGTCTCAGCTGGTTGCGATTTCGACAGCGTTGCGCTGATCGTCTCGTTAGTTTTAACAAAGCTAAAAGTAAGTTGTCTCCCTTTTATTGTAAATTCCGTCTTTTGGGGCTACAAAACTATCCTACTGTATCACAAATAGGCGGGTTGTAGTGACAAGTGAAACACATGTACGGACCATCGATTCACATGCCCATATATATTCAACAATGCTATTAAATCACGCTTTAGTTAATTATATATAAGTTGTCAGTGCAAGAGAATAACCATCCTAGATTTTCTGCCGAAACAGATTCCACTTGGCGTAAAGGGCAAATAGCTTTGGAAATTATATGAATGGACCACTGAAAATCAGTGATGACACCGGGTGTTCGCGAAAAGGGCTGTACTCTTGTCATCGAACCCCGTTATTGTAGACTTCAATGTGATATGTGGCAGTAGTAAGTACCAAAATCAGCTTCGATGTATGTTTGAGATGATGTGTCGATCTGTGCTGCTGCAACACGTGTATGTAGAATAGACACGCGTATGGACACCATCTGAAAGCACAACTGCCACAACCTCACTACTGCTTGTATCAAACTTGTATTAGTTGGCCTTCGCCGGAAGTATTCGCGTCTTGGATGTCCTCCATAATCCTGTACGTGACTGAGCGATCTCCTTGTTTCGGGGGCAGTGGAGAGGTAGTCTGGCGCCTGGAGTGGAAAAACACAGACATATATGGACATATGACGTAGTTGATTTTGACGAAGATTTTTTTGTGTTTTTGTAACTGTACCATGTAATTGTATACTTGTATACCTTCTTCTGCAGATGAGGACGACTGCCAACACGCCTACAGCAACTGCCGCTCCACATACGCCAGCAACCACGGGGACAGGAACGTGACCTTGAAACACACGGAATACAAAGGAAGTGATATTATGGAGATAGTTTGCGGGCTTTGGCAACAAACAAATGCAATTTGGATTGTGTGAGTGTTGATTGTTTACAAGGTCCAAAGGACGTTTTATGTCATTTCGTTTCAATCAAGACCTATTCACATGAAAAATACTACGGAATATCGACAGTGAGTACAGCTGAACGCCTCTTTCAACACTATTCAAGCAATATCACGATGGGTAACACCAGAAATGGGCTTCACACATTGTATCAATGTGAGGAATCGAACCCAGGTCTTCGGCGTGACGTACGGACGCTTTAACAGCTCGACTACCTCACTGATATCGACAATAATCCTGCAGAGAAATGAATATTTTACCCCAACCCAGAATAAGGGGATATATTTTTTTTTTGCTGGATTTGTTCAATGGTGTATTCTAGATTATGCAACTAACTGATGACACTCTGTCATCTATAATAATTTGGTCCTAAATAAACAAGATAACTGGCAAAATGGCTGCCGAAATATTATAAAAATCAACAAATACGTGATTCTTTTAGGATTACTGATTATTCTGAACTTTCAAAGGTGAATATTGGCTAAAGGTTTTCTTCACATACATACAGCCATTTTAGGTTTCTTCCTCATCATCAATAACACGGTAAGTGAGTGGGTTGAAGCATACACAGACACAGAATACTGTACAAGGTAACTGGGCGCGACTGTAACCACCTCGATTTGTCTTAGACGGTGTATTATCGCTGCCACATGTGCGCTTGACAAGTTTCAACATATATTGTGGTGCTAGAGTAACACTTTCAGGTACAGTAACTGGTAGTAGGTGTTTTGATGTAATTTCTTTATGGAAGCCAACTGAGTTGGAACCATCGCACAGCCTTCCGCACACTTGTTTGGAGATGTGCCCGCTTCACGTTTTCCAAAAAGGCTTCATAAGTTGGCGTTAAAGTTGAGAGCTTGGGAATTTGAGAACAGCCTCTTCCAGTTTTGGTAGCGCAAACTTGTAAGCGAGCTTCTGTGACAGATGTGCAGTTTGGTTCGCCATGAATTGAGCTGCTTGTAAAGGGATTACGAGTAAATCTGCTGTAGGATCTCCAAGCAGTGAGAGAGAGTGACCATCTTTTCAGTGAGTGAGTGAGTATGATTTTACGCCGCTTTTAGCAATATTCCAGCAATATCACGGCAGGGGACACCAGAAATGGGTTTCACACTTTGTACCCATGTCGGGAATCGAACCCTCGAACCTTTAACACATGTCCTTTACCAATCTCAAAACATGATGCTGTTGTATCACAACCTCTCAATTTATGTGCTGCAAGTAGGCTTAGAACGATAGGTTCATTTTTGGAAACAGAAGCTCCAATATCCATGAATACCTGTACCTTGATATTCTGCAAGTAGAAGAAATGTAACAGCAGGAGGAATACGTCAGTATCATCTGACAGAACAGTCACTGGAAGGAGTCCATTTGCTGCTACTTGAAATTGCTTGTTGGACAATTAGGTTTTGTCAGCTTCTCATTGCGTTGTGGCAATGTCATGTCTGCTGGATATGATACCATTACACACTTAAAGTGGGACATTATTCTCTCCTGTAATGACAAGTTTGTGTTCTTTGACTGTGAGGACAACCTTCTGGGGAGGTAAGATTGTTGATACCTTGATGAACTCCACTGCTGGCATTTGTTGTTCGTCCCTGCCTTGTGACATCCTTAGTGCTGTACTCCTTGTAACGGTCAAATTCCAAGTACACATCTCCAACTTTCAATTTGGATATAATGTTAGCTTTGAAACCTAGCAACAAATCTAAGACTGTTCCCCATGCTGGCCTGCGAATGACCCACATTAATGCTGATCCATCAATAATCAAGGCTGTTGTCTGGTGATCTTTATGACGAGAAGATACTGGTACTTGTAAAATACGTTTCATGGTGGACTTTGCCTTGCATACTCTCATTTCTCCAGCGTCGCTGAACATGGAAGTGGCAACTGGTGCATATTCATGAGGAAAGACATGTTTAATGTCAACATCACAAGAGGTGGCCTGCAGACCTATAACATGAGAACTTATGTCGAAAAACTCTACGCGTTCTTCTGGAAATGCTTCTTTGCTGTACCTATTGTAACAATCGTTTTGGGAATTGTTTCATGAAAGCTGTTTGGTCTTCCACTCTGAAAGCGTTCCAGCTTCTTTGTTCCAATAGATACTGCATCGTGAACGTTAACTGCAGAAGAAAAAACCCTGCTGGAAACGATGTTCATAAGATCTTCTGGTGAGTTTTGGCTTCATTGGATCAATTAGAAGTTGCAGATGCTGCCGAATGTTCTCCCTGTCCTTGGCATCCGAGTCTATTCTTGATTTGTTTTCTTCTTTGTGTTTATCCTGTTGTTTTTCTACATTGAGTTGAAACTCTATAAAACAGCTTCCTCTTAATGTGTGCAAATCTGGAGACATAATGCCCACATCACTCCAGATACCGTGTCAGTAGCCAGGTATGTGTCTCATGACACGGTACCCTGCAAGAAAGTGTTCTTGGATTTTGAGGGACACAGCTTCAATGGACCTAAGATAGAACAGACCATACCTGGCAAAATGTATATGTCCATCAGCAAAGACGTATGGCATCATTTGTTTAACTGCTTCAAGGTACCTTCCCTCTCTGCCCTCACATACATCATCATAATCAAAACAGGCTTGATGAGAACGTCAACCCAGAGCTTTGTGGTCTTGCTTTCTTAAGAGAGAGTTTGCAGTTTAAGCTGAGGTTGACTGTCACTGCTGATACTACCAGGTCCAAGCACACTTCTCAAAATCTCTTCTGCCACCATCTTTGGCAAACACCTCTATTTGCCAAGAGTGATCCTACTGATCCCACAAAACACATCAGTAGGTGCATGCCTCCTCGTCGTAGAACAACATTGGAGAATATATGTGGATACACCAACATCAAACGAAGGGCAACTCTGTGAAGTTGCTGATCACATGTGAAAACTGTGATCTCTTGAACTGTCAATTGAGTCAGACGCTGAGCACCAACTACGGAATTAAGTCATCATATCAGGGTGAGATGGAGTCATGTCTGTAAGTGGTTGGTATGAAGCAGAGGTGCTTGGTTTAAAGGTTCCACCCTTCACCCGACATTGAATTCTGGGCATTGGTCTGTTGTAACTGCATCCTTTAGAAAGAGAAATCCTTCTCCTCAGCTTCATTTGATGACACAACACGCTGGCATGATACCTCCACAAGCAGTGGTGACTTCAGTCCTGCAATTTCAGGCATTGGTGGCTTCTCGAGATCATGATAGCGAGTAATGACAGGCCCATTGTCAATGGGCACTGGCATATCTTCCTTCCTTTTTTAAATAATTTTACTCCAGCATGCAGTGTGAATGTATCTTATTCTGTACCTATATTTCATTGATTATCCTATGAAAATCCACAAGCATCCAAGTTTACACTGAATAAAATCATAATAAATGTATCTATACTGATATATACTGATTTGGGGGTTTTCATAGACATGTTTTCTGTTGCCTGTTATTTTGATTAATTACATTTCCAAATGAAATTATTTCATTAAGAAGAACCTATTCTAATATATTGAAGGCAAAACAATAGTGATATGCATCAAGAGTAGTCGGATATTCCATACAATTAGCAGAGAAGAGATATTTTCATGTCTTAACGGCCATCTTGGAGGCCATCTTGAATATTTGAAAATGCTCAAAGATGACAGATTGTAATCAGTCAGATTCATAACCTAGAATGTGTACATAAACAATTCCAGCAATAATAAAACTTTATCCCCCAATTCTAGGTTTTTGTCCTCTCTGCCGGACTATATCTTCATTAGCTAGGTACCTGTGGTAAGTGGACTTGAACAATTCCCACCAACACCGCAGTCCTGTTGTTGGCTACAGTTAGAACATGTCACGTCACACCTTTTCCCGCTACATCCTGCTAATAAAAGGACAGTTTATTACTGAATATGTTAACGGTTATGGGTGCGTCATTATACACAGTAACACTTACTTCTATACGAATGTTACGTTTAAATTTAATTCATCACTAAACACGCCACACCGAATCACTGATCACTGACGTCCACTGTCCGAACGTAAAATATTTTCCTAAACAGCTTGTCTGATTTTTTCTGTAGCATTCAGACTATCCATGATGGACCTCGTGAGTTCATCTCGATTCTTTGTAACAGCAGTGTGTTAGCTGCCCCAAGTGTCTTTCTCGTGGAGCAGTTTAGATGACGCTGAATCAACATGCTTTGCATACCTTGGGAACAGTTGTACCCAATCCAGCCTTCCTCACACCCTAAGACACATCCTCCATCTGATTTGTCACAAGAAGCCCCGCCTCTACAATGGCCGCATGCTTCCTCGCAGTTGACACCAAAATATCCAACTGTACACTCTGAAACAGAAACAAAGTATCCCATTAGACACATATAACATAATTATATTCTACACCAAAGAGTTGATCTCTCGACTTGATAATATGTCCCTGCATGAGTCCAATTGGATGAATACTAAAATAGATCAATACTAGAAACAAAATTGGTATGTAAGCCAATCACATTGTTCACTGGTGTAATGAAGGAATCGTGGTGCCTCGTTGCCATGGTAACTATTATGTATAATACTCTTTGTCCCCTACCGTGATATGGCTGATTTCTAAACCATACTCATCCACTCGTCCACACGTTTGTTATATGTGTTAGTCTGAGATACAGACGTTTGCAAGAAAATGTGATTCCTAATCATTCAAAACCACAGTCACCCAACTATGCAGCATCGCTGATGCTTTTTTCAGCAATATGTTACCTTGGGTACAGTTGTACCCAAACCATCCAGCCTCGCACCCTGAGGCACATCGTCCATCTGCCTTGTCACACACAGCGCCACTCAAACAGTGACCACAGGATCCCTCGCAGTTGTCACCGTAATACCCATCCGTACACTCTGAAACAGAAACGTTGTTTCCCCATTACACACATATAACATAATTATATTCTACACCAAAGAGTTGATCTCTCGACTTGATAATAATATGTCCCTGCTTGAGTCCAACTCCACATCTCCTCACTGTAACAATGTTTGTTTGTTTGTTTGTTGTTTAACACCGAATTCAGCAATATTCCAGCTATGTGACGGCGGTCTGTAAATGATTGAGTCTGGACCAGACAATCAAGTGATTGACATCATGAGCATCGATCTACGCAATCGGCATACGATGGCAAGCATCAACCGAGTCAGCGAGCCTGACCACCTGATCGCGTTAGTCGGCTCTTAAAACAAGTACAGTCGCCTCTTATGACAAGCAGGGATTCCTGAAGACCTATTTTGCGAACCCGGATCTTCACGGGAATACACTGTAACACGGTGTCGGGACTCATATTCTAGTTACACCATATATAATATATGTGTACGTGAGATTTTCGATTGTTGCTCAGCCAGTTTCGTCAATTGACTTTAACGTTTTATGTAATACGTTTGATAAATTATTTAAAAATACACATATAAGTGAGCAATTGGATGAATAATAAAATAGATCAATACTAGAAACAAAATTAGTATGTAAGCTAATCACATTGTTCACTAGTGTAATAAAGGAATCTTGGTGCCTCGTTGCCATGGTAACTATTATGTATAATACTCTTTGTCCCCTACCATGATATGGCTGATTTCTAAACCATACTCATCCACTCGTCCACACGTTTGTTATATGTGTTAGTCTGATATACAGACGTTTGCAAAGAGATGTGATTCCTAATCATTCAAAACCACAGTCACCCAACTATGCAGCATCGCTGATGCTTTTTCATCAATATGTTACCTTGGGTACAGTTGTACCCAAACCATCCAGCCTCGCACCCTGAGGCACATCGTCCATCTGCCTTGTCACACACAGCGCCACTCAAACAGTGACCACAGGATCCCTCGCAGTTGTCACCAAAATACCCATCCGTACACTCTGAAACAGAAACGTTGTTTCCCCATTACCCACAAAGAACATAATCCCATCTACTTAAATAACTCCAAATATCAAGTTGATCTGTCAAGTGGATCATATTTTCTCTCCTACTCCTTATCTCCTTACTGTCACAGTAAAGTATTCATCATTTATTCACACCATATATTGTAAATCTGGAAATTAATGCGAGCGTGGATTAAAAGCGACACATGCGAGTGACCTTTGTCCGCATTAATGTAGCTTCGCATTTATGTCTCAAAAATGACTATCTACAAGAGTGAGTGAGTGGGTGAGTATGGTTTTACACCGTTTTTAGCAATATTCCAGCAATATCACGGCAGGGGACACCAGAAATTGGCTTCACACATTGTACTCATGTCGGGAATCGAACCCGGGTCTTCGGCGTGACGTGCGAACGCTTTCAACACTAGGCTACCCGACCGCCCCTGTCAACAATAAGATGGTATATGTGAGATTGTCGATTATGGGTCAGTTTTCCACAATTGACCAAAAAGCTGACGAATGAAATAATCGATGAAATAATGTGTACATCAATATTGACCTTCAACGCTTTATGTATTAAGTTTGATAAATTAGTTGTATAAATGTGTTAACGAAAGAATTAATCAATCATCAGTAGATTCAGCAAAGTCAAAGTTCGTATTGTATCAAACTAAATTGCACACACATGTATGAAAGATTCTCGGTACCAGTTTCATATGATAACTATTGTTCGCAGTATTACGTCTACTAATCGCCACCGTGAGATGATTGACGTATCTGATAAAAAGACACTTTCAAATGGAAGTGTTTCTCAATGTTTCAAAACTATATATTTTGTCGGTCTTGGGAAATTGTGAGAAATTGATTTTGTTGTTATTGCATAGGCTCAACAGTCATTGAACAGCCGTGCTGATGGTGTTTCATTAATATGTTACCTTGGTTACAGCTGACACCAAACCAGGCAGTCCCGCATCTTAAGGTACACCGTCCATCTGCCTTACACACACCTACCCACATGAACCCCATAATAATTCAAGGTATGACGTACTATGAGGGTAGCTGAACACCCGGATACTCCTGTAATCTGACATCCCTCGTGGTATTGGAGTAGAGGCTACAGTCCCTCCAGTTACCGGCACGGACAGAAACACGTTCCTTCAGACATAAACAGAAATCAGCATTGTTTGATGTTGACCCAGGACAGCATTAGTTGGCATTGTTGTTGATTGTGGTATCAAATGCGCAGACAGACACACAGACAGCCATAGGTGGACAGAGGGAGGGATAGAGGGACGACGGGACGGACAGACAGACCGAAAGACAGACAAAGATACTGGTATATGGCATCGTATCAACCAAGTCACCGAGCCTTACCACCCGATCATAGTCGTCTCTTACGGCAAGCATGGGTTGCTGAAGACTTATTCTAACCCGGATCTTCACGGTCATTACATCACTGTATAGAAAGTTCTGGAAGCTAGTTTGACGGTATATAAGCATACAAGAGCATGCCTCTGACACATTTCGTGACTCATTCATTTCAACGCTTCGAAACCAGCTTTCATGTAAGGATCGCCCATCATCCCATCATAGACAGATGGATGGTTGGATAGATAGATAGATAGATAGATAGATAACGTGTCGAGGTAACTGGTACAAATATTGCTTACCTTTGTCTGAGATCAATTAGGTAGAGGGTCTTGTTGAACAAGTCAAGTGAAAAGAAATCAGACCGCTCCCCATACGGTATTGATCGTGCAGTTGTTTGGTTTAGTCGAAGCACCATGATTTCACTTCTATGCTTTTGTTCATCAACCCAATACAGATTTTCACCTGAAAAACACACAAAAGGTGTTTTCTTGAAGAAACGATACCATAAAACACGTAAAATGTTACAGACCTCTTATCAAGCAATATATAATGTGCACTATGTAGTCTATTTCTCACTGAATCGATGTGTAAAACATCAGGACAGAAGCATCTTTATCTGTTACATTTGTTCATATACCAAGACATTGTCATTAAAGAAAATTTGGTTCCTGTCTGCAAATACAACCAGAGGAGAACGCGTGCCATATCGTGCCTTCATTTGGGTCACATTTGGCTTTTAACGAATGCATTGAAACTAAGTATTTGTTCCCACTTGTGCCTAATCAGTGAAAGAATAGTCTTAATATACTCACCGCCAAAAAAACCACGAACTATAGAAACATATGGAACAGTATGTAAGTTAAGAAGAGATGCTTCCCATGTGTGCCCATTAATGACAAATCACAGAGTGTCTTTAGTTTTATCACGGTATGCTGCATGTGCTTTCCAAACATTACACGCTAATCCTGCACGACACAAATGGCGCATCTCGAGTCATGGATCTATGACGTCACATGTGATGCGTTCATGAGCGTCGGTTCACACAACATAACAGTTCGTTTGTGCATCGAACCAATCTAGTATCTCTTGAAAATGAGTAATTTATCATATATATTAACCAAAATGTATTGTATTCGGTGAGTATATATAGATGATATACCAATGCTAAATAACAGTAGTGAAACAACTGACTTTATATGTTCCAAGTATGAATAACAGCGGACAGTTTGGCTTAATTTAACGTCACTTTAAATTCTATTTCAGATATATCATGTCGCATCAGTTAAATGCGAGAGAAAATTACCACGCTTAATGTCCAATGAGGTGAAAACTATTATCCTTAGTGTGCCTTGAATATATTACTTTTATTGTCCAGTGGGGTTAAACTATTTTCCTTGTCTTCCATTGGGGTGAAACTATTTCTTTTATTGTCGAATGAGGTAACTGTACCCTTATTGTCCTATGAAGCTTTTAATAATTAATTAATTGTCGAAAGACGTTATTACCCTTATTGTCCAGCTGGGTGAAACCACTTCTCCTGATTATTTAATTACGTGAAGTTATTACCCATATTGTCCAATTCGGTGAAATATTAACCTTATTGCCCACTGAGGTTAAACTGTACACTCATTGTCATTGGGATGACACCATTGCCCATTTTGTCCAAAGAAGTAAAAATATTATCATTATTGAAACTGTTGCCTTTATTGTTCAGTGAAATGAAACTATTTCCCTTCTTGTCCAATGAGGTGAAACTATCAAGACTATTGTCCAATGAAGTGAAAATGTGCACTTTTTCTCCAATGAAGCAATTGGCTTTATTGGCTTGTGAGGCGATATCCTCAATTGCCAGTTGGGTGTAGCTATTACCCTTATTGTCCAATGACGTGAAGCTGTGACCTTTATTGTTGAAATTATTACCCTTTTCGTCAGCTGAGATGAAACTATTACCCCTATTAGCTTATTAACCTCATTGTCAAACACTGTGAAACTATTACCCTTATCGTCCGATACTGTGAAACATTTACCCTTATCGTCCAAAACTGTGAAATTATTACCCTTGTCGTCTAGTACTGTGAAACTCTAACCCTTATCATCCAATACTGTGAAACTGTTACCTCATTGTCTGGTACTGTGAAACTATTACCCTTGTCGTCTAGTACTGTAAAACTCTAACCCTTATCAGTCAATACTGTGAAACTATTACCTCATTGTCTGGTAGTGTGAAACTGTTACCCTTATCGTCTAGTACTGTGAAACTATTACCCTTTTCATCCACAGCTAGTGATGTCGGGGTGCTGCTGCTGCTGCTAGACAGTGCCCGTACTAAAGTCACCCTGTTTCCTCCATCGTAGTTCGACATCTCGATCTTGGGGTCGCGGCCTACATCTGACCAAAACAATTTGCTGCAAAGTAAAGAAACTGTCACTGAGAGAAGCGAGAAGGATAATTTGTGATACAGGGTTCTACATCGTGTTAGAAATGCGTATCACACCAGCCCCGATTAATAGAATTAAAGGTGCTTCAGAAAGTCAGATAATCCGTGTACTGTTTTAGTAGGGTATTAATATCACAACCAACACGTAGTAATGACGTCATGTTAATCTGGGCCCGGAATACCGGCAATATTGAAGCTAATTCGTAACTTGACAGGTGTGAAACAGATACCGAAAGTTACTATTTAACAGCGATTTGTGTTAATGATGAAGTCGGATTCGTACATTTGATTCGTGCGATTATGAAAAGGGTCTTGTCGCTTTCATTTCAATGAAAAGGGCCCCAGGTAAGACATTATACACTGTCGATGTATTAATGATACATATGTAAAATAATAATTTGGAGAGAATGAGTTGGGTCCAACGCCGCTTTGAACAGAATAAAAGTTACATTTCGGCGTTTTATCTTTAAAATTGTCACTCAGCAGTTATTCTCAAATGCTTTGAAATAAAGATAATTGCTCGATATGGATGAGTCAAATCTGAGACAAACAGGTCCCTACCTGTTGATATCTTCGGTGTTTACTGTGAGTTTCGGTAACTATTAAAGTGTTGCTACCATTGAATTGGTTTTCCGTTCATGTGACAGTGACACGAGCATGATTAATATTTGTGGCAAATCTCACAACTACTCAGTCAGTCCAAAGAAAGGAACAATGTTGATGATGGACAACGAATACCACTGATATCAGTTATGATTCAAATCAATAACCAATTTAGATCCTACCGGTTGAACTCATCTACTGTGACGTCATGTGCTCTGCCCAAATTGGAACGAATGATCACAGTCTTCCTGCCCGTCTTCAGGTCATACTTCCCTATGATATCCGAGCCATCGTCGCTGTAGAACAGGAACCTGGACTCGGGAGCTATTGCCAGTCCTTGGCATTCTGAAAGACATGTAGTTCTGGCAATGTTTCTAATACACAGAACACATACATGTATCGGCATGACGATTTAATATTTGTTTTTGTTTATATGCCGGTTTCAATTTACTGAAACAATCTCCAAACATCTACGGAGATATAATCACGCACCAAACATATTTCAACGAATTATGGGTATTTGTGTACATATATCATCCAGTATGGTGGCTATCTTGATTCAAAACGATATAGTTTTCTTTCATCAGAAATGTTTGTAATTGGCGATAACATTATAACATTTACAACTGTATGCTAGTTATGCACTCTGAAAAAATCTTACTCCGAACAGAGAACACTGTGACATGGTTTCCCCCACTGAGGTCGACTCGCTGAATGTTTCGCTTTTGAAGATTTGACCAGTAGACATGCTCCCTCACTGGATCATAGGCAATGTTCTCCACTCCGCTTACATCCCGGAACACGACCGTGGTGTTTCTGGAGCTGGTGTTCACTTTGTAGATGGGGCCATTGTGGTCGCTGATGAGCACGATCACATCACCTTGAGAACCTGTCGTGATAATAAATACACGTTTTATACGACGTAAATTGTAATAACGCGGTAAATTGTGATAACGCGGTAAATTGTAATAACGCGGTAAATTGTGATAAACTGCGGAAAATGTAATAACACTGCGCGGTAAAAAGTTATACTGTTGTAACTTGTAATAAAAACTGCGGTAAATTGTAATAAAATATTATACATTTACTATACATCCTGTCAAAGGAAACAAAGAAAACAATTCGTTTCAGTTTCTCACTCATACTGAGAGATATGTGTGGTAAATTGTAATAAGAATTGCGGCAAATGGTCACACGCCGCGGTAAATTGGAGGTTATATCCCATTAGTTAGACGTCCCATTAGTTAGACGTCCCAATTGTTAGACATTTCTATTTAGGCAAAGAGGGAATATACCTACAGGTGTAATGGATCAGTCCTAATTAGATTAAAGTACTGAGTAGGGATAGGGGACTCACAGTTTAGGGAGTATAAATGTTATAATTTCGTTTAATTAACCTAAATTACCTTACTCTCAGCACAGGTTCAATAGGCATGAGATTAACTGTGTAAACTATGGAGTAGCTTAATTGTCTTACTGTATGATCAGTTGAAGGATTTGAGTTTAGATTATCTACTCATCAAACAAATAAAAATGATCTTGGGGTACGTATCATTATCAGTATCGATATGGCTGGTTTAAGGAAAGTAGAGTACATCACCTCTCGGCGTGGAAGTGAGCAGTTGATATTAGATGGATATATTTACAACAGAAACCGCGAGAGGCAAACCTTCACACATTGGAGATGTGTCGTCAAGACGTGCAATGGGAAATGTACGACTGTCGGTGACTTTCTTTGCAATCAGCCGGAACATAACCATCCGCCTGAAGATGAAACCAGAGTGAACTTTGATAGCAATCTTCGTGAAAGAGCGCGAGAAGAAACCACACAGTTGCAGGCATTGTACGAGGAAAGTGTAGTCTATTCTCTCTTGAAACCACAATTTGAATTAGAAAATTATCTGACGTCCCTACCCCTAAATAAAGCTATCCCTTTTCCTTTATTCGTACTTCATGCCACCACCTACCAATTGAAAAAGGAAGATGGAATGGGATACCTATTTGTGAAAGAAAATGTAAACTGTGTTTTATTGATGATATTGGAGATGAATTTCACTATATTTTTAAATGTCCATATTTTACTAAAGAAATAATTTTGTATATCCCACCTACATATTCTAAAAGACCTAATATGATTAGATTTCAAAGACTTTTCACTTGTAAAGAGATATCTGTATTAAAAAACCTTAGTAAATTCTGTAAATATGTAATGCAAATTGTAAAATCTTCCGGCTAACCATATATCCGCTATTATAATGTGTATTTTGCTGTCATTTGGTACCTCCTATGCCGAGGATCTCGGCCTGAGCGTAATAAAGTTCTGTTCTGTTCTAGAGGAGCAAGTCACTCAAGAAGATGAAACCAACATGCCAGCGATGCCATTATTTCACCAAACTGTATACAATTTATCAAATGTAAAGTGTCATTAAATGTTAATTATAATATTAAAGTATCTATTTAAAGCTGCTTTGCTTTGTTTGTCAGATCTTATCTGGACTATTCCATTTTAAAGTCTGAGGTAACAAGCATAAGGATTAGTGTGCACTCAACCGTTTAAAGTGTTGTTATAAGCTGTCTAACTATTGGGACGTCTAACTAATGGGAGGACACCAAATTGGAATAACATCTCTCATTCGTTCAGATTCCAAAAATAATTCGAGTTCCTGTACTAGTTTGACTTTATGACCTTTAACCAATACTGTCAACAAGCAACAGTAGTCCTTGTATGTACGAGTGAACTACGTTCTATGTGAGCTTTTTCAGCATTTGCTTTGAATTCTGTGTAATTCCTGTTCACAAACTTGTGTTGGATTATGTTTGCATTCTAATAAAAGCTGAGATATGCCTTTGCGATGAGCCAAATGGCAAACAGTTACAAGTCGTTGAAATCCGTGTCGTTGAAGAATATATTTCTTTATGAATAAAGTTTGCATGATAGTATTTTAGGAGTTGGCCACGAGAAAATGCTTGAAGACCTAGGAAAGACCCGATGCTTGGTTATCAACCTGCCTGTATTCATTACAGAAAATATTCTATTAAAGCATAAAAGTGATGGCCTTCCTCCAGTATGGTAGGATATAAAAATGGTTAAATGTAGAGATAACCTATGACCTTCAAGAACGTAGGAATGGTCATGCGACAAATTGCATTTCTACTTACAATTCCACATATAAAAATCGGAAGCACCTTACCTGTTATTATAGTGTTCAAAATGATAATTCCACAGAGCGTTCCAATGTAACCATGTCTATTCATTCTCAAGGATCACACAAGGCGGGTGATATAATGCCGATTCTTCTTGCACAGCCCGGTATTAAAACCTCATTGAGAAAGATTGTTTGCATAAATATTAAGTGTTTATCTTATTAAGTCCTTGACGTTCCATATACGATGAATTTTCACAGAATACCACCTTTTAAAAATCCTATTTGAGATGACTCTGCTGCATCATCGCTATATATGCAGAATAGGATCCAGTGTAAGTGGTTATCTAGTGCTACTTCACATTAACATTGGTCTCTCCATGTAACAGATTACGGAGTGCCACATCCAACAACTGATCTACTTGTACTACTTGACAACTACTTTGTAGGTTAGGGTTACAATTGACCGAAATAGCGAAGTTTAATTTCAGTTAAAGCCAATCACACCAATATTCTCACTGCAAAATATGTAGCATGTTCTTTTACAAATGTTTGTTTGTGGCCGCCATTCTTAAGTGCATCAATGTGTGTGTATGTGTGTGTGTGTGTGTGTGTGTGTGCGCGTGCGTGCGTGCGTGCGTGCGTGGGTGCGTACGTGCGTGCGTGCGTGTGTGTGTGCGTGCGTGGTAAAATGGTGGCGTTACCTGGTTACAAGAACGTGATGTTTCTTGACGATGGAATTATCGTTGAAAATTCTATGTCAAGTTGAGCTGTGGTATCGGTCAGGGTTAAAGATGACTTCATAACGTTTGGTTTTGTGCCTAAAGTTGAAAAGTCTTTATGGACGCCTTCACAAAGTTTTGAATGGCTAGGACTTCACGTGAACACTTTACATTTCACTTTAGCTGTACCGGAAGTACAAGGAAGCTAAGGAAGTTAGAGAAGCTTGCTATTTGCTTCACATCTCTCTTAGTCGGTAACAGTAGGTCTGTTTATGTACGTGATGTATCTTCACAAAGAAGTAAGAGACTTTGTTTATTTTCCGTCTTGCAAAGAAGCTTATATTCCCAGTCGTATTGGGGAAGTCTCTTTGGTGAAAAAGATTTAAAATTTTCAATGTTAGCGTTGAACATCGATTTCAGTGATTGAAATGCTTTCTTCTGTTTCAGATGTGTTAGACAGTGTATATCATATTATATCTCCCCTCCCAGAAAATTTAAAACCGAACATACAAGGTTTGAGCATATTATTAAATGAGGCTAGATCAGCCACTACAGTGAGATCATACAACTTGGGATTCAAGAGATTTTCTGATTGGGCAGATTCCCATGGTTTGCCGACTTTATTGCCAATTGCTCCTATGCACTGCCCACTTTATTTGTTATCTTTAATACAAAGTTGTGAAAGTATTTCTCCTCTCAATACAGCTTTTTTTTACAGCATTCGATATGCTCATGTTCTTGTTGGGTTACACAGTCCCACAGACAATACACTGGTACGAAATGTATTGGAGGCTGGTAAGCGGAGATTAGCTAAACCAGTTAATAGAAACGTACCGATAACAATATCGCCACTTAGTTGTATGGTATCGTCTCTGGAACTGTTAAAATGACAGCAGCGTTGCTGCAATGATTTTAGTTGCTTTTGCAGGTTTTTCTTCGATCAGTTGAATTATTGCACATTGCACGTTCAGATATGTTTTGTGAACATTTATATGTCCATATTTATTGAACAGTCCAAGACGGACGTGAACAGAGATGGTGCATTGGTAGTCATAGGTGTATCCGATTCACTGCTATGTCCTGTTATGCACTTGCAACGTTATCTAACGATGGCAGAGATTGCCGAGGATTCTCGCGCTAAGTAGTGTTAATGGCAAATATGTTCTGAGGAAAGAAAATAAGCCACTGACTTTTACAAGACTCCGTGAAATATTTCGTATAACTTTGTCACCTTTTGTCAGTGATATGTGTCAAATATGGCCTGCACAGTTTGAGGTCAGGTGGTGCTTCAGCGGCAGCAAACAACGGTGTACCCGATCGTCTTTTTAAGAGGCACGGGCGCTGGAAGAGCGAGAATGCCAAAGATGGGTATATCAAAGACAGTGTTAAAGCCATATTAAGTATGTCCAAATCATTGGGTTTGTAATATAGGTTGTTTTCCTGTATTCCCTTTCTTTGTTTCTCATGCAGAGTAAATGCCTCGGCGTGTGCCACAGGGGAAGCCACATTGTGTGTTTGTTGTTTATATCTGGCTTGATGAGGTTTTGGAAGAGAAATGAAATTTCATTCGGTTGAACAGTGAATTTGACTGAAATTGATTTCTCTTGAAGGTAAAGCCAGATATAAAGGGAGGTTATTCAAGGTAGAGGGCGCTACCGTAAGGAGTATATATAGGAATTGTAAAGCCCGGGTAGTTTAATCTCTCCTGTGGTGTCGCCGTTACAGTGCGGTCTGTTTATTTTATGTTTATGTCCTGTGCATTATGGTTATGAACATTTTCTGTTGTCAGGTGTTGGCAGTCTTGCTGCAAGACAGATGTCGTCACAGTGACGACTATGGTTCTGAACCACAAAGCATGGATGGTACCTGGCACATGCATGTATCTTCTAGTAAGATGTTACAGTGTCGGTGACTGGCATGGTTCTGAAATTATACGGATCAAGACTAGTGACACTACTGGGTTTGAAAAAAGAAATTTTCAATGCAGAGTAAATGCCTCAGCGAGTGCCACACAAACATAGTGTGTTTGTTGTTTACATCTGGCTTGACCAGGTTTGGGAAGAGAATTTGTCATTAGGACTTCGGATTACACGTTAATGAATAAAATTTGGGAAATAATGTTCCTTCGTGTGATGATAGGTGAGCGCGTTGCACTCTGATTGGTTGAAAAATGTTTTTAAATGGATTTTGATACCGGAAATATTTCGGACTTGCCTTTAATATCTTTCTTGAATACTGAAACCAACCATATTTCATTTCTCAAATTGTCATCCGACTAACACGGACACACAGAGGATAAAATAAAGCGTATTCCCGAGAGATAATCCAAAAACGAAATAATCTTACCGCTACGTTTTTTGAAAAAGTATAATTTTATTTTAATTTTCTTTTTAAATCATACATACATTGCCGTCGAGAGGTATCTTATCTTTAAATCTTTTTTCGGTAAAATGTACAACATTTCAAACATGGTTGGAGTCATGTGATTGTTAATTCATGTCTTACCCCAGTCTATATTGAACCGATGGATGTTTACACAAAATTAACCAACCACAGATTACTTTTTACAAACTGTTGGTAGCCGACGCCGTAACGCCGAAAGGAGTTTTAATAGCAAAGGTTACAGAGACTGGACAGAGATCGGCAGAATTAGCGTTGTAATGAAGTCGGGATATATTCGTTTCCGTTGTGCACAGCTGTAGAAGTGTATATATCTTCTTCGAAACGTCATTGACCAATGAAATTCAAGCATTTGACATGTCAGGTATGGTGAAAGCCAGATGACCACCTCCCAACATGGCATCACCCGATGTAGCGTGTCATCATTTTGTCATCCACTATTGACCAACATGCGAGGACCTGGTGTCATCAGTGCTATTTGCCTTTTGCGCCAATAGGAATCTGACTGAAAATCTAGACTGGTTACTCTCTTTACGCATTGACAATTTATGTTTAAGAGGACAGCACTTTGCTCGGGGCACCTGGCAGTTGACGAAAATTGACTCAGCTACTAGTAATTCTGGCCCGAGGCTTATTATATAGTTGTATAGATGAATCTGGCAGTAAACGATTAGTCAAGTTACCCAGCTGGTATATCTCAGTTTCACATAAGACCTAGACATGGGCACCAGACTGTTCCCTCTGGTAAGCAGTAAATAACCAACAATGTTCGTGTGTTGTCGTAAAATCTTATATTTCTACAAAAAAATAAAAGATCAAAAGGCACCTACTCCCGGGTAGTCATATAATGATGTATGATACATATTTAAGTAATAAAGGCTTAGATATATTCATAAATGTGGAATGGTCTATGTGGCCAGTTCAACTTCCCAAAGCCCAAAATAGACATGTGTCTGCTCTTCTATAAGAATGATAATATGACAATGGTTCGATCAAGCATCCACAAGAATTTGGAAGTCTTCTGTGCTGGCAGTCCTACATGACGCGGTATGCTACTGTATCTTCACCTGTATTGGGTATTGGTGATTTCCTGAGTCTACAGAAGAGGAAAGAAATCAAATTATTTATCAATAAACATAATTAATCATTATGTTATTGCCAATGGTGTTTTATAATACACAACTTTAACACAATAATTACTTTTGTCTCCGGGACACATTTACCTTCTCAGTACTCCTCAATTTAAAGGACCAAATACTTACCATGAAAAACACTATCTGATCCCAGACTCTTTCTAACGAAGCATTACCATCCCGAAAAGGTTTGTGTTTGGCCTTTCAACACCGTGAAGCCATATCATGGTGCAAGACACAACAGCAGGCTACGCAATCTTTCAATCATAAACAGGAGTTATTCCAGTGTATTCCACAACGTCGGGGCATTCCTCCCAGTAATATTATTTAGTGAAATGTGTCTGGGGAAATGTTCGATATCATCAAAAGAAGATAGCATTAAAGTCACCACAAAGACCAACCTCCAGTTTGTAACGTATGAAAGGGAGATACTACTGAGACATATCCATTAGTACAATTAGAAGCTTTATCATTCAATTCGAAACAGTTGACAAACGTGTACCATATGAGCATATTGTCCCTCTGCTAACTGACTAGATGTTTTCAGACATGTATTTGATAGTCATTCATAAACACGTGCTTATGACATGGTCGGAATCGTAAAATGGACTGTGCTTTTAGCAGTGATTTCTTATGATGATGGAAAGGTTTTTGTCTATATTCACCTGTATGTGTAGATACCCAAAGCCGTGACTAGAAGCACGGCAGCAGCAGCACAAACACCAACTACGACGAGGACGAGGTTGAAATCTGAAGTACAAGCTCCCTCAATCAAAGACACCCAGTTGTTAATTCGATACACATTTTGATATTTGCATCGAAGCCATACATATCGGAATAGTAAGTATCAAAACGTATCTTTTATATTCAGCTAAGTACAACCAGTGTATGAAGTAGTGAATATGTTCAAACTTATTTATTTGGACACGATGAATTTGTTTCCCCTGTGGTATTTCATGTTCATAATGAGACATCATCATTTTGCTTTCTAATTGCTACTTTGTCGAAATAGTGATAAAACACGACCAGAAAATAGGCCAACATGTAAGCCATGTCAACTATCTTCATAATTGTGTGTTGGTTTGTTGTCTAACGCCGCACACGGCAATATTCCAGATATGTGAAGGCGGTCTGTTAATAATCGAGTCTGGACCAGCCAATCCAGTGACTAATGTCATGAGCATTGATCAACGCATTTGGGATACCATGACATGTATCAACCAAGTCAGCGACTATGAACCCCGATCCCGGTAGTCGCCTGTTACGACATGCATAGGCGCCTTTTACAGTAAGCATGGGTTGCTGAAGACTTATTCTACCCCGGATCTTCAAGGGTACTATTTTCATTAGATCACTTACATAGAGATCGCATGATACTCACGTGAATCCGTTTCTAGTTGAGTAGAAGCATGAGTACAGTTGTACCCAATCCAGCCAGCTGCACAACCAGAGACACATCGTCCATCTCCTCTGTCACAAGCAACTCCACCCATACACTGGCCACAGGACTGATTGCAGTTTACACCAAAATATCCATAGGTGCACTCTAAAACATATATTATTTCACCCCCATTATACAATTAACAGAATATCTGGATACATAATGCTTGATCTGAATTAAATGTTTGTTATTATTTCGAAAAGGTTTTATATTTCACCTATCAAACATTCATTGAAGGGAATGGATATTTATTTTTATACAGGCCCAAAGGTCATGCTTGTTGAAACCGGAAACGTGTAGATCTTTATCGATTTTTTACCTTGAGTACAGTTGTACCCAAACCATCCAGCCTTGCATCCTGAGGCACACCGCCCATCTGCATTGTCACACGCAATGCCATTCATACAGTGCCCACATGATTCCTCGCAGTTGTCACCAAAATACCCATCCTTACACCCTGAAACATTGTATACATTGAAACATTGTATTCATTGAAATATTGTATTCCGCCCATGATAAAAAGATTTCTCCAGGAGGATTCTGCGTCTATAAGCCCAATGTAACTTAGACTTGAGTATTATTTAATGTTTGATCTTACATTTAGAATATATCCAAACAGGCTTGCTGATCGTTTAAACCGTATAATTGCGTTTTGGGCTAAAGAACATTGCCGATTGCCGCTGACATCAACATACCCATACAGACACCCTGAAGCATTCCACCCCATAGCACACAAATAATATTACAAAATAATTATGCTGTTTCATAGCACATGTCAAATGATAATTTCAAATCAATTTGTTTTATGATGTTTCCTTGCGGTTTACGCCATACGTACACTGGTCATTGGTCATTAAGGATGCTACAGTTCGTACCTTTACATAGTCTACTACATCTCGTTACTTCTGCATCTTTAAGTTAGAATATGCTACATACATAATGAATTGGTTCTACGTCAGTACATACACAACTAATGCATTTAATCGTCAAAACTAGGTAATTTGGCCAAGACATTTCCAAATTTGACTCATCTCCCTGGTTTGACCTGTACCATATGTTCCCGTGTTTTTTTAGGTAAACAGTTGACTTGCCTTTGCATGTGTTTGTGACGGGTGGGTCAGGATACGCTCACCGTTTCGCGAACACCTGGTATCATCACTATTTGATAGTGATTCATAAACACATGCTTATGATATAGTCGGAATCGTACAATCGAGATTTCTATTGGATATGGAGCGGGTTTTATCGCTTATTTATGTGATATATTCCAAACAAATACTGGCGATCAAACAGCTGTTTTTAATGACAATGATCCGCGAGAAGTACAAGTAAACATCATCTGATGATACCGAATAGTCCGACGACACAAGGGTAAAGTATCTGCCAGGAACAGCAAGCCAAGACGTCACCTCGAGTACAGTGGGGCAAAGTCCATCCTGCAGCACATCCTCTGGGGCAGAGACCGTCCGTCTTGTTGCAGGGGATGTTGTCACTGCAGTGACCACATGGGACGTGACAGTCAGCACCGTGACTTCCATCTGGACACTCTAAGTTATAAGGAATGGCTACGAATTAGGAGGCAACAAATTATACGAGTTTTGTCAGCCAATTAATACTTTCTGATGCTTGAATTGACCTTTACATATCCACACCATATATACGGACACCAGTTTTCATTTGAACATGTTTAGATCTCTTTTCATAATCTGTGGGGTTCTTTCCAAAATCGAAACATACGATTCGGTATCCGGCTAGATTTGTACTCTTAGTTTAGGTAATATATGTCTTGTCCTCGTTTAGTCTCTCACGTCACTAGGTTCATAACGGTTTGTCCACGCTTCCACTCACACTCAGTGTCACACTCACACTCACACACACTGTCACACTCACACTCACAATCACTGTCACACTTTCACTCACTGTCACACTACCACTCACACTCACTGTCACAGTACCACTCACACTCAAAGTCACACTACCACTCACACACACAGTCACACTTCCACTCACACTCACAGTCACACTTCCACTCACACTCACTGTCACACTACCACTCACACTCAGTGTCACACTGCCAGTCACACTCAGTGTCACACTACCACTCACACTCAGTGTCACACTACCACTACCACTCACACTCACAGTCACACTACCACTCACACTCACAGTCACACTTCCACTCACACTCACAGTCACACTTCCACTCACACTCACTGTCACACTACCACTCACACTCAGTGTCACACTGCCAGTCATACTGAGTCACACTACCACTTTCACTCAGTGTCACACTACCACTACCACTCACACTCACAGTCACACTACCACTCACACTCACAGTCACACTTCCACTCACACTCACAGTCACACTTCCACTCACACTCACTGTCACACTACCACTCACACTCAGTGTCACACTGCCAGTCATACTGAGTCACACTACCACTTTCACTCAGTGTCACACTGCCACTCACACTCACACTCAGTGTCACACTACCTCTCACACTCACTGTCACGCTTCCACTCACACTCAGTGTCACACCGCCAGTCACACTGAGTCACACTACCACTTTCACTCAGTGTCACACTGCCACTCACACTCAGTGTCACACTACCACTCACACTCACTGTCACACTCACACTCACACTCAGTGTCACACTTTCACTCACTGTCACACTACCACTCACACTCACTGTCACACTACCACTCACACTCACATTCACACTACCACTCACACTCACAGTCACACTTCCACTCACACTCACAGTCACACTTCCACTCACACTCACTGTCACACTACCACTCACACTCAGTGTCACACTGCCAGTCACACTGAGTCACACTACCACTTTCACTCAGTGTCACACTGCCACTCACACTCACACTCAGTGTCACACTCACACTCACACTCAGTGTCACACTACCACTCACACTCACTGTCACACTACCACTCACACTCACTGTCACACTACCACTCACACTCACTGTCACACTTTCACTCTCACTCACTGTCACACTTCCGCTCACATCAAGAACAACACTCACTTCCACGCTCACACTCCACCCTAAACCTATCACTCACTGTCACTCTACCCCTCGAACTCACTGTCACACTACCACTTAAACTCACACTACTCTAACACTTAAACTCACACCCACCCCACCATTTAAACTCACTGTCAAACTCATACTGCCACTTACACTCACACTCACACTATTACTTAAACCCACTGTCACACTCACACTACCACTTAAACTTACTCTCACACGACCTTTTAAACCCACACTCACACTACCACTTGAACTCAAACTACTTTAACACTTTAACCCTACCATTTAAACTCACTGTCAAACTTACACTCCCACTACCACTAAAACTCACACTACCACTTAAACTCAGTGTCACACTACCACTCACGCTCACTGTCACACTACCACTCACACTCACTGTCACACTACCACTCACGCTCACTGTCACACTACCACTCACACACACTGTCACACTACCACTCACACTCACTGTCACACTACCCCTGGCGCTCACTCTCACACTACCACTCACACTCACTGTCACACTTCCACTCACACTCACTATCACACTACCACTCACACTCACTGTCACACTACCACTCACACTCACTGTCACACTACCACTAACACCAAGACCAACGCTCACACTGACACCAACAATCACAGTAACACTTTCGTCCTGTTCAAAACAAATGCTATCTACTTTACCAGCTATCATGTAAAACAGCAAACGTGCTAATTATCATACCTTCTCTGTGTATCAGCTGCAAGAGCGTGTGGTCGACTCAAATCTGAACGTACAATCACTTCTTCCACTCTCGTCTTTAGATGATATTTCCCAATGACCGCAGTTCTATCATCGCTGTAAAATAGGATCCTAGACCTCGGATCCAACACTATTCCTTGAGATTCTGCAAAAGAAAACATTTGTTGTAAGCAGAATCAATATGCCAATATACCCCATTTTGTGTATCTGAGGACCGACCCCAACACCAGCCCTGTTTCTGGCGCTATGTTTCTATCATGTGACAACAGAGACAACGACAGGACTGTCTTCATTTGACACGATGAGTAACAAGTAGTGGGACCAGCTAGTTTCTTCAGGAAGTACAGACACTCTCATTCCTTCTCTGTGTACGTTTGATGTGTTGTTTGTTTGTTGTTTAACCCCGCACTCAGCAATATCCCAGCTATATTACGGCGGCCTGTGTAGTATGTGGTCACATTGGTTGTACAATATTGCATAGGTTACTTATTTGGACAATTATATTTGTATCATTATAACAGCATGTGTCATAGTATTTCGCTGGCGTGGGCTGATAAACACGATGATATGCTACCCACTGTACTCATCTAAAGTACATGTCCGGTATAACAATGTCCGGTGTAACAATGTCCAGTATAACAATGTCTGGTATAACAATGTCCAGTAAAACTGTGTCCAGTATACCAATGTCCAGTATACCAATGTCCAGTATAACAATGTCCATTATAACAATGTCCAGTATAACAATGTCTGGTATAACAATGTCCAGTTTAACAATGTCCTGTATACCAATGTCCAGTATAACAATGTCCATTATAACAATGTCCAGTAAACCAATGTCCAATATACCAGTGTCCGGTATAACAATGCCCAGTATAACAATGTCTGGTATAACAATGTCCAGTATACCAATGTCCAGTATAACAATATCCATTATAACAATTTCTAGTATCACAATGTCCACTATACCAGTGTCCGGTATAACAATGTCCAGGATAACAATGTCCAGTATAACAATGTCCAGTATAGTAATGTCCAGTATAACAATGTCCATTATAACAATGTCCAGTATAACAATGTCTAGTATAACAATGTCCGGTATAATAATGTCTGGTATAACAATGTCCAGTATAACAATGTCAAGTATACCAAGGTCCAGTATACCAGTGTCCGGTATAACAATGGCCAGAATAACAATGTCCGGTATAACAATGTCCAGTACACAGTGTCCGTAATAACAATGTCCAGTATTCCAATGTCCAGTATGCCAATGTCCAGTATACCAATGTCCAGTATATCAATGTCCCGTATAACAATGTCCAGATTAACAATGTCCAGTATAACAATGTCCAGTATAACAATGTCCAGTATAACAATGTCCAGTATGCTAATGTCCAGTATAACAATGTCCAGTATACCAATGTCCAGGATAACAATATCCGGTATAATAATGTCCGGTATAACAATGTCCAGTATAACAATGTCCAGGATAACAATGTCCAGTATAACAATTTCCGGTATCACAATGTCCAGTATAACAATGTCCAGTATGCTAATGTCCAGTATAACAATGTCCAGTATACCAATGTCCAGGATAACAATATCCGGTATAATAATGTCCGGTATAACAATGTCCAGTATAACAATGTCCAGGATAACAATGTCCAGTATAACAATTTCCGGTATCACAATGTCCAATATAACAATGTCCAGTATAACAATGTCCGGTATCACAATGTCCAGTATAACAGTGTCCAGTATAACAATGTCCGGTATCACAATGTCCGGTATAACAATGTCCAGGATAACAATGTCCGGTATAACAATGTCCAGTATAACAATGTTCAGGATAACAATGTCCAGTATAACAATGTCCGGTATACCAATGTCTGGTATAACAATGTCCGGTATACCAGTGTCCACAATAACAATGTCCGGTATAACAATGTCCGGTATACCAATGTCCAGGAAAACAATGTCTGGTATAACAATGTCCGGTATAACATTGTCTGGTATATAAATATCCAGGATAACAATGTCCGGTGTAAAAATGTCCAGTATAACAATGTCCAGTATAAAACAATGTCCAGTATAACAATGTCCAGTATAACAATGTCCAGTATAACATTGTCCGGTAGAACGATATCCAGGATAATGTCTGGTGTAAAGATCTCCAGTATAACAATGTCCAGTATAACACAATGTCCAGTATAACAATGTCCAGAATAACAGTGTCCAGTATAACAATGTCCGTACTAACAAGCGGTTGTGCATGCCGTAGCTGATGAAATTATTCTTACTTTGGATGTCGAAAAGTTTCATGTAACTTCCACAATCGAGGTCCACACTGCTGACAGAATGGGTGTCAAGATTGGACCAATAGATTTGTTCTTAAACAATAATATCCGGTATAATAATGTCCAGTATAACAATGTCCAGGATAACAATGTCCAGTATGCCAATGTCCGGTATAACAATGTCCGGTATAACAATGTCCAGATCAACAATGTCCAGTATAACAATGTCCATTATAACAATGTCCAGTATAACAATGTCCGATATAACAATGTTCAGTATAACAATGTCCAGTATAACAATGTCCGGTATAACAATGTCCGGTATAACAATGTCCGGTATAACAATGTCCAGTATACCAATGTCTAGGATAACAATGTCCGGTATAACAATGTCCAGTATAACAATGTCCAGTATAACATTGTACGGTATAACATAATATAACAATGTCCGGTTCAATAATGTCCAGTATAACAATGTCCAGTATAAGAATGTTCAGTATAACAATGTCCAGTATAACAATGTCCAGTATAACAATGTCCAGTATAACAATGTCCAGTATAACAATGTCCAGTTTAACATTGTCCGGTAGAACGATATCCAGGATAACAATGTCTGGTGTAAAGATCTCCAGTAAAACAATGTCCAGTATAACACAATGTCCAGTATAACAATGTCCAGTATAACAATGTCCAGAATAACAGTGTCCAGTATAACAATGTCCGTACTAACAAGCGGTTGTGCATGCCGTAGCTGATGAAATTATTCTTACTTTGGATGTCGAAAAGTTTCATGTAACTTCCACAATCGAGGTCCACACTGCTGACAGAATGGGTGTCAAGATTGGACCAATAGATTTGTTCTTAAACAACAATGTCCGGTATAACAATGTCCATGATAACAATGTTCAGTATAACAATGTCCAGTATAACAATGTCCAGTATAACAATGTTCGGTATACCAATGTCCGGTATACCAATGTCCAGTATAACAATGTCCAGTATAACAATGTTCAGTATAACAATGTCCAGTATAACAATGTTCGGTATACCAATGTCCAGTATAACAATGTCCGGTATAACAATGTCCAGTATAACAAAGTCCAGGATAACGATGTCCAGTATACCAATGTCCTGTATACCAATGTCCAGTATACCAATGTCCAGTATAATAATGTCCAGTATAACAATGTCCGGTATAACAATGTCCAGTATACCAATGTCTAGGATAACAATGTCCGGTATAACAATGTCCGGTATAACAATGTCCAGTATAACATTGTCCGGTATAACAATATCCGGTATAACAATGTCCGGTGTAAAAATGTCCAGTATAACAATGTCCAGTATAACACAATGTCCAGTATAACAATGTTTGTAGTAACAAGCTGGCTGTGCATGCCGTAGCTGATGAAATTATTCTTACTTTGGACATCGAAAAGTTTCATGTAATTTCCACCATCGAGATCCACTCTGCTGACAGAATGGGTGTCAAGATTGGACCAATAGATTTGTTCTTCAACTGGATCATAGGCAATATCTTCAGTTCCTTGTTGGTCGTGGTATAAGATGCCCTGGCTGTTTGCATCCATCTTGTAGATGTAGCCGTTGTGGTCGGTGATAAGGACGATTACTTCAACTGTGAAAGAAAGTACGAATCCATTTCAAACTATTCCCACAAAGTTCGCTTGGTAAATGCGACAGTTTCAGTGTAGGGTTCCAGCCTTTTATGTCATAAACACAGGTGTTCTGACCAAGGCGTGCAAAACAGCAGGGGCCTGAAGTTAGATGCGGGTTCGTGTTTCGTTATTCGTTTTCCTGCACTGGGTTTGTTATTCAAAGACTGTATATTAGACAACCACAGTAATGTGGTAAAATATACTGAAACTCATTTAATATTTGACAGCAGGTTCGTCTTACATCATCACCTAAAAGCTGTTTAGTTATTCAGTACTTTTGAATAACGAAAAAACAAGCCAGCACCGGGTTCGTTATTTAAAGGCTGAAGATTAAACAACTGCAGTAATGTAACAACCATCTTGGATTTTTACTGACGGTATACGGGCTCATGGGGGTCAGTAGTTCTGCTCTCTGATTGATCACTTTGAGGCATAATATGATGTACTTCTAGAGTTTGATCAAAAGGATTAAAGAGGAATATACAATAATGACATATGACAAAGTCAATCTGGCAAGGAATACGTTCCACCTTCAGTGCACATGTTCCCCATCCACCCCGGTTGACACCCGGATGGACAGCGTCCAGTATCACTCATGCACGGCCCATCGTCACGACAATGTCCACACAGCACTTGACATTCCTTCCCATGAGTACCAGGCGGGCAAACTGGAATTTCTAAAAAAAACAAGTTATGGAAATACGATACTTTAATTGTCGATCCATGAATCCCAATGCAGAGTTTATTACATGATTTCTACATGGGAATGTTGTCTTGGAAGTAGATCTACCAAAGAAAAACGCAACGTAATCGGCGCCAAAGTAATCGATCATACCCGAATCACATACATGAGTAGTCGCAGTCATACTACGGCACTAAGTTTATGTTTTCCTGTTCAATGACTCCTTTGAAGACGTCAGCAGGTTGGACTCATATGGAAAGAGATGTCTATTAAATGTTAGCAAACTGACAATAGTGAAAGGGTATTCAGCTCATCTTCTGCTCAGGATGCCTTACAGATTTAAGACACCAGACCAACTATCCTCCAATTAGATATATGTTTGTAGAAATGGTTCACGTGAACCATATTTACAGTATAAGTAAATGTTGACCTAATTGATATCAATTCATAACACACAGTAAAATCATTAATGTGATGCCTCGAAGAAACATAAATCCCCACTTTCTAAACACGGAACACGCCACTATCATGGAACAACTACATATATGTTTTCATGTTCCTGCAGTAATGTCGGAAGTACATCCCAAGTCCATTTTGCATCCTTTAGGCTTGCCAGAATCCTATAAACGTGGGTTCGTATCCCAGATTCGCCATGATTATGTTCCTTGGTTTATCGGCACCATACCATGATCGTGGGTTTCACCAAAGTGGTAAACGTTTAAGTTGTTTCTATAATAATACATGCATCTGTGTAGCGCAACAATTCTCAAAACACATATGCTCTGTGCGCTTTAGCAACTATAAGACTGTTGAAACAGATATGTCTTTAGCTGAGATTTGAAAGAGGAAATAGTGGGAGCAGATTTTCCGGCAGATTGTTCCACAGCAACGATGCAGCATATGTTCTATTTCCGAAAGTACAGGTTTAAACACGGGAAAATGATGTTGTTAAGATCGGAGAGTTGGTTGAGGAGAGTAAATCGGTAAGAGTTCACTGAGATAGGCAGGCTTGTAGGCATGGATGATGATCTTACGGATGACAAGTGCTGCATCTGGCAGCCAGCGGAGCGCCATTAGATGTTGGGGTACATGATCAAACTTGGAAGATCTGAATATAATCCTAGCAGCTGCATTCATGGTGGCTTGAAGTCATTCACAAGGAGGCTGTTACAATAGTCAGTTCTGGATATCATAAGAGGCAATAGAAGTTCCACTGAATAGGGTTTTGTTAGATATGGACGATATTTTCCAATATTTCTGAGATGATAATTAGCTGTTGGGCACACCCTGGTTGCATGATGGTTCGGGTCTGGTACTATGCTCAGATTCTTCATCTTAGCAGAACGAACAATGACAGCATCACCTATAAGACGTTGTTGAACAGCTGTACATTCATGGATTTGACGTTTGGGACCTATCACAATAAATTCTGTTTTGTCCCGATTACTTTTCAGCAGTGTGGTGCCATCCATTACTTTATTTCATGATAACAGCTTTCGATCTGGACGACACAATTTCCAGTATCGTCATGTGAGAAACCAACATACAGCTGGTTAGCATCAGCACACCAGTGTTGATTGATTTCGTGCTTGTCACCAATTTAGCTGAGAGACCGTGCATATAGGGTAAACAGTATTGGTCCTAAGACATAGCCTTGAGTGACACCTTGCCAAGTTTGTAGGCAGTAAATCGTTTTCAATTCACAGGTTTTTGCTGATATCTGACGCTATGATAGGATTCAAACAAGCTAGTGCAGTGTCGGTGATATATGAGGATGGGATGCTTGACCGTATCAAATCCTGCCGACAAGTCTCACAGTCAAAGTAGACACAATTATGGATAACAACTTCTTTAATGACTGTGAAGACGACGTTTCGGTATAGATCCTTATACCGTTGTCATGCAGGACTGAATGATGAACATGGTACAGAATATATATAATAGGTGGAGGATGAACAGTAACAACAATTGCATACATGAGTGGGATAACATGAGAAGGGTATGTAATGACAGCAGAAGGATAATATGTTCTAAACACTATGTATTTACCTCGCCAAGTCTCGCTAAATACAATGTTCATTCCTAATACTGGCTTTCTAATATCCCCAAACACACTCGCGTGATAACCTGTATATATGCTTCATAGGAAATTTAGATTATTTCAAATGAATATTTTGTCAGACGTTTCAAGCTCATTCCTTTTACAAGTTTTGATCGAAGCTTGTAGATGATGCCTATTTACATAAATCTCACCTTGAGTACAGTTGTACCCAATCCAGCCGGTCTCACATCCTGAGGCACATCGCCCATCTGCTTTGTCACAGACAACTCCACCTTTACATTTGCCACAAGAATCATTGCAGTTGACGCCAAAATACCCATCTGCACACCCTGAAACATTACACATTAAGTACGTTAAAGTATGTACCTGTACATTGTCTACTATATGTCTCGTCTCACGGGTAGCAAGGGACATGCAAACGTAGAACACCGTCATGAGGATAAAGTCAGAATATCACATGAACAAGATGAATTAGTTCAACGTCAGTACATGTACAATCAACAGCAACCAATGCTTTTAACTGGTTGTTTCATATTATATTGGATAAATAGTGTTTATCTTCAGTGTCCACTTGGGACGTGACTTCCATCTGGACACTCCAGATTGTACAACGGCTACGAAATAAGAGGCACTACATAATATAATGGAACACAAATGATACGAGCTTTGCTAGCAATGACAATATATGACAAAGACCATCTGGCAAGAAATACGTTCTACCTTCAGTGCACATATTCCCCATCCATCCTGGTTGACATCCGGATGGACAGCGTCCAGTATCCCTCATGCACGGCCCATCGTCACGACAATGTCCACACGGCACTTGGCATTCCTTCCCATGGGTACCAGGCGGACATCGTGGAATTTCTAAATTACAAGTTATAGAACTGAATATACATACTCTTATGACCCTTTACATGTCAATCCATGAATCCCAATGCAGACATATAGAGATATGGAAGATTAATTTATGGCGATATTGTCTTTGAAATAGTTCCAACACACAGAATGTAAATTAATCCGTGCACTTTACTCCCAAAAGGATTAGAGGTGAGGTGATTTGTGGATGTGTGTAGATTTTCGCCAGCTTAATGACAGAACCATTAAAGATTCCTACGCACTGCCGAGGATTGAAGACTTACTGGATTGTTTGGGTGGAAGCAAGTTCTTCTCAGTCCTTGACATGAAAAGTGGTTATCACTAGATGGAGATCGAGGAAGCTCATAAAGAGAGAACTGCCTTCACTGTAGGACCTCTAGGTTCCTACGAGTACAATCGTATGCCATTTGGACTTACCAACGCCCCAGCCAGTTATCAGCGTCTCTTGGAACGATGCCTTGAAGGTCTACACCTTAACATCTGTTTGATCTATCTCGATGATTTGATCATATTCTCTAACATGTATGAAGAACATATTGAATGACTCAAACAAGTTTTCCAGCGGATACAAGAATGTGGGCTCAAACTCGCCACCAAGAAGTGCAAGTTCTTCAAAAGAAGAAGTTCGGTATGTGGGGTACATTGTTTCAGAAAAAAAGAATTGAAGCTGACCCTGAGAAAATTGACAAAGTGCAACATTGCCAACTCCTTCCAGCCCGGAGCAAGTCAGGAAATTTCTTGGATTTGCTGGCTATTGCAGGAAATTCAATAAATAATTTGCCAAAATTGCCAAACCACTTTCAGGGTTAATGCCAAAGTCAGCTTCAAAGAAGTCAAATCAACCCAAGGAGGTTAACTGGATGTGGGGGAAGGCCCAACAGAGTGCTTTCAACGAACTAAGGCAGCGACTCTCCATGCCACAAATTCTGGGATATGCTGACTGTACCAAGCCCTTTGAACTACACACAGATGCGAGTGGTCATGGATTAGGTGCAGTACTCTACTAGGTGCAGGGCGGACAGCCATGAGTAATAGATTATGCAAGAAGAGGACTCAGTCGTTCTGAGAGAAATTATTCAGCACACAAGCTTGAGTTTTTGTGTCTGAAATGGTCTATCTCAGAGAAGTTTCATGACTACTTGTGGGATCATGACTTTGTGGTTATTACCGACAACAATCCATTGACGTATGTGCTGACAAGTGCTCGATTAGACGCCACGGGTCATAGATGGCTTGCTGCTCTCTCCAGCTATAATTTCATCATTAAGTACTGCCCAGGGAAATCCAACAGTGATGCCGATGCTCTGTCTAGGTTACCAGTCAAGGAAGACACTGATGACATGGATGAGATAGCCAAAGATTACGTCACAGCTATTTGTCATTCTACCCATGTGACGAATCTTGTGGAAAGTTTGTGCCTCTCTGCAGATGTGGTTGAAGATGAAGACCTTGACTTAACTGAGGACAGATGTGAACAGAATGCCAGAGACTGGAGACGATCACAGGCTAAAGATCAAGCCCTAGTAGAAATTATCACACACTTGAGGAATGGAGCAAGACCAGACCGGATGAAGTACCTGAAGGATCCTGAAATGACATCATTGATGAAGAACTACAGTCAGTTCAAACTCAAGCGAGGAGTTCTATACAGAGTCGCCAGTGTTCATGGCGTTGACAGGGAACAGCTAGTTCTACCCTCTCGATTAAAAACTGCGGCAATGAGGAGCCTCCATGACAATGTTGGACACCCTGGAAGAGACAGGACTGTATCACTTCTAGGGACAGGTTCTACTGGCCAGGGATAACACGTGGCATGGAGACCCACCTAAAACATTGTGAGCGTTGTCTGAGGAGGAAAACTGCAACCAACATCAAAGCTCCCTTAATCAGCATCAAGACTTCCGAGCCACTAGAGCTTGTATGCATGGACTTCCTTTCCCTAGAACCCTCTAAAGGAGGAATAGAACATGTCTTGGTTGTGACAGATAACTTCACTCGCTACGCCCAAGCCTACCCAACCAAGAACATGTCAGCAAAAACAACAGCAGAAGCCTTTTTCAGCAATTTTGTCATCCATTATGGTCTTCCAAAAAGAATCCATTCTGATCAAGGATCCAATTTTACAGGGAAGGTGATGCAGGAATTGTGCCAGCTTCTGAAAATAGAAAAGTCCAGAACAACGCCATACCATCCAATGGGCAATGGGATGACAGAACGGTTCAACCGTACTCTTTGTAACATGCTTGGTACTTTGGAACCAAATGAAAAGAAGAACTGGATGGCGCATGTAGGTCCACTCGTCCACGCCTACAACTGTACCCGCCATGAGTCAACATCTGTAGCTCCCTTCTTCTTGATGTTTGGAAGACATCCAAGACTACCAATTGACCTTGTTTTTGGATTGGACATGGAAATTCAGGAAAGCAAGTCCATAACCAAATCCTTGAAGGACCGTTTGAGGCAAGCCTATGACATAGCTTCAACAGCATCTCAGAAATCTCAGGCCAAGCAGAAGACTTACCATGACCAGAGGGCCAGAGCTGCAATGTTGGAACCAGGCTATCGAGTCCTTGTGAAGATTGTGGCCTTTGATGGAAGACATAAATTAGCTTACAGATGGGAGGAAGATGTATATGTTGTGCTGCACCATCCCAATCCATCGATACCTGTCTTTGAGGTTGGAAAGGAGAATGGAGAGGGAAGGAATAGTGTGCTACATCGTAAACTCTTGCTGCCAGTCAGTTCTTTGCCAGTCAAAATGCCACCAGCCATTAAACCTAGACGACGATAAGTACCAAAACCTGTGCCTAAGCTGAGGAAGAACACGGCTGTCGAAACGAGTGAAGATCTGTCTGATGAGAAATCAGCAATTGGCTATACCCGTTCTTCAGAACCTTCAGTTCCTACTGAGATCCCAGTGGAAAGGCCAACTGAAGGAGAGTCAGCAGAAGCTTTAGAAGGAGATGAGACTCCTACTGAAGAAGGGAGGGAAAAAGAAGAGCAAACCGATGATACTGTTCACCAGAACGAGCAAGATGAAGACAGATCTGAGACTGGGGCCACAGGCAGTGAGGATGACAGAGAAGAACAACCCAATTTGCAGCCAGAAGATGCTTCTCAGCCACGGCGGTCAACCAGAACCAGGTCACAGCCCAGTTGGATGAGAAGTGGAGAATATGTTCTTTCTGCCATAACTGATCCTGGAAATCCAGAATGGCTTGCCAAAGCCAACTACGAGTGCTGATGATAGATTCCGGGATCACCGACACCGAGTGGCTGATACTCTCCTCGATCTTGTTAGCGGCAAGGTCAAATGATGAGACATCATTTTCCTGTGGGGGGAAGTATGTGGCAGACACAAGTGTTGACATACAGTTTTGTTGTACATATGTTTTATCTATTTGAGGTCCTTTAGGTTTGTAATATTAAAGTTGTTAGGGAAGTAGGTTCTTAGTTCAATATCTATTGTGGGCTTCTGGATTAGTTTACTTATAATGTAGAGGGTGGTTGGGTTGGTCAATGTTTGTGTCACTGTTTCTTCTCTTTGTTCTTACCCAAGCCTTGTTTTCATTGGCTTGTTCAAACTGTGCACTTTTCATCCATCTTGCACTTGACACTACACCATTCCAGAAGTCAGGCAACAATTTAGACTGGGACACATCATGGATAAATAATTCGATTGTTTAGGTTAGTAATCTATAAAATTACTAGCTAATATCTATGTATGTATTTGTATAATAATATAACTTATGTTATCTGAGTTATGTGGAATGCTATTTCAGTATCATTAACATGCTTATCTCTGGTATGGTGATTGTGTCACCATATTGTTATATTAAATAAGGCTAAGTAAACACTATAAATGCTTTTCATCATTCTTCTTTCAGTGTGTGAATGTTTGAGTGAATGCGTTGATTTTTATAATTGTGTAAATACTGTATTTGTATGCAAGGTGAATCATTGTATGATAGTGTGTAGTTAGTTACATTTCCCCAATTGTATTCTATATTTTATATTTATTCATAGTTGATTCTGTAAATAGGAGTGAACTGATAGCTACCAGCAAGGCGGCTGCCTGGAGAGCACAAACTCCCCAGTGGCACCCACAGGGTACGGATAATTTACATGTTTGTCGTGTCACGAAATATATTTTGTAAATAGTGTATCATACCAAATGTATGATCAGTTAATGAATTAATATAGTAGTTTCAACAAAGTGGTAATTGTATTTGTAATGTTCATTGTATTTTAGAACCATGGACCATCTATATATTGTAATCTTATAAGTAATGTCGGGATCGAGTTATCGCCCTTGATAATTTGTTTGTTTACTTCAGGGTTAAGATAATGATTTTATATATCATTGATTATTAAGTTCATGTACATGTACAGAATATAGACGTATGTTTATATTAAATGAAAGGTCGCTTTGTATTGTATTAATATGTGTGTATGAAACCTGTGTACTGTTTCTATAATGTTATTGTTTTGTACATTACAGGGTGTCATTATCTACTAAGGCAATAAAGACTCACACCCGTAGCCTGTGTTGGACCTTCTTATTGCCATCACAAACCCCGGTTACATATATATAATAGGTGGAGGATGGACAGTAACAACAATTGCATACACGAGTGGGATAACGTTAACATGAGAAGGGTGTGTAATGACAGCAGAAGGATAATACTGTCACAAAACGATGGGCAGAGAACACATGAGGTAGAAGCCAACGAGACATGAAGCCAATTAAACAGGATAAGCTTACACAGGTGTGGTGATTATTGTTTAAAGAGTTCATAGTGGGCGGAAAGTCCATCTGCTTTATCACACGTAATTGTCATCAAAATAGCAGTGTTGTTTTCTACCCCATGATTTGCATATATTTAGTAACGCCACTGTATAAGAAACAGGTTTCAGTTGGAACTATATTGGCTACTGTCACTGTCCGACTGACACATCGGTTACCCTCTGACGTATAATATATCTTAATGCGCAATATTCCAGAAAAACTTGCAATGTTTAGGTAATGTTTGTGAGAGGTGGAAAGAGATGTTCGAGCACAGAATTAAAGAATGACTTTAAATGATAAAGAGAATATCACGTTTGTGTGTTGGGGGATGGTACATATCCAGTATTAGGAATAAACACTATGTATTTACCTCGCCAAGTCTCGCTACATACAATGTTTATTCCTAATACTGGCTTTCTACCATCCCCAAACACACTCGCGTGATAACCTGTATTTATGCTTCATAGGAAATTTAGATTATTTCAAATGAATATTATGTCCAACGTTTCAAGCTCATTCCTTTTACAAGTTTTGATGGAAGCTTGTAGATGATGCCTATTTACATAAATCTCACCTTGAGTACAGTTGTACCCAATCCAGCCGGTCTCACATCCTGAGGCACATCGCCCATCTGCTTTGTCACAGACAATTCCACCTTTACATTTGCCACAAGAATCATTGCAGTTGACGCCAAAATACCCATCTGCACACCCTGAAACATTACACATTAAATACGTTAAAGTATGTACCTGTACATTGTCTACTATATGTCTCGTCTCACGGGTAGCAAGGGACATGCAAATGTAGAACACCGTCATGAGGATAAAAGTCAGAATATCACATGTACATGATGAATTAGTTCAACGTCAGTACATGTACAATCAGCAGCAACCAATGCTTTTAACTGGTTGTTTCATATTATATTGGATAAATAGTGTTTATCTTCAGTGTCCACTTGGGACGTGACTTCTATCTGAACACTCCAGATTATACAATGGCTACGATATAAGAGGCACTACATATATAATGAAACACAAATGATACGAGCTTTGCTAGCAATGACAATATATGACAAAGACCATCTGGCAAGAAATACGTTCTACCTTCAGTGCACATATTCCCCATCCATCCTGGTTGACATCCGGATGGACAGCGTCCAGTATCACTCATGCACGGCCTATCGTCTCGACAATGTCCACACGGCACTTGGCATTTCTTCCCATGGGTACCAGGCGGACATCGTGGAATTTCTAAAATACAAGTTACAGAACTGAACACATATACTCTTATGACCCTTTACATGTCAATCCATGAATCCCAATGCAGACATGTAGAGATATGGAAGATTAATTTATGGCGATATTGTCTTTGAAATAGTTCCAACACACAGAATGTAAATTAATCCGTGCACTTTACTCCGAAAAGGATCAGAGGTGAGGAGAAATGGTGTTTAACGTCGCGTCCAAGATTATTCGCTTACATAGCGACGTGCATGCACGTGTGTGTGAGTGTGTGTCTGCTTGTACTAGTCCGGACTGATGCCGTTTTATAGTGCTAGCTCACTGAGATACCATGTCGCAGTTTAACATAAATATCCCACACGACACAGTATACTGACTCCGAGCCGACCAGTTCTTGTTTTAGCCCCTTAATGCCGAGCGTCAGACAGGGTAACAACGAGTACCATCTTTTAACGTCTTTTGGTATGACGCGGCCGGGGATCGACCCCCGGGCCTTCCACTCTCTCCTAGGCCACGGAGGCGGTCGAAGGGATCAGAACCCAAGCACATACATAGGTATGTATAGAAGCAGCAATACTACTGAGTTCCGCATGGTGTTACAAGTCTATCTCTAGATTTGTTAATGCAAAACCAGACAGAAAGTATCTTTGCCGATCCTTGTAAAGACACCCCTCTATTCAACCCTGTCACACAAATGTATTATATTCACCATGTGGGTAGTGGAACACGCGGATGTGTCTGTACATTGACATCCCTTCTGGTGTTGATGTTCGTGTCAGTTCTCCTCCCGTTATTGGCATCGATAAATAGACAGACCTGGAAATATGGGACAGTAAGTATTTCTTTGAAAAACAAACAGTAGATAGGTCGGCATTCAATGTAAGATTTCATTTTCCTTGGCGATTGCTTGCGTTTGGTTCATTGTTTGTTAGTTATGCTTAACAGTGTTTATGTTTCAGATGTCGTATGATTCATATTTCTTCGAGTGAAAAAAACCCACAATAACAAATTTTAATTGTTTAAAAAGCTGTATCACAACAGGCATGTTACCATACTTCTCTTTAAAGACTCTCTGTTAATTCAATTTCATTGTAAAGTAATCAAGACCAATAAACACACAAATAGAATTCATGACATCACTTACGTTGCCTCCCGGTCAATGAAGTATAAAGTGTCGTTGTACACATCAAGATCGAAGAATTCCCGCCGGCGCCCAGTGTACGGTATAGATCTGGAAGTCCTTGCGGAGAGGTCTAGTGCCATCACGTCATTCAAGGATCCATGTTCATCAACCCAGTACAAATTGTCTCCTACATAACACAGTTAAATGTTACTACTATCAGCCTTTACCATATGATATGGCATATCTAGAATACTGGGAATACGTATATGCAGGGAACAGTCTCTCGGAATCATACCGCCATACCAAAGTCGTGCATTATGTTCAGTTAAGTGTTCAACAAGACTGACAAACTTGAAAACGATTTAGAAATTTAAATTTAACCTTGTTACGTATGTTGAATCCGGGATGCATCCGTATGGTGTAAGCTTGATTTCTGAAAAAGGGTTGCCTGCCTTTTCGTGGGTTGGTGACAATTGCGTGACAATTTACCTGTTTTGTCTAACACCAGTGATGTAGGCCAGATGAGGTTGGACTGTACAAGGGTTTCTCTGTCATCCCCGTTGTAGTCAGCCATCTCGATTCTGGGGGAGTTTCCAATGTCTGACCAGTAGAGTTTCCTGTTTGTATAAGGCCACGCTTATATGGGAATCAGAATTATCAGTAACTTAATTTAAGTTGTACATTTTGGACCGGACATACAAGAAAATAATATCCTGCTCCATTCCATTTCAGTGAGACAGGACGTAAAATGTCTGAACTTTCAATCACCCACACGAACAATTGAACTCACAATACCACACCCACTCGCACTTACGCTTACACACATGCTCATATTCACGCTTACACCCACACTACCACTCACGCCAACACCCACACTGTCACTCACACAAGACCAACACACACACTCACACCCACACTGTCACTCACACAAGACCAACAATCACACTAACACCCACACTCACACCCACATTGCCACAGACACTCACACGTCACTAACACTCCAACTAACACTCACACCCACACCAACTCTCACATTCACACCCAACAAGACCAACACTCACTCTTATACAAACACTCATACTCGCATTCACAACCACTCTCACACGGTCACTCGCACAAGACTATTACTCACATCACCACTCAAACCATGACCCGCATTCACACTCAAACTAACACTCGCACTCATGCTGCTATTCACGTTCACAGTCACTCAAACAGTCACTCTGACACCCACACTGCCACTGCCACTCACACTCACACTCACACTCACACCCACACCCACACCCACACCCACACCCACACCCACACCCACTCTCACATTCACATCCATACAAGACCAACATTCACACTAAAACTAACACTAACACTCATGCTCCTATTCACGCTCACAGTCACCCAAACAGTCACTCCCACATCAACACTGCCACTCACACTCACACTCACACATCACTAACGCTCAAACTCGCTCTCACACTCACACTAACACTCACACCCACTCTCGCATTCACATCCACACAAGACCAACACTCACACCCGTTCTCAAACTAACACTTACACTAACACTCACACTCACACCCACACCCACTCTCACATTCACACCCATACAAGACCAACTCTCACACTCGCTCTCACACTAACACTAACACTAACACTAACACTCACACCCACACTCACTCTCGCATTCACACCCATACAAGACCAACACTCACACTCGCTCTCAAACTAACACTCACACTCACACTCACACTCACACTAACACTAACACTAACACTAAAACTAACACTCACACCCACACCCACTCTCACATTCACACCTATACAAGACCAACACTCACACTTGCTCTCACACTAACACTGGCACTCACACTAACACTCACACCCACTCTCACATTCACACCCATACAAGACCAACACTCACACTCGTTCTCAAACTAACACTAACACTCACACTCACACTAACACTGACACCCACACCCACTCTACATTCACATCCATACAAGACCAACACTCGCTCTCACACTAACACTAACACTCACACTCACACTAACACTGACACCCACACCCACACCCACTCTACATTCACACCCATACAAGACCAACACTCACACTCGTTCTCAAACTAACACTAACACTAACACTAACACTAACACTTACTCCCACACCCACATTCACATCCATACAAGACCAACACTCACACTCGCTCTCACACAAACACTGACACTCACACTAACACTCACATCCGCACCCACTCTCACATTCACACCCATACAAGACCAACGCTCACACTCGCTCTCACACAAACACTAACACTAACACTCACACCCGCTCTCGCATTCACACCCATACAAGACCAACACTTACACTCGCTCTCACACAAACACTTACTCTCACACTCACACAAGACCAACACTTTCGTCCTTTTCAAAACAAATGCTATCTGCTACACCAGATCAATAAACTATCATGTAAAACGGCAAACATGCTCATCATCATACCTTCTCTGTGTATCAGCTGCAAGAGCGTGTGGTCGACTCAAATCTGAACGTACAATCACTTCTTCCACTCTCGTCTTTAGATGATATTTTCCAATGACCGCAGTTCTATCATCACTGTAAAAAAGGATTCTCGAGCTTGGATCCAACACTATACCTTGAGATTCTGCAAAACATTTGGTGCAAGTTCGAATTAATATGTCAACATAACCCTATTTGTGTGTCTGAGGATTGAACCCAACACCATTTATGTTTCCGGCCCTTTATCCCAGCTATGTGAGTACTATGTTTTCAGTTGCGTAATGAGTAATGAGTAGACAGACATGGCTAGTTTCCGTCTGTAAGTACTGACCCTTCCACTCGTACTTTTGTGGACAAAACAAAATGTCAATACAACCCTTTGTTGTGTGTGTGAGGATTGAATCCGAAACTACCCACGTTTCTGGCTCTCTATCTCTAGTAGGATAGATAGGATCTAGTACCTAATCCTGAGCCTATATATTACTCGTGAAGTGTGTAATTGTGTGATCTTTAGAACAATTCCGTGCTTGTCAGCATGCGAAGGGGTTGCTGACCCCCCCTCTCAGCCCAATGTGGCACGTGCTGCACCTGCAGCAATCCAGGGCCCGTTCAATAAAACAACCTTAGCGCTAAAGCGATCGTAAGTCATAAGATTTGAACTTTAGACCTTTGTTGAGGTTTGCTTCTTATTTCATGAAACAACCTTAACTGAAGCCTCATTTACATGTCGGCATTTACTTCTGTGAGTATTTTAACACATGGAATAACTTATTTAAAGGAGTGAAAGTATATTGACTCTGATTATTTATCCAATTAGAGTATCTGTGATTTGCATACCGTGAGATGTCCTATTACATGTATGTACGCGCAATGAGTTGACTGAAAAGGAGGCGAGGCTGTCCGTATTTCCTATGTTCATGCCGTGTCCTGGGATTAACGAAGGTTTCAATGCATGGACAAGGAAACGTTCACGCATCCTGTGGAACGATATTGGAAGACGAACGTCATTGTCACAATGATTGGTTGGTTGTTTTACGCCGCACTCAGCAATATTCCAGCTATATGACGTCGGTCTGTAAATAATCAAGTCTGGACCAGACAATCCAGTGATTGATGCCATGACCATCGATCCACGCAACTTGGATCGATTACATGCTTCAACCAAGTCAACGAGTCTGACGACCCGATTCCGTTGGTCGCCTCTTACGACAAGCATAATCGCCTTTACGGCAAGCATGGGTTGCTGAAGACCTATTCTACCCCGAATCTTCACGGGTCTTGTCACAATGAACAGTGAATAGAAACCTTCCGCATGACAAAAGAAACATTCAATTTCTTCAATGATTCCCTGCCAGTGACCACCCGAAAGAGAGCCTACTGAACTCCATCACAAAGTTGCCATAGCTACCGCACTGTCGATAATCTGGTTTGTGTAGGACTGGCAACTGTATAAAGTTGTGTGCACGCAGTCTGTGGAAACTGAAATATCGGAAACCCTGTAACTTTCCCTACAGGTGCTGAACCCAAAACGTGTTCAATCGATTTAAAAATTTACTCCGGGGATTCAAAAGGTGCAGAGGGACCATAGATGGTACCATGTCCTACTCGTTGTATCATCCATTGCCTACGGCGAATTCCTCAATCGAAAGGGCTGGTAATCAATCATTCTCCAGGCTACATATGACCACAAATATCACCACAGAACCTTTGTGAAATGAAACACAGGAGCTACAAGAACATTGTGGATAGAGGTAAGCAAAGATGGCCATGACGATGTTGATGATGATCCTCTGCAAAACGCAAACAGCTTGCGTAATGACTTGGCATACACTTGGCAGCACATTTCGTCAATGCCTGAAAAGTCTATGGTCGTCAAATTTGTCTGTGGTATAATACTATGCCACATCAATCCTCATTGGACACCGTCATCTGTACCATAAACACTGATGATAATGAACATGTTGCAATTACCTCTGAGTAAAAGTACATCACGTCATCTACTTATTGTGATTTGATTCTGAACAATGTAATGTACAACACAGATATTCATTTATCTATGACAGAAAAGAAAACGATCGGTATTTGTTGCACCGTTGGCACAAAACATAAAGTTTCTGACGGACGTATCTTAATAAATTGGAATCGATTGTCACATTGGTGTGTGACGAGGAAATGTAGCATGACTGGTGGTGGTGTCATGGATATTAAGACATGACCAGAAAAAAACGTTTCATAGGCATGGTGCTATCAGTTTGCATACGTGAGTAAACTACAATGCTGTCTTATACCCCGTTCACATGCGCCTCTATACATATGTGTGTATATGTGCATACGTGTGAACGCGTTTACTCATGTGTCTATTTACACCAGAAGGAAATTTGTATCATGTCTGGATCAGGTGTAAATGTAAATTTGCACTGTGTGTATATGTGAACGTTTATGTCAACGTAAGAGGATGATCTAATTAATATCTATTAGTTTGCCAACACCAAACAAATTGTCAACCAAATTGTCACGCGTATATACAGAGTGAAGCGGACGATGTTTTCTTTTGGTTTCAAGGAGTCAAAACTTTATGTACACATCAAACACATGTTGCTCCACGCGAAAATTTTCGGTGAAGTAACTCTCTTCTCATTCAACTTTGATTGGAAAACAACCTGTTTCGTGTTGAAAGTCGTGAACAGACTGACGAATATGTGTACCTTACACCATTTACATACTTTATTTACACACCTAAGATGCTTTTCGTGTGAAAGCATAGTAACATTACATATACGCACGTGTGTATAGTTACACATGTAGAATTACTTACGTTAGTAAATGTTGTGCATGTGAACGGGGTATTACAAGACAGTTTACTCATGGGGTAAAATACTTAGGGAGTAAATATACTTTTACACGAACTCTTTTGGAGGTGTGTAAATGTGCTTGAAAAGTATTACTACCCACGTGTGCAGAACCGTTTTCATGACATATTTACTCATCCGAAGTTAATATACTTTTTAAACAAATACACTTACGTAAGTAAATGTTTGCATGTAAATGAGATATACCTGAAGTTACGACCACAACCTACGGTAGGCCTGACTCATCCTTAACTCACTAAGGTTAATATTACCTATATATTTATTCCATGTATTTTGTTTGACAGTGAAGTTTATCTTTTTATTTTTAGCATTTACTTTCGAGAAAATTATAATCATGGAAAGCAGTTTCACTATTTTAAACTTTCGGTTTGAACCTCAACGTTAATACAGAAACACGGTCATATGGTAAATTCATACTTAAACTGAACAAAACTAACATTCCCATATGATATCTTATATTAACAATTTGTTTTTTTTTGCCAATACTATGTTTATCTCATCGTAATTGTCCTTCTGTGCTCACACAAGCACAATTTCAGAGGCACATGTAGTGACAAAACTTGCCAAATAATGACACTATATAATATTTTTCAAACTCCCTGTGAATCGACATACCTTGTTTTGGAGATGAACACTTTGTGCCCCGATGCAAACTGTATACATTAAGTCATAAATTCAGGCTTAAGCTTAAATATGTGTTTTTGCCAGTGAATGTACTGCTAATATATATGATTACAATACACAGTAGAACTATATATTAAAGGTGTAAGGAATTGTAAATGTATTTTTGTGAATTTAATAGTACATCTAGTTGTTGTTGTTGTTGTTGTTGTGGTGGTTTTGTTTTTGTTGTTTTTTGTTTGCTTGGTTGTTGTTGTTGTCTTTTTTTTTAAATTATTATTATCATTTTTATTTTTATTTTATTTTTTTTTGGGGGGGGGAGGGGGCGTTTAACGCCGCACTCAGAAATATTCCAGCTATATGACGGCGGTCTGTTAGTAATCGAGCCTGGACTAGTCAGTCCAGTGATTGACATCATGAGCTTCGAGCCACGCAATCGGGATACGGTGACATGCATCAACCAAGTCAAGCGAGCCTGACCATCCGATCCCTCCCATTGTCGCCTTTTACGACAAGCATGTGTTGCTAAAGACCTATTTTACCCCACATCTTCACGGATCAGTACATCTAGTAAAACCCGCATTGATCTGCCATATACAGTAAACTACGGTTATAACGAACTCAAAGAGACCACTAATTTTAGTTCGTGATAACCGTAGTTCGTTATAAGCATATATACAGCATATATGCAACAAATGGCCGGGACTAAAAAATAAGTTCGTTATATCGGTCAGTTCGTTATAAGCGTGTTCGTTAAAAACGTTGTTTACTGTACAAAGAAAATTTACACTATGGACACAAAGAAATGTATGATGATCATTCAGATAAATTGCCGAGCCATTGTTAGTTACCGATCAAAGTTAACCCAATGTTATATTGTTTTGTGGAACAGGGCCCTGACTGTCAACTGCCTCTGTCTAGAAGTAGCTCATATGCGTTCGCCTTGTCGCGAACACCTGGTGTCATCACAACTATAGTGACTTATGAACACATGTTTATGGTATCGTCGGAACCGTAAAATCGACACTGTATTTGGCAGAGATTTATTATGAAGAGTATGAATATTGAAAAGGTGTTGTCGCTTTAATGTATATGCAATTATTTCAAGAATAGCTCATATGAAATACTAACTAAATGATCTGAGTGCCCTCACGACTCTCGTAATTAGACCAGATGAGTCACGAGTAGTCGGAACTTGCTAGTTTCTCTTATGTTGGTACTGACCCTCCCACTCCTTCCCTTTTCTGAAGTACGTAGTTGGTCACATTGGTTGTTCAATATTGACCAAAATATGGCGTAGGTTACTTATTTGGACAATTATATATGTATTATTATTACACCATGTGTCATAGTATTTTGGTGGCGTGGGATGATACTCATGCTATCAACCACTGGTTAGCTGGTCCAGGCTCGACAATAAACTATATCACAACCATATGGCTGTCATGTATCTTTGCTATATTATGCAGGCAGTAAAGAAAGAAAACGTATTTGTGGTATGAGGTGAGGTGAAATTTGGTTTAACGTCGCGTCCAAGATTATTGCACTTATATAGCGACGTGCATGCACGTGTGTGTGTGTGGCTGCTTGTACTAGTCAGGGTTGATGCCGATTTATAGTGCTAGCCCACTGAGATACCATGCCGCAGTTTAACATGAATACCCCACTCAGGCACAGTATACTGACTCCGAGCCAACCAGTCCTTGCTTTTGCCCTTTAATGCCAAGCGCCAGACAGGGTAACAACAAGTACCATTTTTTAACGTCCTTTGGTATGACGAGGCCGGGGATCGAACCCCGGACCTTCCGCTCTCCGGGCGGACGCTCTACCACTAGACCACGGAGGCGGTCCTCGTGGTATGAATGTGTTGCTTCGTTTGTATTAGCGAAACAGTTGGCATTAATAGTGTAATGATATGCTTCCTCTCATATAAGAATTAATCGATTTTATCGAGTATAACAATGTCCGTCACAACAATGTCTGGAATAACAATGTCCGGTATAACAATGTCCGTCACAACAATGTCTCAAATAACAATGTCCGTTATTACAATGTCCAGAATAACAATGTCCATTATTACAATGTCCGTTATAGCAATGTCTGGCATAACAATGTCTGGTATAACAATGTTCTGATAACAATGTCCAGTATAAAAATGGTCAGTATTACAAAGTCCGTTATAGCAATGCACAGTATAACAATGTCCAGTATAACAATGTCCGTTATTACAATGTCCGGTATAACAATGACCAGTATAACAGTCTCCAGTATAACAATGTCCGGAATAACAATGTCCAGTATAACAATGTCCAGTATAACAATGTCCAGTATAACAATGTCCGGAATAACAGTGTCCAGTATAACAATGTCCAGTATAACAATGTCCAGTATAACAATGTCCGTAGTAACAAGCCGGAAGTGTATACCATAGCTGATGAAATTATTCTTACTTTGGACATCGAAAAGTTTCATGTAATTTCCACCATCGAGATCCACTCTGCTGACAGAATGAGTATCAAGATTGGACCAATAGATTTGTTTTTCAGCTGGATCATAAGCAATATCTTCAGTTCCTTGTTGGTCGTGGTATAAGATGCCCTGGCTGTTTGCATCCATCTTGTAGATGTAGCCGTTGTGGTCGGTGATAAGGACGAATACTTCAGCTGTGAAAGAAAGTACGAATCCATTTCAAACTATTCCTACAAAGTTCTCTTGGTAAATGCGACAGTTTCAGTGTAGGGTTCCAGGAGTTTATGTAATAAACACAGGGGTTTTAACCAAGGCGTGCAAAACAACGTCAAACTGAACATGAAGTGACTACAATCCGCAGTTGATGTTATGTGATGTTACAAAGTGTCATGTGGCTTGAGGTTAACGCCAGTGTCAACATTACTTCAGTTTCAGCACAGGGTTCCAATTTACTGAGACACAAACTGTTCCTGTATAATACCAATGAACTGGGGCGGTGGGGTGATCTAGTGGTCACAGCGTTCGCTCGTCACGCCGAAGACCCTGGTTCGATTCCCCACATGTCCCCCGCCGTGATACTGCCGGAATATTGCTCAAAGCGGCGTAAATCAATACTCATCACTACTAATGAACTGTAGCGGCAAGTGTGCACTTACCTGGGGTACTGCTACCCAACAGCATCAGCAGAGCGAGATACTCCACCATCACCCACTGGTGCGAGGCCATGGCCAAACTGATGCAGAATCCCGCACCACGGACCACGGAGCGGAAGGACATGATGTCACAGACACAAACAGTTTCATCAGTCCTGCTTTCTTTAGCTCGTTACAATGGTAACGTGTGGACTTGCTTTACATGGCACATGGTAGTCGAAAAGAAAGATTCAGCTACGTTATATTGTTTCAGAGTGTAACATGCTTTAGCATGGTTAACATGCTCATGATATAGTCGGAGATTTCTTGTGATTATGGATTGGGTTTGTCGATTTTAATAACATAGATACCAGCACATGATGTACTCACCATCTTGTTTGTTCCTCACAATGGACATTGTTTTCCCCTCACTTCCCTATAGTTTTTTAAAGAAACAACTTTTCAATTTGCTGTAACCTTGAGGATACACCTGACTGCCATCATTTTCAACGTTACCTCCACGGTATTGGTGAGGGAATGCGTGGACAATATGACATTCAAGCGTAAAAGCAAATAATATTGATGCCAGTGCCTGTTTCAATTTATATTTTGAATAAAATATATTACATATAGTAAAATGCGTGGATCGATGCTCATGATGTCAATCACTGGATTGTATTGACCAGACTCGATTATTTACAGACCGCCGTCATATGGCTGGAATATTGCTGAATGTGGCGTTAAACAAACAAAGTAAATTGAGTTATATATGACGGTGTTAGTACGCTTACGTGAGAGACATATTCGTACCGCTGATTGATGACAGAGGATATACACGAATACGTCTGCATCATTGTGCAAGTGGGTATATCCTGTCATCAGGGCCAGGCAGCATGGTGCAATGCGGTCAAGGCGAAAGTCCATCATGTACGCTCAATTTAACAGACACAAAATGAATTAGCGGAAGGGTGTATAAGGTCAGGGATAAAAGCCGGATATACTTTGTACCATTTAGGCTTTGAGGCAGAAAAGTTCTGAGCCTAACTATAATGGACTACGTTGATTGAGTTACTAACTCTGTTTAAACCTCACCCCACCCCCACCCATCCCTCACCCGACCCCCACTCCCATCCCCCAGGGTCCACGCCCTCCTGACAGGGATGCTGAAGTGTCTGGATCCCACTGGTGTGGAAGGGTGCCTCGTGGTTGTGTGTTAAGTCTTCCTCACCAGACATGGCGTCATCATTGTTTGCATTTAGCCTGACAGAGAGTTTTCTTTTCAAGATAGTGAAGAGGTGGACAGATGACAGAGGGTGTTCAAGCCACAGTCTTGCATTGTAGCCATGGCGACAACAGACGGGTACACAGGCACATTGTCCTGATGGAAAAACACACCTTTAGTGAGTTTTAGTCTTGATATTCTAACGCAGTTGTCTGAGCAGACTTGCATAATATTGGTAAATAATGGTCTGACCTATCGGTAGGTGATCCACCTGTTAAATCCAAGAAAACCTTTTTGCGCCACCCTTCGAAAATGTTCGCCTGTATACTTGTTACGGTGAAGAGAAGAACTCCACCCTAAATATACTGATGTAAACAAAGAACGTGACTGTAATAAAATAGGGCAACCATTTGTTTGACGTTATACTTTGTGTTTCTTCCTGGGATGACTGAAAGGTGTTTGCAGCGTAGGAATACATTTTGCCCAATTTTGTTCTAATTTTTGCTATTATTGTAGCAGGAAATATTCCTGTGGTTTTTTTTAACATGTTTTCTTATTTATATCAGTAAATTTCACGTTAATGTACATTAGTATTGCAATTGTTTGTTCAAATATTGCAATTAATGTCTGAAGTTTTTAACTTTGTATGGTGTATTTCTCACGACATCTTAGGTATTTTAAATTTGATAATACAATACTCTCTTCGTTTTATAAAACATTTATACAAAGCATTCTAGTTATTAAGGTTAACTGCTGGTATGGTAGCCTATCTGTAAATAAAATAAATTAAAATATATCTGAAATACATTAAATTTAAATACAGCAAGCATAATCTCAGGTACCCAGTTTCAACACATCGGCGAAATTTATGAGCAGCAAACTGTCCAAAAGGCGCGTAAGATACTAAATGACAGCAGTCATATACTTCATTCCGAATATCCGTGTCTACCTTCTGACCGCTGACGGCGCATGCCGATGCTGAAAACAAACAGGACCCGGAAATCATTCATGCCAGCCAGTATTAGACTTTTAAAAGTTCATCTGTTGATTACTTTTTAACAGTTCGCTGTACACAAATCTTATCCTGTCAATACCCCTTTTATTAAAGTTTACTATTGCTGTGATATAAATACATATTCTTTAAAATACAATTCCTTGTCGTCACTGTGATAGTGTTCAATTTTTACATGTTTTTACTCATGGTTATATTTTTTTATTTTCATGAAATATATTTCCCTTTTTCATATCTTAGTGCTAATCAACTGTGCAATAGTCGAGATCTGTCTATTTGTTGAGGAATGTGACGGTCAGTTAAAGCGTTATCCTGTCGAGATCTGTCGACCTGTTAGTGAATGTGACGGTCAGTTAAAGCGTTATCTGGTCGAGATCTGTCTATTTGTTGAGGAATGTGACGTCAGTGTAATCGTTATCCTATCGGGATCTGCCGACCTGTCGTGGAATGTGACGGTCAGTTAAAGCTTTATCCTGTCGAGGTGTGTCGACCTGTCGTGGAATGTGACGTCAGTTAAAGCGTTATCCTGTCGAGGTGTGTCGATCTGTTGGGGAAAGTGACGTCAGTTAAAGCGTTATCCTGTCGAGGTGTGTCGACCTGTCGTGGAATGTGACGTCAGTTAAAGCGTTATCCTGTCGAGGTGTGTCGACCTGTCACGGAATGTGACGTCAGTTAAAGCGTTATCTTGTCGAGGTGTGTCGACCTGTCGTGGAATGTGACGTCAGTTAAAGCGTTATCCTGTCGAGGTGTGTCGACCTGTCGTGGAATGTGACGTCAGTTAAAGCGTTATCCTGTCGAGGTGTGTCGACCTGTCGTGGAATGTGACGTCAGTTAAAGCGTTATCCTGTCGAGGTGTGTCGATCTGTTGGGGAAAGTGACGTCAGTTAAAGCGTTATCCTGTCGAGGTGTGTCGACCTGTTGGGGAATGTGACGTCAGTTAAAGCGTTATCCTGTCGAGGTGTTGATCTGTTGGGGAAAGTGACGTCAGTTAAAGCGTTATCCTGTCGAGGTGTGTCGACCTGTTGTGGAATGTGACGTCAGTTAAAGCGTTATCCTGTCGAGATCTGTTTATTTGTTGAGGAATGTGACGTCAGTTCAAGCATTATCCCGTCCAGACCTGTCGAACTGTTTTGGGATGTGACGGTCACGGGCAGTTTGCAGTTGCTCATTCAACCATAGGTTACACCGAATAAAAGACTTGTTAAAGACTCGCAGAGAGGGTTTAGTCATTGTGATCTAACCACGATGCATAATGTATGGCTGCTATACGCTTAAGCATAGACGATGGGGCATATACTGTAACAATAGAATTGGGAATCGCGGTATGTCGTGAAGCATGCATATCGAAGTGCGTGGGACTTTTACAGCCGCTTAGTCTTGATCAGAGTTCACGATTCAACAGTGGGTTGTAGTGCATGTCGAAGTAGGCGTAGTCAGTCTCATGCTTTGTGAGGGATTGACTGGCCTACTTAAGTAACTGTTGTTAATTGAATTGAACCACAATTTACACTTCCACCCAATCAATGTGTCCCTCCATATACCTAATAACACACAGTTTCTCCAGATCACAATGAGGCATGTGATAAGGTAGACACAATGTTATGGATAACGACTTCTTTAATACTTAAAAAGCGAAGTTTCGGTGTAGATCCTTATGCCGTTGTCCAGCAAGACTGAATGAGGGACCTTGTACAGAATATATATAATAGTTGGAGGATTAACAGGGGAGGATTAAAAGTAACAACAATTGTGGTATAACATAAGTAAGTATTGACAACAGAAGGATAATACTGGCACAATACGATGGACAGAGAACACATAGGTGAAAGCCAATGGGACATGAACCCAATTAAACAGGATAAGTGATTATTGCTTGTCCTTATTTTCTTCTTGTATCTATAAATGGCAGCGCTAGGAATGTAACTTGTATCTGTGCTTATTTTGCATCTTCCCAAGGTAACAAGGGAGTTAACTGACTTTATAAACCTATTCATTTGGGGTCGCTATTAAGTAAGAGACTTCTTTCTATAGGCATTAAAACTATAGAGGTTTAAATCTCATAAAATTGGACGTTGTAATGTCCCATGGATTTTATAGGATATTCAAGTCATATTTGCTTTGCTATATGTGTTATAATATCCCAGGGATTTTATATGATGTCCTGGGTATTGTATTAATACAACTTCCGTTCAGATTGTAATATGTAATGAAATCTAAAATCAAATGACAAATGTTTTTCATATTTTCCCTTGAATCGAACTCGCAACCTTCATATCTCTAGCCCAGTGAGTGTACCACGAGGCTACAGATGTGTTAATAAGACACATTGGTTTTTAGAATGTCCTTTTCAAGATCCGTACGTCAGAGACAGATATTTTACGCGCGTTGCCTAAGGTTCATGGAAAGTATGTTCGAAACATAAAAATGTTGATAAATGTTGTTTTAAGTTTCTTTTTTGCGGAAAAACACTTTTCCTCGGTTTTGGGAGACAGAGCATGCCCTGGGAGTCGGGAAAAACCGCGGGGGCCCTGCTCTGTCTACCAAAACCTCGTAAGCGTGTTTTCTCCAATACGTAAAAGTCCAGGGTTTTTTCACCCTTGCCGAGCTCGGCTGGAATTTCTGGGCTCGATCGTAGCTCCACCATTGGCGATTACGAGTTCTGTCCTTTCAATGTCGCTCCTATTGACCAATAAGATTCCACCTTTCTTACCACTTATCACTTGCTTTAAACAAAATGGCGGCACAAAGGGAAGACGATCTGATTGATAATCAAGATCTTTATAGTAATAAAACGGGTCTTACTTCGCAAAGTGCACCAAATCATGTAAGCTCCTTGTTAAAAGGCATGAAAAGTTTTGGAAAATATCTGTTGACACTATGTTGACGGTACACATACTTTGCAAATCCTGCAATCGACTGGAATCTGCACGGCAGTTTACGAACCGGATGTCGATTTCGTTGCGTGATTTTGATTGGACTGTGCACAGACTTGTTAGTCCAGCCAAAATATAACTCCATAAATGCAGCTTCGCTCGGCAAGGGTGGAAACTGGACTTCTTTAGTCAATTAAGTCCCTTGCCTCGGGAAGATGCTATTTGGGGCCAGTGGCCTCTATATTGAATAACTTATTTGTCTGTCTGTCTAATGTTTAACCCTCGTCCAGTGAATACAAAGTTTGGAGCATAACAATTGCCCGTGGTAAATTAATTAAGTAACTCTATTCGAAGTGCTACACTTTCTTTGTGCAACTGGTCAGTGTTTGTAGAAGGGAAATAGTACAATTAAACATCGTCCTTGTTACCTTTGGCGGTAGAGGCAGTTTAACATTTAAACAGGTCAAATATATTATAAAACACTCCCTGTTCATGCTATCAACCACTGATTTGTCTGGCCCATACTTGATTGCTTAGAGCCATTGTGATGTTGTGTTCAGCATTCTCTGAGATTCATACAAAAGGCAAGAGAATAAAGTGTAATGATTTTTTATTATTATTCAAAAAACATTCTTGATGTTTTCGCGTCCAGCACGATGACAACAATAAATGTATCGCATGATATGCTAAACTAATTCTGTGAATGACTGAGATCAACAAATGGTAGATATGTAAATGAATGTCTGTAGGCATTAACACATCTTCTTCCCCAAAACATCACTGAGCATGTGGAGGTCATCATAACTTTCAAAGGTCACCACGTGATCACGTGCTGGACTTGATCCAATCATATCAATGATACGGCTCTGCAAGTTGCCAACAGCAACAACATAAAGTTCAACACCCATGTCCTGTGCACGCCTGGCTTCCATCACGACCTTCATCAAATCTGTTGTCTTCTCATCAAGGAAGATAACTCCCACCTGTCGAGAACGACGAGTTCTCCTCCAGGTGTTGACTGCCTGTTCCTTCAGAGTGATGACGAGATCGTGCATCTTAGTGTATGGGGCCACGGGGGTGGAACCAAACCTTAATTTGAAGTCGAGGAGGGTGGTGAATGGGATGTCACGGTCCCCGATGCAAGGGTCAGTGATGGCGGAGATCCGAATGCCCCTGTGATTGGAGAAGGTGCTCTTGACCAGTTTGATGACGTCAGAACGGAATTGCTTCCGTACCTCCATAGTCTTTGAGTCAGATTCAAAGACGAAATATATATCGGACGAATCAATGTTGCAAACTGAAAATAAACGACAAATGACATTTATTATTGTGCTTTTGTTGTATTATGTATACAACATTTATCTGACAGTTCATTTATATATCTATCTGCAGTTCATTGATTTCAGAGATAATAATTTGCCAATCCCAAATTGTGCCACAGAACCATACCCCTGTGTCACGCTTTTTCTACTTGACATGACATAATCTATTATGTATTCAGTCGAACTTTAAAAAGTGATACAAGACATGTACTGTGAATGAGTGAGTTGAGTTTAACGCTGCTTTGAACATTATTCCAGTTATATCATGGTGTCTCAGCGTAATGTGGGAGGAAAGCCTGAAGTGAAGCAGGTCTCAGACGTTGACCACTTTAGTGAAACCCACGAGCAGGGGTATGGTGCTGACAAACCTAGAAACATAACCGTGGCGAACCGGGATTTTAACCCACGACTGTGACCAAGGGACGCAACTCGGTATAGCGAATTGCGACCCTTTAAACAACTGGGCCACCCTTGTATTACGACATCGAATGACTGAATGTATGTACATACTTTTGATGTCGGCAGGTGGTGGTTGGGTGGGCTGAACTTGGCAGGTCTGTATGGCAAGGATGTTTCTGATGCTGGACAAGGCACTAAAATTAGTAACGGTGAACACGAAGCGATCGTCAGGGTCACTGCTCACGTCTCTCAGTTCCTTGTAGTCAATGCTTGGCCCAACACCGATTGCAAAGATGTACATGCCCTTCCTCTTTGCCTTCTCAGCCTCTGCAGCAGTCAGAACAGGATCATAGGAGATGCCGTCTGTCACGAGAATGATCACCTGGGCAACGCCTGGTCTCGCGACATTTGGCGCGAATCCATAGTCTCTGACGTAGGCGAGCGCTGATGACGTGTAGGTCTGGCCGCCAGTGTAACGAACTGTTTGAGGGCTCAGCGCTCGTTGGAGTTGGTCACGCGTGCTGTAGTGGTTGAGAGGGAAGATGGGGGTTGTTTTGTTGGAGAATGTTACCAGGCCAATGCGGGTCTTCGTTGATCCAATGTCAAAGATGGAGACCATGTCCTTGACAAACGGGAGGACCTTTGTGTTGAAGTTCTTTATCCAGACGCTGGAGGAAACGTCCAAGAGGAAGTAGACATCTGCCGGTTTCCCTCCGCAATCTGTCAAAAAGATATGCTGGTTATAGCGTCGTTAAATCTCTATACCATCCCTTCACATGTTGACTTTATGGAAAATTCAATAAGTAAATATTAATGACTTCGAAGTATAGTATCTGACCGGTTTAAGTCAGGAAGTTGAAGTTCGATTTGGTTCTATGACATATCTCTGTACCTCTTTAAAAAAATGACGTAAATTAATGCTGATAAATTCTTTAGCATATATTTAAGCGGCCCTATACTTACATTTAATGGTTTCCGGATCAATGTCGTTCTGTGGTCTCTCAGTAGTAGTTGGAGCAGGAGTGGTTGGTATGACTGTTAAGTAATAACACATCAGATTTGTTAGATGTAAGTGCATGTTATCATCTACCTAAACCAACGGTTTACGAAATACAATCATATATGGAAATATTTGAAATTACATGAAACTATATTAATTAATTTTACTTCATGTTTTATGGTGGAGTTCACACGACAACAAAATAGTCAAAGTACATAACAGCGATAAGACCCTTTCCATAATCATAGCAATCCATTGTACGATCCGACTATATCATGTGCTTATGAATCACAAACATATAGTAATAATATACAACGTGTTATGTAAAATGGAATCCGATTCGGCGGATAATCGAGACACTGGCGTTGACGTTGTGTACTATATAAGACGCAGCGTTAAGTTTACCTTCGCATGTTCTGATGGCGAGGTGCCTCTTGATGCTATGCAGGGCTGTGTAGTCTTTGACGTGAAACATAAACTGAGAGTCAGGATTGTCTGCTACACTTCGCAACTCCATCTCATCAACTTCATCTCCCACACCGATAGCGAAGATGTGGGCGCCATTGGAGCGTGCTCGCTCAGCCTCGACCCTGGTGACTGTAGGGAAGCGCGACTTTCCGTCTGTAAGCAAGATGATAACAGAAGCAGCCTCTGGTCTAGCACCGTTCTCAAGCCGAAACATGTCGTCGGTCACGTACTGAAGGGCTTTGCTGGTGAAGGTGCTGCCGCCGGTGAAGACGATGTTTTCGATGGCGTGTTCTAGAGTGTCACGGGTCAGGTAGGTGCCAAGATCAAACTGAGGGTTGTACTCGTCGCTGTAGGTGACGACACCCACACGTGTCTGGGACGGGGCAGCGCCGATATCGAACATACGTACAACATCGCGAACAAATGGGCGAACGTACTGATTGAAGTCCAATGGCCAGATGCTTGTGGAGGTGTCAATGACGAACACGACATCCGCTGCCTTGCCAGAACAAGTCTTCAGTGCTGATGAAAGAAAAATATTAATGCAAACTATGGCGAACCAGATATATTTTGGTCGTATGGAGTCGATGTATTCGGAAACAAGTTGTGTAGTCTAATCGTATCATTAATATGATAAACATATTTTAAGTAGCCTTATCCTACCGTTCTTACTTTATTCAGAAATCATGGGCTGGATTTGTTTTATTTGTTTGTTGTTTACCGCCGCACTCAGCAATATTTCACCTATATGACAGCGATCTGTAAATAATTGAGTATGGACCAGACAATCCAGTGTTTGACATCATGAGCATCGATTTATGCAGTTGGGATACTTGACATGCATCAACTGAGTCAGCGAGCCTGACCACAGCGCCCCTTACGACAAGCCTGGATTGCTGCTGAGCAGTTCTTACCCGGAGATTCACGGATTGTATTGAGTAGATTGTATTGTATAGAGTATGAGAAGACTTTACTTACATGGTCGGCAATGAACTGCACTTAAGCCCTGAAATTTCAGAAAGAAACATCTTGAAAACTACATTTAAATCAATAATTCAAATTTCCATGTTGTGGAACTTCTAATCACATTTTCTGTTCTGGCAAATGAGAACTACCTCAATGTGGAACAAATGATTGCACAGTAAAATTAGAATTTGAATTATACAGAAAATAAGAGCGCAGTGAAAATGAAATTTTCATTTTACATGAGATTTACTTACCACGGCTATGATCAATATGGATGTCCAAAGGCACGTCATGTCTGCTGCTGTTCAGATCGTCTGCTAACTTGTCGTCTGGCTGAGTTGGACATCGAAATGGACATCTGATGGACCTTATATACTATCTTGTCAGGTGCTTCAATTCATTCAATATACGTGGTTTCAGCGTGGGAGTTTCCGAAGACGTCTAAAGTTCGTTGGTCACGTGACCAGTAACAAGTGGTGTCGGTAGCCGCGGCTATTCTGATAACCGATCTTCTTCCGCATGGGCCACGCGGAATGTACGACCTAGATAACTTCTCACCTTCATCTCGGCAATAAAAAGTACTCAGGTCATGCCGAGGAATCATATTAGACGGTTTATGCACACTTCGCGTGAACACAAGACGGGCGATGATGGGGGACATATATTTTATTACAGATATACAAAATCGCGACATTAAATCAAAGCATTTTAATAACGTTTGAAAGTTCCTGCCAAATCGTAAATAAGGGCTCAACGGGCTTGCTTAATGATGCCATGTTCTACCATTCAAATTAAATCAATTTGCTTTCACTAGTGTGGTTTATATACATGCCGAAGATGATATGAAATAACAGATTCGTATCCTATATTGAGTTGCACATATATACTACACATATACGCTCGAGGGTTTAATGTCGAAGGGAGATAACTGCACTGAAGATGAATACGTTGACGTACGTTCCACCCCAAACGGGAAACACGTACGGAGTACAAAAGACGAGATTTCCGGAGCGACAATGTATAATTATACCCTGTATGTCACCAAGATTTATCGTGCGTAATAACGAAAGTAGGAATTTACTCGGTTTTTTCAACATTTTTACGAAGAATGTTTAGAGATAAACATCAACCTAGCGCTTTGCAATGCACACATTAGGACTGCTTTAGTTTTTGCTAAATTAGTTAACAACGAATGGAAAGGTCTTTTAAGAATGACGTGTGAAGAAGTCGTGTCCTTAACTTCAGTACGCGATGTTAATACCTGGGACTCTTTATCGTCTTCATTTTTCGAATATTAAAAAAAATGAATCTGAATATTTTGATAAATTTACCATAACTATTATTGCAATTTATCAATAGACTATACGGATAAATCACGACTACAATTGCCTCTCGTGTTATATTAGCAGGTAAGAACCACAAGTGATAGTCCTTTCGTATGAAAAGGGGGCGGTCGGGTAGCCTAGTGGTTAAAGCGTTCGCTCGTCACGCCGAAGACCCGGGTTCGATTCCCGACATGGGTACAATGTGTGAAGCCCATTTCTGGTGTCCCCCGCCGTGATATAAGCGGCGTAAAACTATACTCACTCACTCACTGGTATGAAAAGTATTATTTTACATCATTGTGACTAAATATAGTGGATATTGTGTATCCAGTATGGGGTATTTATCATATGGTATGAGTCGTCGTATATATGGTTAAAAACCTCTAAATTGAAAACACACAAGGGTGAATCAGGGATCACTGAAGATTGGTTACATGTGCATATTGTTTGTCTTATTATGTCCTTCAACAATAATTATCACCATAGTGATTGAGCCACTTCCAGGAGACATGATGAAGGCAGATGGCCTGTAAGTATTATTCAAACTGACATCCCTAGAGAAAATGAAGCGACCTGTTTAATGTTTTGCTCTATACGCACAACTATTACGACGTCATAAAGTTCTACAGAAGGGAAGTCTAAGCATTGTGACACGGTAGCCATGACGTCACAGCACGTAATAGAGTAGCTCCTATAGTCAAGCCGTTTCGAAGTCGTTGAAGCTTTCCGCCTGAAATATATTGCAATACTTTTTGTAAATAGTGTAGGAACCACAACATGTTATTTAACAACGTTAAAAAGTAAGATCATTGTTTGAAATTGCCAAAAGGGTGGGTTTGCTAAAGAGGTGCTTCTAAATAAGTATTTTCTTTCTCGGTAATGCGGTCGCCAGCAAAATCATTGTCTAACGTAGATTACAGCATTCTAAAATATCATAGTATCATTACAAAATATTTACACTATTCATGAAAAATCAAAAGTAATAGTATCGATGTTACTCGTGCCCTGAATCTACAATAACCTGCCTAAAGTGTTTTTGTAAGAAGTCATTAACTAGTTAGTAATATTTAATGCTAATTATTTTGAATATGTATGTTAATAACACATGGGACAGCCTACTGATATAAGTATGTAAGTACACGTACATTCCCTTACAGATAGTCATAAAATGAGTATATAAACTTGGGGAAAACTGGAATTTCCTATCCCGTCTAGCCCCAGTATAACTCAACCCAGATAATCAAATCGTCCAGATTTTCTACTTAATTAGGAATTTCGAAGAATGGGAACGAGAAACTCCAACATTTCTATCTCTGGTATAGAGCGCCCACGCGGAAGACGAACAATTTGGGATTGGTGGTGTACGCGGGGCCAAGGACACTGGTCAACTGCGCCGTTTAGAGATTGATATGAATTAATGTTTACACGAAGCAGTCGTGAAGTGAATGGCCATCGCCATCGTCATCATCATCATCATTATAATTATCATCATTATCATGATCTTATTCCTTGCAACCCGTGAAGATCCGGGACAGAATAGGAATTCAGCAACCCATGTCTGCCATAAAAGGCGATTATGCTTGTCTTAAGAGGCGACTAACGGGATCGGGTGGTCAGGCTCGCTGACTTGGTTGATGCGGTCAATGTTTGTTTGTTTGTTTGATGTTTAACGCCGCACTCAGCAATATTCCAGCTATCCAGCCTGACCACCCGTTCCCGTTAGACGACTAACGGGATCAGGTGGTCAGGCTCGGTGACTTGGTTGATGCATTTCATCGTATCCCAATTACGTGGATCGATGCTCATGATGTCAATCACTTGATTGTCTGGTCCAGACTCGATAATTTACAGGCCGCCGTCATATAGCTGGAATATTGCTGAGTGCGGCGTTAAACAACAACAAACAAACAAACAAACAAAGTCTCTCAAGTGAGAGGTGAAATAGAAAGGATTGAGTCTGATCACCATTCTGTTTAACTACGATTTTAAGAATCATTATGTACAGTGTCATCGTACATGGTGTTTAATTTCGCTCTTTCTCCAGTTCCGAAAATAAAAGTATGATTCACCATGGACATCGTTAGGAATACTTTTCTCTCTGAAAATACTGTGTTCAAATTTCCCGTTTCACAATATCACGATACATCAGTTCTGACATCATGCTGGAAACGTCATAGTTTCCTGAAGACTTATTATCATCCCTCTCCACAAACAAGGTTAGGGAATGATACAAATATAAGAGTTGATGTACATCATTGACACAAAAGTAGTATTCTGGGCTGATGCTTTTGAAAAGATTAGTGAGACACAAGCAGGTTTCAGTTAAGAACCTCCACAATTTATGATATAATTATGTTGCAAACAATAATAGAAAAGTACTACACAAAGAAGGGTTGTTCATTGTGCTTTTATGACAGACTTTTCTGAAGACTTTGATTCACATTAGCAAAATATTATGGTCATGATCGCAGCAATAAACTTGGGAAGCTAATGTGAAATATGTTCCAGCAAGACAGGTTTGTGCGCTCAATAGCGGCATTGTATCTGACACTTTTAAAAGCGATATTGGCGCCGAAAAAGGATGCATACTAAGTCCATTTTCTGTCCTCCTTCTTCATCAATGCATCAGATTAACAAATTCAACAAAACTGTTCAGATAGCATCATTAACTTCCCCCGGAAACTAAGGAGTCTTTCCTTGTTTTGTTTGTCAATGATACAGTAATGTTTTCAAGCACAATACCTGAAAATATAAATAAGACAAATGTAATTTTTTTTGCGAGTCTAGGGAAAGGGTTTTGTCAATGGCATTCAATAGATGTTGTATGAGTCTATACGTACTTGGAAGTATATTTGACAAATAGATTGTCATGAAAGATGCATGCGAGGCAAGTTGCTGTACAAGCTCAGAATATCTCACTCACTCACTCACTCACTCATGCAAAGGCGAGTCAATTGTTCACCTAAAAAAACACGGAAATATGTTGAACAAGTCAAAACAGGAAATTGCATCGGGCATAATTTTTATCACTGATGCGTCAAAATTTGTCCTCCACATGACATCACCCCACGTTTCATACAGCTTGGGGCATAGGCTGCCGTCATTTACAGTGAGTGAGTGAGTATGGTTTGACGCCGCTTTTAGCAATATTCCAGTAATATTACGGCGGGGGACACCAGAAATAGGCTTCAAACATTGTACCCAAGTCGGGAATCGAACCCGGGTGTTCGGCGTGACGAGCGAACGCTTTAACCACTAGGCTAACCGACCTAGCACAGGCTTCAATTCTTATTTATTAAAGATGTTCTTGACATCAAACATTTGGACTAATTGTCTGCAAAATCTAATTTTCCGGTTTGAAATAGTTACTGTTGTAATATTTAAATATAGTGACTGATTAATGGAAAGTAGACATATATGCTAAAATATTTTGAAATAATGTTTTTTACATTACGACCTTACAAGAGAAAGTCAAGTCCGCATATATCTTCATGACGAATTTGACGGAAGTACGTTGACGTCGAACGTCTTTCTTTATGACGTCACGGCACCATTGTTTCCTAGAAACCATAAGGTCTCTTTTCTCCTGGCGGGTCACATGTCTGAAGCTGACGCTGAACTTCTTGGCACCGTGTCCTCTCTTTGAATTAACTAAAGTAGTAAAACATCCGATTCGTATGCAAAGAGAAACAAATCAAGAGAGGGGCACAATAAGTACCCATTAGGATACCTACTATTGTCAATCAGACAATCCAGCAACTCACATATAAACTTAAGTAATCTTACTTTCCGTCAAGCAAATTGATAATATCCATTAAACTTGTGATAAAATTAAATTTCCGAACTCATTTCGGTACACTCCGACCATATATATCGAATAAACCGAAGTTACTTTACATTCACTGCATAATCCTTATTGATTGATATTGGACCTCTGCCTTTCTGGAATACGGATATCTCGATGTATTGTCCATGGTTCCGATGAGTAAACGAGTTAGAACCGTACCGGTATTCGATTATGCATTACACGGGAGTGCTACCCCAGGACCTTGTGTCATCACGGATTTTCAGTGATCCATTCATAGAATTCCGTCCCTATTTTGTCATTCACGCCCAACTGAATCTGGATAATCGAGACTGGTTATGCTCTGGAGAAAGTGCTTATTTGTACCATATAGAATAAACAAAAATTAACCAAGGTCTGGAAGCCTAAGGATGTAGGTCAGGGCATATAACGTAATTTCATTGTAGGAGTCTCTAATGGGAATGGTAGGGTAGCCTTGTGGTAAAAGTGTTTAACGTGTGAAGCCCATACTTGCTGTCCCCGCCGTTACATGGCTGGAATAATACTAAAACCAATGTTCATCCAAAATAATGCTCTCAATATTTATCATGTCGCTTCATAAGTATTGGACCCACTTCACCGTGATAGAGATACAAAATATGTTATACCACACAACCATTAATGAAATATTTCATTTTACAAAAAGGAATAGCATCAGTAGTTGATCAAGATTATACGTCCGAGAGTAGGTCAAGATTAGATGATGAATAGTAGTGTTTCATGTGATGAAGTCACACTGTTATCATCCAATGAAACCAAAGCGAGCTCGAGTATAGTGCGGTTGTGGGTGTATGGTACGTACTGTATGTTGTTCGCCCACTGCCGGCTATTAGTATGTCAGCAATCCCTAGCGGTTGAAGGGAGATGACACCAAACTCACTGACGATACTAGATGCCAAAATCAACGAAGTGCAGTATTGGAGGAACAAGACAAGTTTTGTTATCCTACAGTTTATATATACCCCTGTCATGTACGGATCACTTCAAAGACTTGTCCTCGATTTTGTATCCTAATGTGGAAAAATAAACGTATTGTAAGGTTCATAATCTTTTAAATGGTTTTAATATGGACCATCCTTTCTTAGATGGAATGTGAATGGTTGACCAACGGGTGATTGCCTTCCGGCGACTGTGTTGACTCTTTGATTGGATGATATCATTGATATTACTTTAAGAAACCTACTATTCTTTATTGTTGTATATTCTTAAGTAAATGTATTGTCCTGCTCTATTGTTCTAACAACAGTTCCTTTGTCTTCTACAGAGTGCTGTCTTATCAGCATATCAGGGTGAACAGCTAGCAGCAGCTCGGGCAAACGTCGCTTTTCACTTTTCACTCAAGGCCAAGCATTGGAATATGCTATCGGGATATCGGGAGCTATTGGGGCTATTCGTGTGATCCTTTCAGTTCAGTTTTCATTTCACAGTTATAGATAAGAACAGATCCTTATGTCGGGATTACTTGACATTGTAATCACATGTTACGTCAGAATAACGATCCCGGACGTGACTCAACCCCACACAATACGAGAATCTGTACTCAGAAAGTGTTATCCCAAATATAGCATTTGTTACATAACGATACATGTATAAATGCACCTCAAATTATGCCCGCTAACACTTAACGCACTGAGAACATTGCAACCAAGCGGAATGATTGTATATTTAATCAAATAAAAATACGAACTAGTTTTACACATGACACCTGATAAACACGAAGAGCAGACATACCAGGAATTTCAACAAAGAATTGCTTGAAATGTTTTACTCGTGTAAGGAGACATGAGGATGTACAATAACACATTGGCTTGAACAGATTTGCAATGGCGAATTGTACTGTAGCAATGTCATGTGTGCAAATCAACGCCGCCATGAGTCAGAGGATACTCGACCTATCATCAGATAGATGAACATTTCAAACTGACAAACAGCAGTTCCTCAACTTGTCATGGATCATTCAGGGATGATCCTGATATCCTCGAGCTGGATGTTTGGCGCACGTTCAGATCACGTGTGACAACCTTGAACAAAGTCTGAGTATTCGACACATTGAAGATTGTCCGTAGCATCATCGTAAAGATCACTGGTGTTTCGGTTTGGTGATCTCAGCATCTGCAAATACAAAGTGAAAGCCTGAAGAACATGTATGTATTGTTTTGTTCGGATAAATAACTATGTGGCTTATGAATTTACTTTAAACTTACAATCTAAGAACAATCATTCAAAATATTTCATTCACCTCTCTCTGGGATGCGCACGAGATATATTCACCCAGTATGAACCAATCAGCCATATTTATCCAGTATCAACCAACCAGACATGTTAACCCAGTACCAACCAACCAGACATATTTACCCAGTATCAACCAACCGGATATGTTAACCCAGTATCATCAACCAACCAGACATATTAACCCAGTATCAACCAACCAGACATATTTACCCAGTATCAACAAACCAGGCATATTTACCCAGTATCAACCAAACAGGACATGTTAACCCAGTATCATCAACCAACCAGACATATTAACTCAGTATCAACCAACCAGACATATTTACCCAGTATCAACAAACCAGACATATTTACCCGGTATCAACCAACCAAACATATTTACCCAGGATCAACCAAACAGGTCATGTTAACTCAGTATCAACCAACCAGACATATTTACCCAGTATCAACCAACCAGACATATTTACCCAGTACCAACCAACCGGACATATTTACCCAGTATCAACCAAACAGGACATGTTAACTCAGTATCAACCAACCAGACATATTTACCAAGTATCAACCAACCGGACATGTTAACCCAGTATCAACCAACCGGACATATTTACCCGGTATCAACCAACCAAACATATTTACCAAATATCAACCAAACAGTACATGTCAACTCAGTAACACCCAAACAGACATATTTGCCCAGTATCAAAGGGAATAATTTACCTGCACAAATGTTCCAGAGCGTGTTCAGTTTCACTGATTTGAGATGAGGGTAGCTCTGAAGCCGTATCACGTGATCTTGGAGGAGTTCTGATGCAGATCCAGCCACCATGTACTCAGAGACATCACCTACAGCAACGACGTAAACCTCCACGCCAAGTTGCTTTAGTTTCACCGATTGACGCACCACCAAAGCTCCATTTCGTGTATTCTCATCCAAGAACAGCACTGCCACCTGGCGGCGAACGGAGATTGTCTTTTCGTTGAACTTCTCTGTCAACAGGGTCTTGATGAGACGGTGCATCTGTCCCTCTGTGTGCGATATGATGGTGCTGATTTTCCGCATAAAAGCCTCCAGACTGAAAAATGTCAGATCCCCCTCGTCAGGACAAGGGTCAGTCACTGACCCAACACGCACCTGCTCGTCCTTCACCTTCAGTTTCTCAGCAAAGTTGGTGATTACTGTTCTCATGATGCTGCGGCTTGACGGGAGTTTAGAGGCCGATTCGAAGACAAACGTGATGTCCGTGGGACCAATGACGCAGTCTGGAAAAAAGAGAAGTACATTAAAAGAGACATGAGTGAAGGGAAACACTTCTCAGTTTCTCTTCGTCGTCTATACATAGGTACAGGTGGCATCTGTTCTTTTTCTTATGATATGTTCGGAATCGTACACTGGAATGTGGTCTGAAAGATATCACTTCCAAAGATCAGACATCTTATCAATGTTATGCAGACGACACGCAACTGTACATCAATTTCCGATTGTCAACATTAACACATGCACTCTCCAGAACAAAATTATGTACGAGAGAAATAGAACAGTGGATGACATCAGGCCGAACGCTGTTAAATCCTAGGAGATGTCGCTTGGGATACGAGAGAATCTGCAACAAGTACACTAAACTGAGATAACCATTGGGAACTCGGTGGCATCTCTAAAACTAGACGAGAACCTTGGTGTGTACCAGGATAAGGAACAAACATTGGACGTTCAAGTCGATTATTTCTGCAAATCTTGCTTTTACCATCTTACATGTATTGGAAACGTCAAGCATTTAATTACAGTTGATGCAGCTCACGTTCTAGTCTGTGCGCTGCTCCTGGCGAGACTAGCTGAGCGTTACTACAACAGCCTCATGTAGGGTGCCACTAAGGAGCAACTGCAGCTACTATAAGGTCCAGAACACATCAGAACCACAAGCATTGCGAAAACGGTAATAAAAAGATCGCTTAATATACTGTGTTTGTGCATGAGCATGAAGTGACTGGTCCTGAGCAGCAAACAGAAAGCAGTGTTTCATCTTTCAGGCCAACCGGTTTCAGTCAAGCAAAGGACTCTTCAGGGTTGCTATTGATCTCAACACACTTTCATAAATGCGGTGCAGTGGTCGTTCAGATGGCCGATTTGACATGGCACTTCGCTTGGTTGACATTCAACCGGCAGTACAGAACCATCAACAAGATCAAAACTGACATTGAGATTCTGTCCCACATCCTTGGTTCGTTTAAGAAAATTGTGGAATGCCTTTTGTTTTCATCGTGAGTCTTGACATGCTTAACAAGAGGATCATCAAACAAATAAATGTGTGCAAAAGTGCACAATACAGTTTTATCATGAAGAACATCCACGTTAATCAAACCACTCCCAGGTAAATATTAGCGATTGAGGGAAGAGCGAGGGTGGAGTTTGTCTCTAACCTGCATTCCTAAGTACGTGAAGGCCTGACCTTCCACGAGGCGGTCAATAACTCCTCCCCCAAGTAAACTGACCGATCCTCTCTCTTCTACTTTGCCTTTTTTAGATGCAAATGAAAATATTATCATAAAAGAATCTGGTTTTTTTGTGTGGGTTGTAGGGTTCTGTTATGTCAGAATGTGATAGGATGTAGTCTGGAACATAGACAATTTACGTTAATTGAAAGGGTTTTGCGTAGAGGCAAATCCTTTTCAGTTTCACTCCAACCATATAATAAGAAAAAAATAATGCCCCTGTACATATATATGTACGGGGGCATTTGTTTTTCTTCTCTTTAAGCAAAGATTTCTTAGGATTGTGGAAATGGCTTTGTATTCAATGTCCACGCATGAACCGTTGCATTCCCTGTGGTGTCTATTGTGACAGAATGTAGCAGGTATTGGTTATTGATCTAGTAATGAAGTGATACTCACTTTCAGGGTCAATAATGATAGTATTTGCTCCCTTAAGTCTGCAAGTCTCCTCCTTCAATATGTCTGTCACATCAGCCAGGGCGTCAAAGTTGTTGACATGGAAAACAAACCGTTCTTCTGGATGACTGCCAAGAGCTTTCATCTCTACTGGCTCAATGCTGGGACCAATAGCAAATATGAAGATGCCAGAATCCTTGGCGACTTTAGCTTCCTTTGCTGTCAAAATAGGATCGTATGACATTCCGTCAGTGACAACGACGGCCATCTTGGTGACTCCTTTTCTGGCAACATCACGAGAAAAGCCGACGTCTCTGACGTAAGCTATGGCGTCAGCTGTGTTGGTTCTACGACCACCAGTGTAGACAATGTTGTCGGGGGATATTGCCTTCTGAAGTTCGTCACGGGTTGTGCAGGTGTTCAATCCGAAAACAGATGTGACGTTGTCGGCGAAGGTGACAAGTCCGACACGAGTGTCGGCGGGGCCGATGTCGAAGTCCTTGACGACGTCAGAGACAAATGGGATGATCATTTCTTGGAAATGTTTGATATACAGACTAGCGGACACATCCAGAATAAAATAAATATCGGCAGGCTTCCTCTTGCAGTCTGAAATATGAATTGATCTTTGGTTAAAAGGCATATAATGTCGCGTTCAAGGTTATGTTACATATTTCACATGGGCCCATCACTTCTACATGGGCACAAATTGTGCTCCCCTTTATGGATATCTGTTTCCTTATACATTCGGATCATGCATCATCTCAGATTGACACAACGTGACAAGTGGATTTAGACAATAAGTATAAGTTAGGCTTTAGATATATCGATGATCCTATCGTTCAATGATGGTCCTACAGCCAATACCTCTCCACTGATTTATCCACCTGAACTAGAAACAAAAGCGACCAGTGTAACCGCCTCATCTGTTTCATATTTAGTTCTATGTATAAAGAAGTGACAAAATACTGTTTTGTTTGTGTGTTAGTTAACGTCGCACTCAGCAATATTCCACCTTTATGACGGCGGTCTGTAAATAATCTAGTCTGGGCCAGACAATCCAGTGATTGACACAATGAGCATCGATCCGCGCAATTGGGAAACGATGAGATGCATCAACCAAGTTAGCGAGCCTTACCACCTGATCCCGTTAGTCGCCTCTTACGACAAGCATAGTCGCCTCTGCCAAATACTGCCCACAAAACAGAAAGACAAGAGGTATGACTTCGACTTTCCAAGAGTCAACCTTCTCTCAATGTCGAGTTGTATTCCTGCAGCTCTAGCCTTTGGCGTCTAAATTTCACAACTTTTGAGTTACAATCGCTAGTGCACTTTTTAAGATTTCAAAGAGATTAACACGACTCTTTCTCAAAAGTCGTTTGATCAGGCTTACAGCAATTAAGACTCTGGTAAAGCTTTCAAAAGTATGCTAGATATGTGTATGCATGTGTAATTGTGGCTGCTTGTACTTGTCCGGGCCTGTCCCTGTTTTGTAGTGCTTGCTGCTGTTTAACATGAATTCCCCACACATTCCGAGCCGCCGGGTCCTTGTTTCAAACCCTCTATGCCGCGCGCCAGGCAGGGTAACACCAATAACAATCTTTTAACGTCTCTTGGAGTGATGCGGTGGAGGGATCTACCGGGGCAGACGTTTCTAATAAGGAGGCAGGATACATATCTAATAAGCAGACAGTTTTTGTTCTTTAGTCATTCCAGAACATCTCCCTCTCCTACACACCAAGTGGTTCGCAGTGGAAGACTAAACTCAGATAAACTAAATATGAACTTACCTTGCAATCAACTAAACGTGAAATGGAATATGGGAACAGTGACTAAGTACTCTAACGGTTTACTCAGTCGGGCTCTTCAGTTAAATGTTGATTTTAGTTGTGTATTTCGTCTGTAGGACCAACGTATTCTGGAATTTTACCGTCCTCGTCATTATCCAGGGCTAACAATGAGGGGTGTTTTACACTTCAGTTAAATGTTGATTTTAGTTGTGTATTTCGTCTGTAGGCCGAACGTATTCTGGAATCTTACCGTCCTCGTCATTATCCAGGTGACCTTCGTCACCGATGAATCTTCCAGCTGTAGACTTGTCTGGGGCTGCAGCTGCTGGTGTTCGCGGAGGGGTGGACGGGGCAGTAGAGGTCGCTGTAGTTGAAGCTCGCTTTAGAGTGGTTGGTTCAGTGGTTGATTTGACTGTTGGCTCACTTGTGGTAATTGAAGTTGTTGTTCTTATCGCAACTATTACCGATCAAAATATGGACAAATTAGTATGGTTTACAAGCAATTGAAAGAAATATGAAACCTAACAGAGAACAATCAGTTTCGATTATCTGCTGGAATTCACTGGACGTAAAGGGCAACTAATGGTGGAAATTATATGAAGGAGATATATGATATATGAGCCTCAATGGTCACACTTACTCATCAGTGGCACCAGCCACATATTTTGTATAAAAAGTCAGAGTTTGAAGAAATGTTTAAGTTGGGTTACCACGTGCGATTCAATTAATTGTCTAATAATCCATCTCTCTAATAGTAAAAATAGTTAAAAGAAATATTTTACTGAAAACAAAACATTGATAAACCCATTACCTGCACAGGTACGTCTTGCAAGTATTTCTTTGATACTGTCAAGAGCTTGGAAGCTTCCAACGTGGAAAAGACTATCAGGTTCCGAAGCGATGTTCCTCAGCTCAGAGTACACAACACGATTCCCAACGCCGATAGCAAAGATCTGGATTCCATCTTTCTTAGCCAGAGATGCAGATTCTTTTGTCAATGCCGTGTCATCAGACTCGCCATCAGTTAGAATAACAGCAATGTTGGTGGCTTCTTCACGCGCACCATTCTCACGAGCAAACATCTCGTCTCTCACGTAGTCCAGAGCTTCATTTACCTTGGTGTTACCTCCCCTGAATGGTGTATTGAGGATTTTCTTGGCAAGTGATTCTTTGTCCTGGTAGTCCTTCAGGTGGAACTGGTGGTGGTATGTGTTTCCGAACGTGATCATTCCAACACGTGTTTGTTGGTCGCCCGGTCCCACGTCAAAAAGCTTGATCACATTGCTAACAAAGGGCAGTACGCGATTATGGAAATCTGGCGGCCATATTGAACTTGATGCGTCAACGATGAAAACGATGTCAACTCCTCTACCACTACAATCAGCTTCATCTTTAAGATAGAAGAAAATCGTTTTAGTCGGGACGAAGAATAAAATGGCGTTCACATTATCTAATATGATATTCTTAAAAAAAACTTAACTTCAATATGTAATACTATATATATATATATATATATATATATACTTACATGGTATGGACGATACCGCGGACATCATCTGAATGTAAGAAAAATGTAACAATTAAGAATGTGTTGCAGAATGTAACACTGAAGAGCGTGCTCTTAAATATCATGTCAAATAACGACGGTAGCCACAGAAATTAATTACAGAAATTGTTATTCAATGTTTGAAATTCAAGGAATATACGACCGTCTCCGTGGTCTAGTTGTAGAGAGTCCGTCAAGAGAGCGGAAGGTCCGGAGTTCGATCCCCAGCCGCGTCCTACCAAAAGACGTTAAAAGATGGCACTTGTTGTTACCCAGCCTGGTCGGCTCGGAGTCAGTATACTGTGTCTAAGTGGGGTATTCATGTTAAACTGCGGTATGGTATCTCAATTGGCTAGCACTATAAAATCGGCATTATTCCGGACTAGTACAAGCAGCTACACACACACGCACGCACATACACACACAAATACACACACCTGCATGCACGTCGCTATGTAAGTGCAATAATCTTGGACGCGGCATTAGACCCCATTTCACCTCACACCAAGGGATATACACAAACGAAAGTTTCTTACCAGAACGAGAGCAGCAACAAATTTAGAAAGCATCTTGTAGGTAGATCCTCTCCGCCTCGTTCGCAATAGCTCCTCGCTTGAATATCGCCGTGGTAGAATCCTAATACATATAATATGTGACGTCAACGACAGAGTATGATCAAAATCAAATATCTGCCGAAACAGATTCAGTTGGGTGCAAAAGGCAAAACAGAGATGAAAGCCTAGTGTCAGATGTATGACCTCTGGCCGACTGCCCCGTGTACAAAATACACAGCTCCAGGCACAAAACCATTCATGTGAAGCAGCAGGATGCAGCCAAGCTTTAAACCGGGTGTCACAGCTTGCGCTATACGGGAGCCAATGAGCTATAATATAGAGCCCTCGCTTCTAATGACGAATGTAGGCATAGTACTATATACTTGACATCAAAAGTCACCAAGAAAGAAAAGAGTGAATATAATTATTACTGAGTGATTATTCCCCAGTCAGTAACTGTCACTGGATCATGTGGAATGTAGGAATGTGAACATAAAAGTCCTCGATGGGAAATGGTAAATATTCAGTTCTCGTGGGTTTTAAAGAAGTACATGTACGTTTCCAAAGGGTCTGGTAAAACCGTCGTAAGGTCAATATGAAACACATCCATAATTCAGTTTAATTTAAAAAATGCAATTTTGAAATAATATATATCTCTGTTGGTACGTTCAACACCCTTCCCACATAATGAACAGCATGTCGCATTATAGTATGTCTTTGTGTGAACGTGTCACAACCTTTCCACATAATGAAGGAAACTCGCATTGTGATGTGTCTTTGTGTGAACGTGTCACAACCTTTCCACATAATAAACAGCATATCGCATTATAACATGTCTTTGTGTGAACGTGTCACAACCTTTCCACATAATAAACAGCATATCGCATTATAACATGTCTTTGTGTGAACGTGTCACAACCTTTCCACATAATGAAGGAAACACGAATTGTGATATGTCTTTGTGTGTACGTGTCACAACCTTTCCACATAATGAAGGAAACACGAATTGTGATATGTCTTTGTGTGAACGTGTCACAACCTTCCCACATAATGAACAGCATATCGCATTATGACATGTTTTTGTGTGAACGTGTCACAACCTTTCCACATAATGAACAGCATGTCGCATTATAGTATGTCTTTGTGTGAACGTGTCACAACCTTTCCACATAATGAAGGAAACACGAATTGTGATATGTCTTTGTGTGTACGTGTCACAACCTTCCCACATAATAAACAGCATATCGCATTATGACATGTCTTGGTGTGAACGTGTCACAACCTTCCCACATAATGAACAGCATGTCGCATTATGACATGTCTTTGTGAGTACGTGTCACAACCTTCCCACATAATAAACAGCATACCGCATAATGACATGTCTTTGTGTGAACGTGTCACATAATGAACAGCATATCGCATAATGACATGTCTTTGTTTGAACGTGTCACATAATGAACAGCATATCGCATTATGACATGTCTTTGTGTGAACGTGTCACAACCTTGTGTGAACGTGTGACAACCTTCCCACATAATGAACAGCATGTCGCATAATGACATGTCTTTGTGTGAACGTGTCACAACCTTGTGTGAACGTGTCACAACCTTCCCACATAATAAAGAGCATATCGCATAATGACATGTCTTTGTGTGAACGTGTCACATAATGAACAGCATATCGCATAATGACATGTCTTTGTGTGAACGTGTCACATAATGAACAGCATATCGCATAATGACATGTCTTTGTGTGAACGTGTCACATAATGAACAGCATATCGCATTATGACATGTCTTTGTGTGAACGTGTCACAACCTTGTGTGAACGTGTCACAACCTTCCCACATAATGAACAGCATGTCGCATAATGACATGTCTTTGTGTGAACGTGTCACAACCTTTCCACATAATGAACAGCATGTCGCATTATGATATGTCTTTGTGTGAACGTGTCACAACCTTTCCACATAATGAACAGCATATCGCATAATGACATGTCTTTCTGTGAACGTGTCACAACCTTTCCACATAATAAACAGCATGTCGCATTATGATATGTCTTTGTGTGAACGTGTCACAACCTTTCCACATAATGAAGGAAACACGAATTGTGATATGTCTTTGTGTGAACGTGTCACAACCTTTCCACATAATGAAGGAAACACGAATTGTGATATGTCTTTGTGTGTACGTGTCACAACCTTCCCACATAATGAACAGCATATCGCATTATGACATGTCTTTGTGTGAACGTGTCACAACCTTTCCACATAATGAACAGCATGTCGCATTATAACATGTCTTTGTGTGAACGTGTCACAACCTTGTGTGAACGTGTCACAACCTTCCCACATAATGAACAGCATGTCGCATTATAACATGTCTTTGTGTGAACGTGTCACAACCTTGTGTGAACGTGTCACAACCTTTCCACATAATGAACAGCATGTCGCATTATAACATGTCTTTGTGTGAACGTGTCACAACCTTGTGTGAACGTGTCACAACCTTTCCACATAATGAACAGCATGTCGCATTATAACATGTCTTTGTGTGAACGTGTCACAACCTTGTGTGAACGTGTCACAACCTTTCCACATAATGAACAGCATGTCGCATTGTGACATGTCTTTGTGTCAACGTGTCACATAATGAACAGCATATCGCATTATGACATGTCTTTATGTGAACGTGTCACAACCTTTCCACATAATGAACAGCATATCGCATTATGACATGTCTTTGTGTGAACGTGTCACAACCTTCCCACATAATGAAGGAAACTCGCATTGTGATGTGTCTGTGTTAACCAGTATTTCAATCTCCAAGTCATGTCAAGTGTTTTATATAGTTTATTATAAGATAAAATATGAAAATTAAACAATACAAATCACTCTGTTTAAATTTCACAAATACAAATTCAAGAATGTTAAAATACGTCTGTCGATTTGATCGACGCTGATAAATCCATAAGAAGATCTATTTTGTAACAAAAACTTGACAAATGGATCATCACAACGAAATAACATGGGTTGCAACTAGATTCACATGGATGTTACTTAGTGTGAATATCTGTACAAAGAGCGAAGAACAGAGGGAAACATAGTTCTTATCTCACGCCATGGTGGCGGCATGATATTGGATAACAGGGGACACGGGTGGCCCAGTCGTCTAAGGCGCCGCCATTCGCTGTGCAGAGTTGCGCCCCTTGGGCAAGCCAGAAACCAATGATTGTGGGTTCTAATCCCGGTTCACCCTGATTATGTTTCTAGGTTTGTCAGCACCATACCCGTGCTCGTTGGTTTCACTGAAGTGGTAAACGTCTGAGACCTGCATGACTTCGGGCTTTCCTCCCACATATAAGAGGGCACGCCGTGGTATAACGGGAATACTGTTAAAAGCGGCGTTAAACCCAACTCACTCACTTACTCACTCACTCACTATTAGATAACATTGAGATCATATCTCGCACTAAGGAAGGTGGAGGATGTGTGTTTACTCTGGTAAACAGATAGATGTGCATTTTTACTTTTTGAAAGCAAATATACAAATGGACAATGCGGGGTTTAATTTAACATTTCTCTCAGAAACAAATGGAAAAATGATGTGACTTCAAACATATACAAAGCACATTACACTTTGCATATAAATCAGTGTACCAGTTTCATATGGCAACGAGGCCCTGTGTATGTTTGTTCCAAAATACACGAAACTGAACAAATGCCTTAGGAAACACATTGACCTGTTAAACAAGTATTAGTGCCATTGCCATAAGAAGGAACACGTTACGTGTTTATATTACGTATGCAATGTATTCAGAGTATCTCGGCATTGTCAGATATTCTCTGGCTGAATGCGGGAAGGGTTTAGGAGATCTTGCTTCTTGGAGATCAATGATTTCACAACCTTTGAATGAGATCCGCATACTTGCACTGGAATGTTGTCCAGGATTCGATGACCTTTAGATAACTGAAGGCGAATCCTTACTGTTTTGGTTGGGTTGTCTCAGCCTCTGAAATTGTAAGATAGTATCATGTAAGAACATTTGGACAGCTTTGGATGTTAACGTAAAACAGAATTATTACTTTATCTGACTACCTTCATATTATTGTAACATGTTGGTTTGCTGTATAGAATGGAATATGTACCTGTACAAATGTTCCAGAGCTTGTTCAGCTTCACTGATTTGAGATGAGGGTAACTCTGGAGCCGTATCACGTGATCCTCAAGCAGTTCCGATGCTGATCCAGCCACCATGTACTCAGAGACATCACCTACAGCAACGACATAAACCTCCACGCCTTGTTTCTTCAGTTTCATCGCCTGACGCACCACCAAAGCTCCTTTTCGCGTGTTCGCATCCAAGAACAACACTGCCACCTGGCGGCGAACGGTCTTTTCCTTGAACTTCTCTGTCAACAGGGTCTTGATAAGACGGTGCATCTGTCCCTGTGTGTTCTGTACGATGGTGCCGACCTTTTGTTTGAAGGTCTCCAGGCTGATGAAGGTCAGATCCTCCTCATCAGGACAAGGGTCAGTCAGTGACCCAACACGCACCTGCTCGGCCTTCACCTTCAGTTTCTCAGCAAAGTTGGTGATGACTGTTCTCATGATGCTGCGGCTTGACGGGAGTTTAGAGGCAGATTCGAAGACAAACATGATGTCCGTGGGACCAATGACGCAATCTGGAAAAAATTAGAATGTTCATTAATAAGGATTATAGTTGTGTTCTGTCGAGATGAAAAACTCGCCGACTTCATTCGGACTAGGGATACTATTTCTCTTAATTGTGGACATGCAATAATGTTAATTGATTGTTCGTGTTCGCATGAGCTACTACGTCATGATTTTATGAAAATGAGAGTTTTTGGTCTAGTAATGAAGTGATACTCACTCTCAGGGTCAATGATGATAGTATTCGCTCCCTTAAGTCTGCACGTCTCCTCCTTCAGTAGGTCTGTCACACCAGCCAGGGCGCCAAAATGGTTGACATGGAAAACAAACTGTTCTTCTGGATGACTGCCAATAGCTTTCATCTCTACTGGCTCAATGCTGGGACCAACACCAACAGCAAACATGAAGATGCCAGAATCCTTGGCGTCTTTAGCTTCCTTTGCTGTCAAAATAGGATCGTATGACCTACCATCTGTGACAACGACGGCCATCTTGGTGACTCCTTTTCTCGCAACATCACGAGCAAAACCGACGTCTCTGACGTAAGCTATGGCGTCAGCTGTGTTGGTTTTTCTACCACCGGTGTAAACAATGTTGTCGGGGGATATTGCCTTCTGAAGTTCGTCACTGGCTTTGTAGGTGTCCAATCCGAAAACAGATGTGACGTTGTCGGCGAAGGTGACAAGTCCGACACGAGTGTGGGCGGGGCTGATGTCGAAGTCCTTGACGACACCAGAGACAAATGGGATAACATGTTCTTTGAAGTATTTGATGTAAAGACTAGCGGACACATCCAGAATGAAAAAAATGTCGGCAGGCTTGCTCTTGCAGTCTGAAATAAGGGGTCGTTATAATTATATTTTATAGTCATTACCAAGCAGCAGTTATCAACAATATAAGTAAAAACCATCGTGAACATTTTCCAGGTAATCAAACGAAACGAAATAAATGTGTTCTTGTGTCTCTAACCAGATCTTAACAGTTACTAATGCAATCACGTCTCTATCATCTAACGTTTTATCACCCATCGCGATTAAGCTCTGCTTCGTTAAATAAGCTTATATTACTATGATCCTGAAAATATGCCTCTTTGTTCTTGGTTGTACTTTATTATTTCCAGTACTTCCATAATTCTCCGTCAAATGAACTTGTTCACACAAGAGCAGAGATTTGGGGGGTTTGTCAAAAGGAATATGTACTATGTAACATTTCCATCCAGTTTGTAAAAATGTAACCCGACCCATAATGCCAATATCATTCTAACTTACAAATCGACAGATAATGAATAGGAATCTGTATGCTTACCATCAGTGCCTGTATCTTTGTCGGCTTGGCCCTGGTCGCCACTTAGTCGTTCCGTTGTTGATGTTGGTGGTGCTGCGGTTGTAGTTCCTCCAATCTTTGCTGGTGTTCGTGGAGGGAAAGTGGATGGTGACTGTACTGGAGATGTTCTGATGGTTGGTGTGGTGGTTGTTGTTGGTTCAGTAGTGGTTGTTGGCGCAGTAGTGGTTGTTGTCGTTGTTGTTGTTGATGGCTTCGGTGTGGTGGTGGTGGTTGTGGTGGTGGTAGTGGTCGGTGTCGTCAGGCGCTTTGTCGTTGGAGGAGCTTTAGTCGTAGCTGTAGGCAGAAAAAGCAGGTTATAGTTATTATTAATAACGCTTAAAACTACTTTGTTTTCAGTAAACACAAAATAAATAATAAACGATATTAGCAGCGCTTTTGAAATGATTAACATGTTTGACATAGAGATATTACATATAATATTTTAACACAATCTGAATAAATCACCCACCTGCACAAGTACGGATTGCAAGTTTATCTTTAATACTGTCGAGAGCACGGAAGTTTCCAACGTGGAACATAAACTGACTATCAGGATCCGAAGCGATGTTACTCAGCTCAGAGTATACAACGCGATTCCCAACGCCGATAGCAAAAATCTGGATTCCATCTTTCTTAGCAAGAGATGCAGACACCTTGGTCAGTTCCGTGTCATCAGACTCGCCATCAGTGAGAATAACAGCAATGTGGGTGACCCCTTCACGCGCACCATTCTCACGTGCAAACATCTCGTCTCTCACGTAGTCCAGAGCTTCGTCCGTCTTGGTGTTACCTCCCCTGAATGGCGTATTGCGGATTTTCTTTGTCAGTGATTCTTTGTCCTGGTAGTCCTTCAGGTGGAACTGGTGGTGGTATGTGTTTCCGAACGTGATCATTCCAACACGTGTTTGTTGGTCGCCTGGTCCCACGTCAAACGCGTCGACAACGTCACTGACGAACGGAAGCACATGTTGATGAAAATTAGGCGGCCATATTGAACTTGATGTGTCCACAACGAACACGATGTCTGCCGCTTTACCGCCGCAGTCAGTCACAGCTGAAAAGGGAAAGAAACGTTTACAACAATTTCAAAATCAAAAATACAAATTTAAACAAAAATGTTTATGTAAAAGATATCAGGAATGTGTCATTATACTGAAGTATTGCCCATGCGACAGTTAATACTCACTCACTTACCAATAGGAACCTATCTACATATCTATTTGTTTATAAATCTGTCAAGCATTTGCACTGAACCTTTTATGTAAACATACGAATTGTGTAAATGAAGTTCTAACAGAATTGAATCATCTTTAGGGGCATTTACTTTCCAGAAATTGGGACCTGTGAAGATTCCGGGGTAGAATAGGTCTTCAGAAACCCATGTTTGCCATAAAAGGTGACTATGCTTGTCGTAAGGGGCGACTAACGGGATCGGGTGGTCAGGCTCGCTGACTTGGTTGATGCATGTCATCGTATCGCAAATGCGTGGATCGATGCTCATGATGTCAATCACTGGATTGTCTGGCCAAGACTCGATTATTTACAGGCCGCCGTCATATAGCTGGAATATTGCTGAGTGCGGCGTTAAACAACAAACAATCAATCAAATCCAGAAATTGGAAATGATAAAAGTTGCATAAACGAAGGGCGTGCACGTTCATACTTCATGTGATCAGGTCGTAACGATACTTTGGTAATTGTTTACTTACATGGTCTTGAAGAGACAAATGACAGCATCTGAAGTACAAAATAAGTTGATATTATTTGAGATATAGGTATGCCTCTTTATTCAAATTATAAAACGTCACCGCCAGAGAAAAACTTTTTCCAACTCATTCTTATATTTTTCCAAATACGCGACGTACATTTGCGATGAGGGACGAAATATGAAAAAATAAATACTACTCGTAAAATGTGTTAGAATGATACATTTTCAAATATATTACAAAATCTAGGTGTTATACATCATATTAAATAACGTTTCGAATAGCCTTACCAGAGTTGCCACAGCAACTTCAGCGAGAAACATCTTTGTTGTTGTTGTTGTTGATTCAGTCACGTTCACCCTGGTTCCTTTGTGGCTGATGGTCAGAGGACTCCTGCAGCATAGCAGCCACTCGTCGTCTTTATAGTCTGTCTCGCCTCCTACACTTCACACAGCTCCATCGTAACAGCTGCCCACTGCGTCACGCTGCAGGATGCGGCCAACCTCAAACCCCGGACGGTTTGTCCATATATGGAACTCATTTACATGATTCATCTGCTTCTTCCTCCTGCTGACGAATAGTCGGCCGGCATTGTGTACCACGTGATTCAAGGTTCCCACGGCAAGAAGATTCGGGAGAGTTGTGAATGAATCCACGAACCTGTCATGGAAGGAAACGATGGCATGTACAATGCATTGATTGACTTCAATTCGAGCAACGGCCAGGCCCCAAACACGACCCCAGTGTCAAGTAGGACAACAGACCAACCCTTGTCTCAACTAAATTCATGAGATGACTACATTTCCGAATTTTGAATTATTTCAAACGTAATTAATTTAATGATAATGAAGGTCCCATGGGAACGTCTCCGTGGAACTATTTCGATGAATTGGGAATGGACAAAAATACACTAAGGATTTAAAAAAAAGTTATCTTTGGTTGATATTGATATTCTCATTACGTAATCCATGTCAGAGATTGTGAACTGTAGGCAATAAATCAAATAATGTTGAAACTTAATAAACAAATTAAAGAATCCCTTGGGTTTTCAACTCATATGACATTAAGTGAAATATAGGTAAAACGCCTACACAGACTTTGGATGCATGAATGTTAAATAGTCCGATTCAGCAGGTTCGTGGAGTATCCTTTTGAAAGGCGACATGATCCAACATATCCGGATTAGATGAATAGCAGGTAAGAAAGTTCCATGTTTCAAAATATCTTTGGAAGCTAAATAAATTTTGGATTTGGGATGGAAAATGAGAAGGCTTTTCGACAGTACTTTTTTATGGAACATGACAGACAGCAGGTTCGTGGAGTATCTTTTCGAAAGGCGACATGATCCAACATATCCGGTTTAGATGAATAGCAGGTAAGAAAGTTCCATGTTTCAAAATATCTTTGGAAGCTAAATAAATTTTGGATTTGGGATGGAAAATGAGAAGGCTTTTCGACAGTACTTTTTTATGGAACATGACATAGACACATACACCTGAAGATTGTAATAGGTACGTGTACATCAAAATACACAATTTCTTCAAACTACATTTTGCAGCCATGGTAAAATCAAGAATAAAGAATAAGATATATTCATGATCCTATTTTATGAAACAAGAATTGTTTTCATTTGAGAACAAAAAGGGCAACAAGAACAGGTGTTTGAAGTATTCGAACAGACAACCATGCCCCGGCTTGAAGAAGTGTGTCGAGTCAGTTAAATGTTGTTGTTTTTAAAAGCACAGATGTAGAAAGTTATAAATAGAGGGAGGCGAGGTTGGGCGCATCCTTTATGTATCACGCAGTCCACGGCACGTGGCAGCATTACCACACAGCATTGCAGCTTCATGATGGTGGCGGAGCGTGCATGTGTTTGAAATTACCACGAGATATCAGAGATTCTTGTTGTATATATCAGTTGATTTCTAACTGTTTACGCCAGAATTAGAAACAGGTGGCTCGTGTGCATAGAAAGCCTGACCGTTATGCTCAGACAGCGTTCGTGTTTTGACTTCCTGTATAATGTGTTTTAAGTTGACAACTTAAAATTCGATGTTATTTTATAGACAAAGTTTGAGGGGGCGGTAGTGGGGAGGTTGGGTAACCTGCCGCCCGGCAGCTATGATTTCAGAGGTGGGATTATAAAGCCTTTGCCAAGCAATCTTCTCATGTCCGTAGTTTTCGTCCGCTTTGAAACATCATTGGTTCTCTGTGTATCCTGATATACACGGGTTGTTCTAGGAGGACACATACATGTGAATACAGTACAACCCGGTTTTAATGCCATCGGGTTTTTTTATTGAAAACGTATTTCCGCGCTGACAAATTATCTTTTTATAATGCCAAGCTTGTTATAATGCTAATGCCAATGTTTCTCGGAACAAACGTCCCTATTCCCTGTCTACAATGCCAACTTTTGGGGGTTATGTTCATCAATATGTATCATTATTGTTCATTATTGTTCATTATTTAGAAACCAGTACCTCTTTTTAGTGTATTGATCTCAGTTGTTTTCACAGCTAATCCCCATTTAATCTTTCTTTGGGGAAACTATGCAAAGCGCTAACGTTCCCAAAATCACGAATTAGTTTGATCTTCAAAAGGATAGTTTCTTCATAAGCTCAGTTGATTGATTTTTTTAATATCTCCATCATATAAATCCGGTCCATCTTTCACCCATCTGCATATAATGCCAACCTTGTTATAATACCATATTTTCTAAAGTACACAGTATGGCATTACAACCAGGTCCTAATGTACATATCTTGGCTAGATAGAACTAGACAGAAAATAACAAACTTTTTTTCAGATGACCGAATTGTTAGTCGGGGGTTAAACAAAAGAAATCAGCAGTGTGTTTTATATCATACAAAGTCCAAGTGTACTTTACCCGACGCTGACCTACCTGGAAGTGTGGATAATGACTCAATGACTACATTACTCTTTATATAGGGGGGCAGGCGGGTAGCCTAGAGGTTAAAGCGTTCGCTCGTCACGCCGAACAGTGGGTACATGGGTACAGTGTGTGAAGCCCATTTCTGGTGTCCCCCGCCGTGATATTGCTGGAATATTGCTGAAAAGCGGCGTAAAACCATACTCACTCACTCACACTTTACAATGGTTCTTATCGTTAGACTATGTTGGTGAAAGATTGGGATGGGTCTGACCAGACACATAAAATGAAAACATGTAAATGCTTCTTGCGGAATATGTTCAGAATATGTTGTACTTATTCCTATTGTATTCCTATTGTACTTACATGTAGTCGTACTCCTATTGTATCTACATGAGGTTCTGCGGAAAAAAAAACATTTAACGTTTATTGGATATAAATGAGGGCAAAATGTGAGGGTGGGACATCTGCGTTAAAATACGCATGTACATTCGTATTCAGAGTCTATACAGCACGGAGGGACACTCTGACTAAGACCAGTAGCCATCTGTAGGAAGGAAGTAATTGAAATTTGAACCCTACCGTGATACACATTTGAAATACTACGTGTCCCACACAGAATCTGGGTCATCTTTGTAAGCCGCCATCAGTTTGCACACCTTAGAATAACACATTACACAACCATGTGGTACTGAAGGAGACGTCCAAAACGTCTGATATTACTTTAACTGATGAAACGTTGATACCTGATACAGAACACCTCTGTGAAGCTAGATGTGTAGACAAACTAACAGGAGTGTTTATATTTTTTTTCTTTAACCTTTAAGGTCTTAAAACTTTAATATCATTAAGCAATATTTTAACATAAAATGCACAACAGTTATTTGATCAGTATTTTCCCAAAATATAAATATTGGTGGTTCTGATGTTTTTCCAGAATGATTTATTTGCTGCTTTGAACTGATGTCAAGACAGGTGTTAACCCATGAGATACACATTCCTAAGACTGAAAAAGACAATCACCTCATTCTAAAATTAATACACATGAACTTGCAGTGTATTCCTTGTCCCGAGGGGCGGTCGGGTAGCCTAGTGGTTAAAGCGTTATGGGTACAATGTGTGAAGCCCATTTCTGGTGTTCCCTGCCGTATTATTGCTGGAATATTGCTAAAAGCGGCGTAAACCCATACTCACTCACTCACTCATTCCTTGTCCGGAACGTTACGCATGGTGCCCATGGTGACAGACAGGGAAGTAGGTTAACATGACAGGAGCATAAAATACTTCTTGACGAAATAGTGTTTTGCATTTAAATAGTAGGGCATCTCGCATAAATTCATGCTGCCTTAAGGCTAGGAGTTAACACAATGATTTAATGCGATGACGTATTTAGTTCATGATTTATGCCAGGTTGAGCCGGACACGCCCACCTTTTGGCAATCACCTGGTATTATCACAATTTATCATAATCTCATTAAAATCAGATCTTTGTTCTCGCAACCACTGCACAGGGATCAGGGCCCCGTTCCTCAAAGCGATCTAAGCGCTAAGATGATCGTATATTCTAACATAGGCTTACGGTAGTCGTAGGATCGATTTGTGGAACGGGGCCTTGAGGACATCCCATTACAGGTCGCGCCAGAACGAACTTGTGCCTAAATACTAACATCTGATTTTAATTAAATTAATTTAAAGACACATGGTTAATTAGTGTTTCAGCATCCATCTCAACTGGGGGCATTGGTGGCCCAGTCGCCAATGGCCCCGCAGTTCGCTGTGGAGAGTTGCGTCCCTTGGGCACGCAAGAAATCTATGATCGTGGGTTCGAATCCCGGTTAGCCCCAATTATGTTTCTTGGTTTGTCAGCATCATACCCGTGTTCGTGGGTTTCACGGTAAACGTCTAAGATCTGCATGACTTCGGGCTTTCCTCCCACATCAAGCTGACAAGCAGTGATATAACTGGAATACTGTTCAAACCGGCGTTAAACCCAACTCACCCATTCGCCCACTCCATCCAAACTTATTTCTAAATGTACTTAGGTCAAACATTATGTTAAACACTTCTGTTTCGGTAACATGTTGATGTGTCAAATCAATTAAGTCGGCCAAAAATGTTCATTGTCATATCTCATCTTTTTTTTTTCGAGTTCTTTCTTACACATAGGATATTACTCAAAATGGTCAAATATGAAGGTACCGATATACTATTCGTTCCGTGTAATCTGATTCCTAACTCGCGGCCGATACCATCCACATGACAAACGTAGACTTGTCTCTCTGACAGACACTGAACATATAGTCCATAAAACAATCACTCCTTCCTCGATTCAACTTTTATCCCCTCTTCAGCTCCAATCTTATTAATTTGAGCTAACCTGAATTTAAGAGACTCGAGAAAATATTTATATAATTATTTCATTACAGCTTATACTTAACTTTATTTCGGGGAAGTATTACGCTAGCTGCCCCCACTTTCTTTTCCCTCAGTACTTCATAAACAGTTATAAGATTGTGTATTCCTCAACAGCTGTTACTGTCAGATACAGTTGAACACATCTGGTCATGGGTACCATTT